ATTTTCTAAAAATACGATTTTTATGGAATCATAGGCATCACTATAAACAATTTTTTAAAGTATTTTAAAATATCTTAAAGTAGTTTGAAGTATTTTAAAGTATTTTAAACACCTACACGTGGTTATGAAGATGATATTTTATTTTCAGTCAACAAAAATAGTTCCCCTGGGTGTAAACGTATACATAAATTTAAAAAAAAAAATTGATCCTCTCGAAAAAATGGAGCTAATTAAAAGAGATTTTGAATAATTCATCGTATATAAAGTGTATGATATATGAGATTTTCTCGAGTGTTTGAGGATATTATTTTCAAGAGGAACCTCAACGTCCGTCAGAGTTTAGATTTTGAATCGTGATGAATGACTGGATAATTGTCAAATGGAGATGGACTTGTGCGGCGAACCAGGGCGTAGGCATTGTGCGGTTAAGCGTAGGAGTAGAATTAACGACAAGGCGGCACATTGCGCATTGAATAGGGAACAAGAGCCGGATGGTTAATGTCGATTTAATAGTGAGTCTAATAGCGTTAGGATTATGCAATGAAAATGGGCCCAAGGTCCCACCTCCTCCCTCGAGTGAGAGAGAGAAAGATGACGTTTTTTAAATAATAATCGGTAGCTGCGCTTCATCCAGAAGGCACTTAGGAGGAGGATGAGGGAGGGACGAAAAATACGTGTGGGATAATAACCTGACCAAATATATATTCTCTCAAGGATCAAAGAGGAGTGTCTCAAGATGTTTTTGTTTAATGCAACGTTAAACAAGGATTTCAAGAATCTCTCTATTACTAAATTTCATGATATATTTTTTTTCTTTGCAATATATGGCTTAGTAGCTTCTTCTTCTTTTTTAAACTGCACTCAAGAGGAACGTGAAATAAAATGAGAATGTTAAAAAGAAATTAAACTCGTTTCTATATTGTACTGCTCTGCGTGTTTGCTATTCTTTCTTTTTCATTTTAAGTGTTATTTCTAATTTTTTAGTTTCAAGTGTTTTAAGCAATTCTTAAGTTTTTTAAGTATAAAAACTTCAAAAATTTAAGAATAACTTAAAAAAATAAAACTTATTATCTTAAAAATAACTTAAATTTAAATTATTAAATATTTTTTGTTTATAATATTATTCTAAGTTTCTTTTCCTTCATCTTTCAATTTAATTTTAAGTTTTAAGTTTAAAGCTGATTAGCGGAAATCAATTTGAAAGGATGAATAAAAATTCCACAGAAAAAACAAGGAAACACAAAAAAAGGTAAAATATAAAAAATTAGAAGAAAAAACGTAGAGAAAAAATTCGATACAGATTAGAAGGGAAGAACGAAATAGAAATGTTGAGGAAATGTAGTGAAGAGTCATTAGTAACTGGAGAAACCCTGGAAAAAAAGATCCCAAGGGTATTGAAAATGCCGCAAAAAAAAACTAGAATGAAAAAAAGAACCAAAACAAACAACAAAAACAGATTGAGTAATCAAACATACGAGGAGATATCTTCAAAAGACGAGAAAACCATTAGACGGAGAAAATAAATATTTTCCTCAAGAAAACGATAAGATTTTTTTATGATAGAAATAAAAAAACAGAAAATATAGAAAAATACTTAAAAATACGGAAACATTCAGAAGACACAGAAAAATACAGAAAATTACAGAAAAATTCAGAAAAGTACAAAAAATACCAAAAAATACCAAAAAGTACAGAAAAGTACAGAAAAGTACAAAAAAGTACAGAAAAATACAGAAAAATACAGAAAAGTACAAAAAATGCAGAAAAGTACAGGAAAGTACTGAAAAGTACAGAAAAATACAGAAAAGTGCAAAAAAAAATACAAAAAAGTACAGAAAAGTGCAGAAATATACATAAAAGTGCAGAAAAGTAAAGAAAAATACAGAAAAGTCCAAAAAAAATACAGTTAAGTACAAAAAAGTACAGAAAAGTACAAAAAATGCAGAAAAGTACAGAAAAATGCAGAAAAGTGCAAAAAAAATACAAAAAAGTACAGAAAAGTGCAGAAATATACATAAAAGTGCAGAAAAGTAAAGAAAAATGCAGAAAAGTCCAAAAAAATACAGTTAAATACAAAAAAGTACAGAAAAATACAAAAAATGCAGAAAAGTACAGAAAAATGCAGAAAAGTGCAAAAAAAATACAAAAAAGTACAGAAATATACATAAAAGTGCAGAAAAGTAAAGAAAAATGCAGAAAAGTCCAAAAAAATACAGTTAAGTACAAAAAAGTACAGAAAAATACAGAAAAGTACAAAAAATGCAGAAAAGTACAAAAAAATGCAGAAAAGTGCAAAAAAAATACAAAAAAGTACAGAAAAGTGCAGAAAAGTAAAGAAAAATGCAGAAATATACATGAAAGTGTAGAAAAATACAGAAAAGTACAGAAAATGCAGAAAAGTAAATAAAAGTGCAAAAAAATACAGAAAAGTACAGAAAAGTGCAGAAATATACAAAAAAGTGCAGAAAAATACAGAAAATGCAGAAAAATAAAGAAAAATGCATAAAAATACAGAAAAGTAAAGAAAAGTACAGAAAAATGTAAAAAGTATCGAATAAAGAATAATAAATAATCAACAATGAACTTCAATTTCAAATAATCATAACAATCACAACAATAACTATACAATATACAAAGGAGGAAAAAAATAAGATAATAGCAAACAGTAGAGATTTTTTTCTAATTTTAATTAAACTCCTTGAGGAGATTATTTGAAGACTTCAATTTCCTCGCTTCAAGTGCGCACTTTTGAATCACGGCAATAATGAAATTTTAATTGATTTCGCAGAACCACACTGACTCTATAGTTTCGAGAAAAATGGTTAATAAAAAGGCAACGGGAGTTAATGAAAAAAATAAAATGCGAAAATAAAAAGAAAACTTAAAATGCGCTCATGAATCTTGTCTTCTAGACTCGTTTAAAAGAACTTCACCTGTTACACCTATATATATATATATATATATTCTCTCGGTGAAGTTGACTTTGTTTTGCTGGGCGTCATACGTATACATATAAACACAAATACATAAATATAAACATCTTATGCGCCTATCACGTTGTTGAGTAAGTTTGTGTGCGCGATTAAATTAGCCTTTTAAAAGCAAACTACGGAGCACTAATTTCCTGTAATAATAATCATATATATGTATATACACTGAATAATACATTTTCTCGATGATTCAGTGATTTGAAACGTTTGAATTTAATTTGTTGGATACAAAATAAATTTTATAATGAATTGATACTGTGGGGAAGTCCATTGAACTCTCTTTTTTCAAGTGAACCTTAATTGTTCCTTAATTAAGAATTATTACAATTTTTATTATTTTTTTACTTTTTACTTTGTTTTTGTTACTAATAAAAGGAAATTTTTTGATTATTTTTTTTAAGAAAAGCTATTTTCCCACTACAAGCTATACTATTTTTGTTTTTTTTTTTTTGAGAATTTCCACTACTTTACATTCATACTAATACTAGAAATAAAAAAACTATTCTCAAAAATTATAATTCAATTCTTTAAAACGATTAAATGACTTTCAAAAAATATTCGAAATTCAATTATTTCAATATCTAGTATTTTCATCAAATTTGGCAAAAGAATTCAATTATTTAAAGCAAAAAATTGATAAAATTCATCAAAAATTCAATTATTTTTATAAATAATAAAATTCTTCTCAGGAATTCAATTATTTTTGAAAATTTTAATAAAATTCTTAAAAACTATTCAATTATTTTCATAAATAAAACTCATTGCAGAATTTCCATTATTGTTAATACAATTTTAATAAAATTATTTGCAAAATTCAATTATTTTCATAAATAACAATATTCATGACAAGAATTCAATTATTTTTAAAATTAATAAATTTTTTCTTGGAAATTCAATGATTTAAAAAAATTTGAATATAATCGTTCGCAAGAATTCAATTATTTTGATAAATAATAAAATGCTTCTTAGAAATTAAATTATATTTTCAAAAAAATTTAATAAAATGTCACACAGACATTCAATTATTCTCAAAAATTTTAATTGCATTCTTCGTAAAATTCAATTATTTTTGAAAACTTTTCGCAATTGAATGATTTTCAATACCTACTATTTTTATAACAATTTCAAACAGTATTCAATTATTTAAAAAATATTCTTATTTAATTTTTTTATATTATTTTTAAATATTTTCAGGTTTTTTCATTCCTTATAATTCCAATTTTATGTTTATGAAGTTATTTCTTTGTTATAAAGTACATAACCTAAAATTTATATACACTAATTACAATTTTATTATTTGACAAATAGTTCACAACAAAAAATGAATAGCTCCCAATTTTTAACTTACAAATATAGTTTTTTTTTAAATTTCTAATGTTCCCTAATTCTATTTTCTTTCTAAGTTTCAATGAATAATATAATCTAAACAAACTTTTCGTTTCTCATGCTAAAATATATTTATTCTAAAAAATAGTTCTCAAGTGATTCTGCTGATTACTAGGAGTCACAGGGTTGGGCAGCTAAATTTTGGAAATCTGCGTGCAAATATTTTTAGTTTTCTGTGACTCCCCCAGTTTTTTTCGCATAGTGTTTATGGTACTTTTACACATTTGTCATTTTTAGCAAAGAGCTATTTTCAATCTTGTTTTCGTTATTTTCCTTATTATTGTTACTTTAACGATAATTTTTATTATTTCAAGTTGAAGTTTTTTTTACTATTACTACTATTATAATTGTAGTATATGTAATAGTAAAAAAATAAGCATAAATTAATAATTATGAATCACATAAATTTAATAATTTTCCCATATGTGAAAATTCTATTAAGAAATGTTAATGGAAAATCATAAATTTTTTTGGGTTCCCACGAGGAAAATTTTTTAACGTTAAATTAAGTTTAGTTTTTAATTAAGTTACTTAATTTTTTAAATTAAGAAATATTAATGGAAAATCATAAATTTTTTTTAAATTTCTATGAGGAAAATTTAAAAATTAAAAACTTAAACTCACCTGTGGATTTTCGAGTGATTTTTCCGTTGGGAAATTGAAAACAATAACGTATCCACTCCATTTTTTTTTTTTTGCAAAACAAAAGGCACTGTCAAAAAATAATTGCAAACAAAATTTCACTTTTTTTTAAAACGAAGGAAAATAAATTGTGAAGACACAAAATAGAAATTATGAGAAGTGCAAGTACTCGTCACGCATCTGCAACTCCACGTGGTCGATGGTGAGTATATTTACGGATTCAAAACTTTGATCGACGGACCTCTCCAATAACTGTGATTTCAAATCTTATAAGCAATTTTCGATTATATTCTTCAATCTCAAAAGTGGGGGCAGGCGTTATTTTCGCGCTTTATTAAAGTAGAATTCCGCAACACTTTTCTCTTATTTTCTTATTGCACCCTCATACACATAACTCTATTATATCAAATTACATATACAATACTCTCGAGAGTGACTCTGTAAATCGAATTTTCCCTTCCTATATTTTATTTATTTATTTCCCCTTTTATTTATAGAAAACTTTCCCTTCTGGAGAATGAAAACAAAATTTTGTCCGGTAATCACATGATTTTTGGGTATTCCCCTAAATTTCGATCTTTCGATTTTCTTTTCAAGTGAAATTTATCTTTTCTTTTTGGATTTGAAAATTCTTCTCATCGGTGACAATTTTGACGATTTCCGTCGCCTTTGCTGTGCCGGAAGTCGCGAAACATCATCGCGCGACCTTGAAATTTTTCCTGACACATGAAAATCCCTCGTTGAAAAATCCAATCTTCATCCCTTCATTTTTGAAGGGAATTCCCCGGTTTTTTTTACTTCTGGTCACTTTTCTTCAACTTTCTTTCCGCAAATTTTGGTTCTTTTTCCCCAAAAAATTTGCGTCAATTTTCAAAAAAAAAATTTAATTTTGAGAAATATTTATTGTTGATAATAAACTTTTTTCAAATCTTAACTTAGTGGTTGAAATAAATCCTTTTTTGAATTTTTTTTTTGGCAAAAAATTTGCAGGGAATTTTTTTTTTTTAATGTGAGGGGAAAATAATTTTTTTTGGCGGGAAATTTGAATTAAAAATTTTTTGGGGATCGGTGGGTGGGGTTTGTTTTTAATTGGCACTGCACACTACACTCACTGGCGATAAGCGAAGTTTAAAAATCGAGCAAAGACTCGTTTACCGAGTCCATTCGAGACGGCGCGAAGCTCGAGACTGACACAGCACAAGGAGAGACTCAGCAGTTTGAGAATTTACCTGCAAAGGAAACAGAGGGAGAAAGAACATTGCGTTGAGAGAGACATGACAGGAACGAGTAAAGACACCTGTGGATTTGAAAAAAACACACACATTGGGACGACACCCAGTTGTATATATTATGTCAAAATATATATTTGATTCCTGTCTGTTTTCTAATCAGCTTTCATTCATCTTTGAAATTTATCAATTTTTTTCTGATAAATATTTAAATTAATTTTTATTATAAATTATTGTAATTATTGTACATTACTTTATACCTTTTTTTTTTATTATAAATCACTTTCTTAGTTATTTTATTTATTTTTTTATTTTTATTATAATTTTATTTTATTTTGTATTTTTTATTTACTTTTTTTTTTCATTTTCAAATCGAAAAATTTTATATTTTTATTCTATTGAACATTTAAAGCATTAAATTTTAGTTTACGAAAATTTTTATTTCAAAATAAAACAAAACAAATTTAAACAAATTTAAAAACAAATTATAAAACAAAAAAAACAAAACAAAAAAAAAACAAATTTAAAAAAAAAAATAAAAACAAATTTTTTATTTAGCCGAATTTTAATTCAGTAGAATTTTTATTCAACAAACTTATTGCTGGAATTTTTAAAGATAGAATTTTTAAATAGAAATTTTAAAAAGAATTTTTGAATAGAATTTTTAAAAAGAATTTTTGAATAGAATTTTTAAACAGAATTTTTTAATAGAATTTTTAAAAAGAATTTTTATTTTTAATATTATTTTTTTTATTGAATATTTTAATATTGAAATTTTTAGTCAATAAGAAACAATTTGGGTTATATGAACTAAATCATTATTTTATAGGATCATAAGAATCTTGTAACTATAAATTCAAATTTTCAAAGATTTTAATTTGAACCCTCTTCAAAATTCAATTTTATTATTTCTAAAAATTCACGCTATAATGCTTTTAATATTCAATTATCTGAAATTTTAACTGAAATTCATTTTTAAATCAATTTTTATTAGAAAATTTAACGAGAATTCAATTATTTAAATACAAAAATAAATAATTCATTAAATAATTAAATATTTCTTAAAATTTGAATTTTTTGAAGAATTTTATCAAAATTTTTAAATATAATTGAATTCTTTTGGCGAATTTTTCCAAAAAAATATTAAGAATCAGTGCAATTTTTTATCATTTTATTTAAAATTGTATAAAAAATAATTTAAATTCTATGATAAATTTGGTTATTTATGAAAATAATTGAATTCTTGATAAAGAATGCTATTAACATTTTTTTTTAAATAATTGAATTCTTGTGGAAATTTTATTTGTAAAAATAATTGAATTTTTCTATTAATTAATTTGCTGATAATAATTGAAATTCTTCGATGACTTTTATTATTTATGAAAATAATTGAATTCTTGGGAACGATTTTATTACAATTTTTTGAAATAATTGAATTTCTTAGAACTATTTTTTTCAATTCTCTGAATATATTTGAATTCTTTCCAGAAACTTCATTAAAAAATTAAAAATAATTTTTTGAAAATAATTGAATTTCGAAGAAGAATTTTATTATTGACAGAATTTGTAAAATTTATTATAGATTATTATATATTAGTGATGAAACATATTGTTGCAAAAAAACTAGGGGAACCACCAAAAATTAGAAATAATTGCATGCAGGGATTTTCGAACTCTAGCTGCCCAACCCTGCTAGCTGATAAGCAGGCAGAAAACTATAAAATTTTTTCGCTACAAATTAATTATTTTCTACTACACTAATTAGTTATTTTTTTCTAATTAGTAGAAATTTAATAAATCAGTAAAGTAATAGTTAAAATTTCCTTTTCAATAACAATAAAATAATTAAAAAGAATAAAAAAAATTTGTAAGTAACTCTTTGCTAAAAGTGTCAAATGTTAAAAGGTACCATAAACATTTTGCAAACAAATGGGGGAACCCCCGAAAAATAGAAACATTTGCATGCAGAAATTTTCGAATGCCAGCTGCCCAACCCTGCTGACTGTTAATCAGTAAAACTGTAAATAAATAAATAAATTAGACTCCTTCCGATACAAATTAATTATTTGCAACTACACTAATTAGTTATTTTTTTCCTAATTAGTATTTATATAATTATCATTACTGCAATGCTGAAACAAAGAGTCAAACAATAGGTTTTACTATAACAATTAGTTATTTTTAATCAATTCAGATTTAGAGATACCACCGAAAAATTCTAATAAATGACCTTTGTCATTTATTTGCATATTTAGGCGTCTAGTATAAATTCACCTTCACATTATGTATATTATAAAAGACTCCAAGTCCAACTCATTTTTTCGATGTCAAAATTATTCTCAACTTTTTTGAAAACCGAAATAGGAATTATTTTTATTCGCTCTTGTAAATTCGACTTTTCGAAAGACACTTTAATAGTAGATTAAGTAATTTCTTAATTCAGTTAAAGTTTATTCATCTTGCAAACTTATTATGTTAATTTCGTTTAACTTATTACATCCTACGTTAGAATATTAGATGAAAAAAATTTTTAATAAAAAATTAAAAAATAATTTTTAATCTGTGGGCTTGCGTAACGTATTTTGTTTCATTATTGAATAGCCCCCTAATAGAATATTAAAATTTTTAAAAAAAGCATTGGGAGGTTAAAGCTATATTTTCAAAAAAAAAAATTTATCGTAATCTATAGGCATATGTAAATATAGAGTAATAATAATAATAATAATAATAAGATGAAAGGAGAGGAGGAGAAAAGGATTGAAAATGTTGAGGAGAAAAGAGATAAAGAACATGAGAATGAAAGGGAGTGGATGGTAACGTCATCGACTCAATTGGCAACACTCTATCGTTGTCAGTTTCAAGGATAAGGTGTTATATGTCCGTGAAAAGGATGATTTAGAATCAACAAGCTCAGAAATCTTTTTTTATTTTACAGACACAAAAATATTTTCAACTTGGTAGTTTATCTTTATCAGCCAATTAAAAGTGGTTTATATGCGCGAGTTAATGATTATTTTTCTTTTAATTCTATAATTGAAAAATTCTTATTTACCCAGAAAACCTCATAATATTTTTTAAATTAATGATATTATTAATATTATTATTATTTAGTTATTATTACTATTATTGTTATTTATTTTACTATTCTATTATTATTATTATTATTTGTTAAAAAAATATCTGTTTTGTTTAATAGCCTCTGAAATTGTTTATAATAATTAAACCAGTGTGAGTTTGTATTTACGGTATTTAGTTAATTAACCCTGCTTTTGGTGTGATCGCACCCTAAAACCGCTCTCCTTTTATTAACGAGCCCCTCCATATTTTGCATAGTTTATGATGAACAATCGTATATAGTGAGCGTAGTCGAGTGACTTTTCATTATAAAAAAGTGTAGAAAGTATTTGTCAATATTAGTATTATAATAAAATACAATATTTGGAAGCTATTGAAGTAGCTGCAATATTTAATTTGTTTACATTTTCGATATACATAACATTTTATTTTACGGAGAAAGATAACGTCAAAAAATATAATTTTTGTGTTCTTTTCATACGAACTAAAATGTTATCGAAAATAGAAAGAAAATATTGCTGCTATTTTAACTTCCAGATATTGCATTTTGTAATTTACTAATTTTTCTGACTATATTTTAATTGTTTTATTGTTTATATTTATTATTTTTTAATAGTGGGTGTCGATCGCTGTGCTCTTTACAACTTTTGTTAGTTTTATTATAGTAGAGCCTAAGCTGACAGTAATTATTTTGGCGTCTTGATGGTCAATCAATTATTTCCGGGGTAAATTTTACTTTATCGAAATAAATTTTTGGATAAATTAACAAAATATACTTCGAATGTGTAGTAAAATTTACCCCGGAAATATAGTCACGTGCCTCATATACTTTACTATGGAAAAACGTCACATTTCAATGGTCACGTGCCTTATATACTTTACTATGGAAAAACGTCACACTGAATAATATGATCTTAAAAAGGTTCAATGGTCACGTGCCTTATATACTTTACTATGGAAAAACGTCACACTGAATAACATGATCTTAATGTTTAAAATATACAGTTTTGCCTGAAAAAAGCCGAAATCTTGATGGCAATATTATTCAGAATGTAGTTACTGTAATATTACTTAATATTACCTAATATTAACTCGTAATATTACGTCTAACGTTACAATAATATTGCAATAATGTTACAGTAATGTAACAATAATGTTACACAAAATAAAGTTTATAAAATTCTTCCAACACAAAATTTTGTAAAAAAAAATTTGTAACATTACTGTAACGTTGCTGTAATATTACGAGCTATATAATTTATTGCCAAAACCAGAAAAAACTGTTAAAGGAAAAAGAAATATTTTTAAACATACACTAAGAAAAAGATCACTGCACCCTCTGCCAATAACCTCTGTAACCAACTTCTCTGTTTTATCAACCTATGAAAAGTTTCCTTCCGACTATAAAAAAATTCCCACTTTACTTGATTGTAGTAATTACTAAAAAGATTCTCTACTCTATCAACTAAAATTTCAATTTATTAAAAGTAAATAAATATTTTTAATATCATATCTTTTTTTTAATCGTTTAAATTCCGTTACTATTTTTTCTCTAATTGATAATTTCTTCACCATGTTCGTAGCATTAAAACTAAAATCATTTCTTTCTTTTTTCTACTAGCAAAGAGCAAACGTGTGTCCTGCTAAATACCGCATGTTCTTTAATGTTTCTGTTTCTTTAAAAATGGCTCTGTTCGGTCGTGCAACGAGCATTTTTATTATTAGTAATAGACATTGTTCAAAGTTGATTTCAACATTTAGAACATCATTAAAATGTTCGAATCCACCCTCACAATTTACCTTTTGTGGATATTTTATTTTTCGACGATATTCAACTGAGCCAGGTATTTATTTTAAACTAACCTCAAAAAATTTTTTAAATTTCATAAATATTTTGTCCTTCCTTTAAAGTTCATTTCTTAACAAAAATTATTTGTTTTCCCTTTATTTCTATTATTTACGGTAAAAAGTATTTTTATCTTAATTTGTCATTGTATATAAAAAATAAAGTAGGGGACAAAAAATAACATAACCTATAATATGTATTTTTTCGTATATTAAAAATTAGAGACAAAATTTTAATAAACGACTAAAATAAAGTTTAATTAAATTTTTACTATTTTTTCGTAGTTTAAAAAATGTAAAATCGTTAAGAAAAAATGTTTATTTGATTTTATGTTTCTTCGGCGTTAAATTCAAAAAAAAGAAAATATTTATTTTGAGAAGGGATTTTTTTAAAATAAATATATATTTTAAATTTATTTGATTTCAAAAATTTTGGAAATTATTAATTTTTCTTGTTCTTTTTTCAGATAAAAAGAGGATTACGACTTTAAGGGAATTTGTAAATTTCGATGATTTTATAAACGAGAAGAAAAATCAAGCGAAACGGAGTATTTTGGTTGAAATACAGAATGATCGTTCAATTCCTTTTTTACATAACTATTGTTCGTCATTTGGCAAAATAAAATCTATTTTTTATTATTCTCTTGCCGATGATACGGTAGGTATCAAAATTATTACATAATAATGTACTTAATAATTTAAAATTTTACTGAAGTTCGACAAAAATTACAAAATTATAATTTTATATAATTGTACGTATGGATTTTTTAAAAATTAATCAAGACATCAAAAATATCACTTTTAGAAGAATATTATGAGTATAAACTTATAATATTCTTCGAAAAGTGATACACATTTTTTTGTAATAAAAAATTACCTTTTTTTCATTCATCTGACTTTTTGTTTGCAGCATCACTGTTTAATAGAATTTAATTCGGAAATTTCTGTAAAATTAGCCCTGGAATCTGCAGTACACAGAGATTACAATTCAGTAATTCCGGTAAGGTCAACAAATTTCTATTTCCGACGAACTAAAGCCACATTTAAATCAACTTCTGGTGAGAAACTTCCATTAATTCTTGGTAAACCAATTCTCAAGATGTCGCAATTATTTAAACAATTATCAGAAGCAAAGACGGTAATAAAACACTTAATTTTACTTAATTAAAATAAAAATAAAACTTTAATTTCTTAAAATTTAAATGCGGTTAATAAAGAGAATTTTTCTTTACAGGTTTCAGAGCAAATAGAAAATTGTTACTCGATTTTAAAATTAGACGACATTGAATTAAGATTAAGATTTCAAATGTCACAGGAAATTGAACGTTGTTTTCTTGGATTATTTCCAAATGTTGAAGTTCTGCCTTTTGGTTCTACGGTTAATGGTTTTGGTAGAATGGGCTGTGACTTAGATATGTTCGTCACTTTAGACAGAGTAAAAAAAGTCTGTATAGAAATTATTTCCCTCCTTTTAGAAGATCTCGCAGAAAATAAATTTTCCAGATTTTTCTATAAATTTTTTTAACTGAATTCAAAGTTAAAATTCGATTGGCACCCAAAACTAATGTATTTTCTGCGAGGTTACTTTAATGGAAATTTTTTAATTTTTAAATTTAAATTTTTTCTATTTATTAGGAAGACAGTGTGCAGAGATTAGTTTTTCAAACAAAACCTTCGGAACTTAATGGAAAATATCATCAGAATATAAAACTATTGGAAACAATTGGTGAGATTATGAAAAATTTTGTTCCTGGAGTTACGAATGTTGTCAAAATATTACACGCCCGAGTTCCAATTATTAAATTTAACAATAGCTACACTGGAATTCAATGTGATCTCAGTCTATCGAATATGTGAGATTTGTTTTCTAAATTAAAAATGAAAAAAGTAACATATTTTTTTTGTAATTTTATTTTTCAAGTATAAAATATATTTTTATTTGAAGTAAATTTTCAAAATTATTACGAATTTTTAAAAAATAATTATACTTTCAGGTCAGCTTTGTATATGTCGGAACTTTTGTATCTTTACGGTGAAATTGACCGAAGAGTAAGGCCCATAATATTCACCCTTAGAAAATGGGCGCAAGTGAAAGAAATTACATGCGAATCTCCTGGGGATCATATCACCAATTTTTCCCTCACTCTTCTCATTCTTTTCTACTTACAAAATAAAAAAATACTCCCCTCTTTGCAGGAATTAAGAAAAGCAGCTAGTAAGTTTGAATAAATTAAATAAAATTAAAAATAAATAATAATTAATAAAATTAAAATAAAATAAAAACAAAAATAACACTGTATTTATTTTCAGCGAAGGATGATAAGAGGGTAACGGAAACAGGCGTAGATTGTACATTTGCTCGAAACTTATACAGTATAAAAATTCCAAAGACCCCAAATGTCGATTGTTTCACTCTTCTCAAAGGATTTTTTGAATTTTACTCCACGTTTAATTACAAGACACATGGAATTTGTCTGCAAAGTGGAATGTTAACGGGAAAAGATATTTACATTGCATTATTTATAAAGAATCCCTTGGAACCAACTTTGAACGTAAGTCGAAACGTTTCCTTCAAACAAATCGATAGAATTCGTTATTACTGCCGAGAGGCATTGTGGTTATTGGAAAATGAGACAGAAAATTCATCAAACAGTGAACACTGGGGAATTATAGGACTTCTTAAAACTAATCAACAGGATAAGACTACAACTAAAAAAACAAAGAAATCTAGAAAAGGTCCTCCGAATGTATTGGAAATTATGAAAATCAGTGGATCAACGAATGATACAAATTTTCAATTTGCCGCCAATTGATGAGGTGAATTTTTTTCACTGATTGTCAGGACGATCGTTGTAGAAAATGTACATATATAAATATTTGATTAATGAACATTTTTTTTAACAAAGAAAAATGTGTTCACAGATTTAATGAATACCTTCGTGTGTCTGTTGAGAAGAAATTCGTGAAGAGTTTTTTTTTATTATGAGACTAAAAAGAAAGGAGAGTTATGAACGTTTCGAATGTTCAGTGAATTGCTGTTGAAATGTTTATTGAACGTGATGTGTTTGTATAATATATACAAGTTTTTTTTCTTAACTGATTCTTTTTTATTTTTCCTGAATTATAGAAGGAAAAATCGATTTTTGAAGTAAGTATTTCATTCACTATTGAAGAGAATCATGAGGATATAAAGCGTACTTTACATAACGTAACTAAAAATTTGAAAGTAGATGAAAAAACGAATTGGATAATTGCTTGCTGAAGCTGCAAGTATGAAATTTCCTAAAGAACTTTGTCGTCTATTTGCATATATTTGGAACGAATTAAAAAATATTCTAATAAGATAATAAGAATAATTTGACAAACAATTGTCGGTAAGCAAAAGATAAATTCGCTAAAAAATAATTTTTATCTTCTGCTGATTATCAGCTGTGGTTAATTTTTATTATATTGTGAATTAAATTTTTTTTTTTTGGTGACACAGGTATTAATTGGATTTAATTATTTGGTGCGAAGTCTCTAAGACTGTAGTAAATATTGAGAATCTGAAAATTAAAGAAAACAAATTTACGGGTATTTTAATTCGTGTATATATTTTTATAATTCTTCATATTTTCACATATTTTTTCATACATAGTATATTTCCTAATTCAAATTTATTTCAGTTCTGCGGCTAGAACTCGATTGCGCTTACGTATCTGCGTCGTTTAATGAGATTAAATCTTCCTTTTTATTTCTAGTACAATATTTATTAATACTTTTTAATTTCTTCAAAAGTAGACTTGTAAAATTGTTAGAAAGACCAAAAATAATTTATTTAAACTAAATAGACGTCTCTAAATATAAATAATTAAATTTCTTCCACTTTTCTTCTAATTTACGTTAAATTAATTATTATCCACCGCATATAATTTAAATAAACGAGTTTAATATTTTAAAAAATTGAATCTGTTGTTAATGAACATCAAACTACACTTAATCATTCTTTCAATTTCGATGGATTTAAAATTGTCCAATTTCTAAAATTTTTCTACCTGAAAAAGTAATTCTAACTATTTTACAAAATCTACGATTAAACTTTATTAATTTTAATACTTTAATCTCCCACATTTTCGTATTTTAAATACGGATACGGATTTCAAATAGAATAATAATTTGATAACCGCGTTTAAATTCGTATAATTTACCAGGTGGCTGGCAGTGTTTTATTTATCTATCTATATTATAAATTTTTAAATCCCTGTCTTTAGGACTAATTAAGTTTTCTAACTATTATAATTCGAGTTTATTTTATTATTTTTTTGTGAAATAAGGAAACAAAATTTGTTTTCAAATCAATTTCGAAATATTTTTTTTTAAACACAATTTTTACAAAATTTTATTATGAAAGCGTGTTTAAAAAAAATGTTATCAAAAATTGATAAGTAACTATCCAGTTTTTGTTTCCTTACTTTACGGTATTTATTCTAAATGACTAGATTTACAAAAGAGGGAGAGTATAAAAAAATATTAAATTTCTATAAGTGCGATAAAAATTTAATTGAAAATATTTAAATAAAAAAACCTTTCTAGTCTTTTTTAAATTTTCAAATTCGAAAATGATCGAATTTTTCAAAGTAGAAAATTAGTTTTCCCCTCTCCCTCTTTTTGGTGTAAACTTTTAGTCAACGATTATTTTCCTATCGCGTTGAAAACGAATTGGTGCTTTAAATTAAGCGTATTTACTCTTATCTCTATTTTTAATAGAAGCCGTGGATGTTAAAACTCCAATTTAATATCATCATCAAAAAATTACCAACTAGCGTCAGTAATGTGGATTAAATTCATTTTTAAAAAAAATGAATCTTGTATTAAATACATTTTATCAAATGAAAAATTGGATTACAAATTTTTTTTTCTCTCCCACGAGATTTAAAATTTATTTTTCACCTTTTAGGATAAAAAATTTCTCTAAAAAAGAATCGTATACCCTATTTTTAAAACAAATAACGTGACGTGTGATTTTTAATCATTTTTTTATTAAATGAACTGAAAAATATTTTGTGCGTTTTTTAATTAAATGGACCTTTTCACATTTTACGTTAAAGATAAGAAAAAGAAAATTTTTACAAAAGAGGTCCAAAAAAAAGTTTAAAAGTTTTGATTGTAGGAAGGTTTTTCGTAAAAAAGGCACATTTTTGGATAAGGAGGGAATATTTTTCATAAAAAAAGAAATTGCGCAAAAATGATAATGAATTTTTTCAAAAATGTTGAACATAAAAAAACATGTTTTTCTTTCGCAACTACAAATTGATTGGTGACGAAAAATTAGACATTTACCGATGTGTTGTTTTACGAATTTCAAAAAAAAATTCTAAGAAATTCAGTTAACAAGCCGGTTTGAGTCTGGGCTAAAAAGAGTCGATAAATGTCGGTGCAGGAATTTGTATCTAAAAATAGCCCTGCCTGTCTTCTTGAACTTGACTTTTTTTTATTCAATGCTAATAAAGTTTCACTTATTAATGCTTCTCGCAGGATTATCCAACTCTCTTAAAAAGCTTCTTAAAAGTTTTTCTCAAAATAAAAAGTAAAAATTGACATCATGTAAAAATGGCATGTAAAAATGTCCTTTCCTAAAAAGTGTTTTCATTATACAGACCGACAAAAGTTTCTTCTTGTCAAATTCAAATTTTAATTTTGCATCGCAACTGATTTGATAATTTAATTTTCTATTTTACCTACGACTTTCATTTTGGAAATGTTTTTCCTTTGAAGATAATTGTCTCACGATAACTCGTTTCCTTTAGACTTTACTCAACTTCTATTCTACTTTTAAGAAATTTATTAATCGGCAGTATCTCAAATATCGTTGGAATAAATGAGGTCGAGGTTTAACGTAAATATCACTTTTCAAAAAAAGTTTAGCATTATTGTCCTCTTTAAGCATGTGAAATTAGTTGCATTATTCCTGAGACAACTAATTGAAAAAGAGACAAAAAAAGAGAAGCAATTTTTTTTGTCGGACTATCATGAATAGGGATCGAGATGGGGATTTCCTGGAATGAAAGAAGGAAAAATTACTTTAAAAAAAGATTCCTTTTTCGTTAATTAGTTTTGCTCTTGCGGTGATGACGGTGATGATGGAGATGATGCTGTCGCAGTTGGGACCGCGTCTCTTGGACCGCAGCGACCAATGTACGAACAGCCTCCTCATGACCCTCGAAACTATCAGCCTTCTTCAATTGACCCAAAGCGCTGCCCTCACTGCCGCTTCTTTTCTTCGGCCCAGGAAATGTCTCCCACGAACGCTGCTTCTGCACCAGAGATGGAGTTGATCTCCGTCCAACCAAGAGTACCAGAGTTTTCCTCGGGTCCTGCGCCGCTCGACCCACCTGAAGAGGTCAGAGCGCAGAACTTTTAGCGAAACTCTTCATCCGAAGGAAAAATTTGTTTTCCATTGTATTTTGAAATCAAAAATTTTGACCGCAAAGGAAAATTTATCTCAGCAAGCAACATTGTGTATTTTGTATCAAGTGTTAACAGTTTTCGTGTGGATGAAGAATTTCACCGTAAGGAATTGATTTTGTAAACTTACCGAAGCCTCGACGATACTTGTTTCGGACCCTGTGATACTGAGACTATCGCAACTAGCGCGTCGTCTTCTTCTTGAATTACAGTCTTCCCTGGAGTAGAAAAGCTCCTCGGAATCGCTCACTGGATATACTTTCGGACTCTTTCGGGAACTTTTCTTTTCGTCTGGAGGCACTGGATGTACTTGAGCTTGGACTCGCTTTTTAGCCTCGCCTAGAGTTGAGGCCTCGGAAATTCTTTGATATTCACAGTCGTCTGTGAAAAGATATTTAGTTTTCGGTTCTTGTTGAAATCGAAAGAGATTTATCGAAATAATTACCGCATTGCTGATTTTGCTGTTGGTCACCCCCTTTGTCACCACGTTCCGGTTGATCAAGTCCTTCGGCTGAATTATCCCCGGTACTTCCTTTCAGGGATCGATAAAAAGACCGAACCTTCGAGTGACCTGGCGGTGTCTTCGGTTTTTGATTTTCCGGCGACTTCCTCGAGTGGCGAGTCTGACTTCGATCTCTACCCTCCTCCCTGCCTGGGGATTTTTTTCTATCCTCCTTCGTTCTCGCCTTGTCGATCAACTGACTCAGCACACCCCGTTTGCCGTCTGGTTTTGCAGGCGCGGATCCATAGACGACAATATTTCCACTTGAGTCCAGAATCGCTCCCATTCCACCAGACGGAGTTCGACATCGTGGTGTAGCTTCCTTCGATTCTGGAAAATTGGAAACACTTGAAGACTGGATCATGTGGAATGCTTACGATGGTAGGGGACTCAAGAAAGAAACCTTTCATGTAAAGGGCATTATCAGCTGTGGGAGCAGAACCTCTAGGATGTCGACACTCTTTTGTGGGAGCTGGACCCTGAGGCTGTGGTGGTTCTTGCATTTGGAGTCGAGCCAAATGGTCCAGAAGGACCTGAAGATGTTGGTGACCTGCGGCGTCTGAAGCGGCTGCTGATATCTCACCTGCAGTCATTCCCGACGAGAAGGACTTGACAAACGGTTCCAGCTGTTGTGCCATTGTTAGAATTTGTTTCACTTCACTTCTCAGCGAGAGGATATCGTTCATCTGAAAAAAAATCCATAGAGGTAACGGATTAAGTAACGACTTTTGATAGCAAGTAGATTAGATATTCAATAAATCCTTCACCTGTGAATGGAAGATCTCCTTTTCGAAGTGAATCCTACAAAGCTGCTCCTCCCAAAGTGTATCGAAGATGCCCCGCAAACGCTCCAATTCCGTTTGATGATGATCTAGTTGTTGCTCCAGGAAGCGACAATCCCTAGCGATATGTTCGTATCTAGACCCCACTGGTGGTGTGTTAGCCCGACGAAGAAGAGCCACGTCCCGATGCAGCTCTCCCAATCGTTCCTTCACTGTTATTAACTGTTGGCTCAGTTCCTTTAATTGGGAGTCGAATGTTCGGCAGTGATTCGAAAAGGGCCCGGAATCTGAAGGCGGCTTCGTCGGCTGTTGCAGTTTCGAAGGTTTGATATTCTGAAAAGTAGAATTTAGGGTTTGAGGGAAAACATAGTTCATCAAGTATAGACTGATGATCCAGGCAAATGCGAGTACTCCTGGATGCACATCAACAATTTGGAATCCACATTCAATAAAGTATTCTAAACTCTAAGTTTTGATAGCGAAAACCTAATAAAGTTTAGGGTTTTGATAAATACCTGAATGAACTGCGACTCGTGAGCAATGGTGTGCGTCAGATCATAAACGGAGTCCTTCAGCGGCTGGGTCTGACTCATGTAGGGCTGTAGCGCCCTAATGATCTCGCTTCTGTAATTAATCTTCAAATGCGCACTCAACATTGGGGGTTTATTCGGATGACCTAATTGTGCCACCTTCCCGAGCCTCTCGAGCATATGATGAGCCAACTCGAGAAACTGATAACGCGTCGCTCCGGTGGTGAATGCCGTACACAGCATCAAGTGCATCTGAAGAACCGGAAGTGCACTACCAAGTGAAAGTAGTTGTGCCCTAACCATTCGCTCCTTCGACTCGTATTGACGTTGTAAATCGGCTAAAACGGAATTGTGACTCTTGTTAATAACGTCCTGCATTCCTTGACAGTAGGCGTTGAGACTTCGTTTCTCTGACTCGAGACTGTGGCGCAACTCGTCCAATTGAGACTTCAAAGCTAAAAGCCCGTCCTTCACTCCAACTTGAATCTCGCAAATGGAGTTGGCGGCTCGTTCTATCTTTTTGGAAGCTTGTTGCCAGGCTAGGTCGATATCAACACAGTGGAGGCGGGAGTCTGGTGGTGTTTCTCGGATGCAAGTGGCACAAAGCATGCACTTCGCACTTTGACTATACATTATGTACTGCTCCCCGTGGGTGGGACACCGGCGTTGGGTGTCCTTTGCACACTTACTCATGTGCACCACTTCGTGAGTTGAAAACATCTTTGCACGGTGAGTGTGTTCTCGACAGTGGTTGCATAGGGCTTGACCTGGAATTTTATTTCTTCATCAAATTAAACGTCATTAGGAATTGTAATTTCTTTTCAAGAAAATTCAATCCAGAAACCTCTTGTTCTTTTACACTGTACCTAAGTATCTTTATTCAAATAGTTTGTTTAATTCATTATAACTTGTTTTTTATTTAATAACAGTATTCTCACAATTGAAATCAGAATTAAGGGATTACATCCAGGGTTTTGTAAATCTATTATATTAACGCAAATTTTTTGTTTTTTTCATTTCAGATGATCCAGTCCAGAAATGTCCTGCTCACCCCAAGATGCCTATCGACAGAGCAGACCACAAATAGTTGTCTTGATGAGTAAATCTAAACCAATTTTCCGAAATAGTTGTCTTGATGAGTAAATCTAAACCAATATTCGCCGGAACTCTCGCAAATGCTTTATAGAAGTTTAAAAAAAATTATTTTCATAAATAAAATACATCAAAATAAAATTCAAACTACATTTACAAAATTGAAATACTAAATAGCTTTCTCAGAAAAATTCCTAAAGTATCGACTATCTTTGACTGTCTAACTGGATGTAATTCCTTAAAAACATATCGAAATGTTTGAACCGGGAAATAGAAAATTAATAAAGTAGAACAGAAAAAAATGGAAGGTTCTTCTTGTCTAGTCGCGTTTAATAATTCATTGAGTCAGAATTCGAACTTTATATTTATGTAGACATTTTTTTATCGATTATCGAATAAGAAATTCAGGACGCACCGCAAGTCGTGCAGAAGAACATGGTAGACTTGTCTCTCTTATCGCAGTTGGCACAAGGAGGATTCTCCGAATTTGCTAGCTCCACCAAATGCCGCATTAGCTGGTCCGCAGGTGGAAGCTGAGTTCCTTCCTTCAGCATCGTTACTTGCCTGCGATTTAAAGCGAAAGGAATTTTATTTCACAAAATATTTTAAACTACTTTTTAGACATTCTAAACCGATTTTCAACTTCTCCACAAATTTTTTCCCTAATTTATGTGGAACAAAATTTTTAGGGAAAAAATTGATTTTTTAAAAAGCAAACATAATCTGAAAAGTAAATTTCGAAATAGGCTATTCATAATTATTTATAATAATTACGTAACAATTATTACCAGTTCAACAACAAGGTCAATGTAATAATACTTAAGTAGTGTAACCGCAAAAAATAGATTCTCCATTTCCCGTACCAACAGAATATGTATAATTGTAATGTCGATATTCATAGTTCAGACCACAAGCTTAATTCAAAATGACTATTACTTGAAGGGAGATGGAGAATTAATTTAAAATAAAAATTACAGAGTAATGGTTTATTCTTGAGCATACTGTAGATACTTTTGGTTTTTAATTTTTTTTAAAGTTTATACTTAAAAATCTTCGGAAATACATTTTGGATTAAAAGCATCTAATTTTTTTATACATATTACTTTCTTTGTTATTCATGAGTAGAAAATCAGAAAATGTAACAAAATATATAAATCTTTAGATAATTCGAAAAAGAAGCATTAATGAAATTACATCAATTAGCAACTGACATAATAAAAAAAGATAAGATCTTATCTTTTTTGTAGAACAGATTCCATTCTTAATTTATTGACCACATTTAATTACAAGATTTATTTTAGTAATTTAAAAAATTAATTTGTGTTAAGGGTATTTGAACCATTATGACGTCACAGCTTTGAAATACATGCTTTGCACTAACTGTGACGTCACAATGGTTCAAATCCCCTTAACAATTTTTTATAATTATTTAAGTAGAATTGATTTTTACAGTAACTTTTTGTAAAAGAAATTTATTTTATTTAAAATTGTCACAGAAATTTGATTTTCTATTTCTCTGACTTTTTCCTGATTTTCAGAAAAGTTCCTAACTTTCTGTCTTATCCAATATAGGAGTTTTAAATAAATCTACATATTTTTATTAATTCCATCAATTCTATGTTTTTGTAAAATTTGATTATTTTTAAATAATTTTTAAATATTTCATATTTTTTAACATGTGTCTCTAAAAAACACGATTCTTTTTTAACAAACTGTGATAAAACTTTTTAGAACATAAAATTTATGTCTATAATAAAAATATTATTGTTTCTAACAATCACAAAAATATTTCTAGATAAGAATTTTTTTTCTAGAATTTTTAACTAAATATATTAGAAAATTTTTATAATTTTTTTAAATAAGTATTTAAATATTATTAATAAATATTACCGGAATTGAAATTTTAAAAAAGTTTATGTTTATTTTTACTTTTACTTTGACACATTTTTATTTTCTTCTTTATTTTCAATTTGATAGATTTTTATTTTCACTTTCTGTGAAAGTAAAAGTGAAAAGAAAAGTAAAAGTAAAAATGAAAAATAAATTATCAACATGAAATTCAAAATGAAAGTGAAAATTAAAAGTCAAAGTAAAAATTAAATTACATAATAATAGTCATATTATTCGAGATCTGGAAATAATTTGATTTTTTTAGTTCAGAACTTAATTTTCATTTTTTTTTAGTAAGAAATCAGAAAAGCAGGTATTATTAATTAACTATAATAATCGTCGTATTCTGTCCATTCTGTCCAGTCTGTCAACACTTGAAGTTAGACTATTGTGCATGCTTTTGTTTTTTTGATATATTCTGATAGATAATATTATACGTCATTATTTTTTCACTAATTATTTAATTTAATAATATTATTTTTATTTCTCAAATAATTCAAAAATATTTTTATTAATTTAAAAAAATTATAATTGTTATTATAATAATTATTCATTATTTCCTTTGTTTCTAAAAAATAAATCCTGCAAAATATTTTCTTTTTTTTTATATGAAAAACTTAATTACTTGACAAAATTTTGACTTCTTCCCTAACCCTAAAGAAAATTCTGATATACACTCTAAAAATGATTAGACACTCAAAAAATGTTCTATTACATTTATTTACCAATTTCTGAAATTATTTCAAAACATCAATAACTTCTTCTCTAAATAAATTTTAATCATTATTATTTTCTCACAGGAATAAATTATTCTTAATAATTTTTGAAAAAAGTTCTTTGAGAATTTTAAAATCCATTTGTTTACAAATCAATTTTACGAAATTTAAATTATACAGAAATTCTTCAATTAAATACGAATTAAAAAATAAACACTTCAAATAATTTCAGGATAAAATTCAATTAAACTTTTTTAATATAATTAATTCTACAGAATTGTTAGTTATAAGTATGAAAAATACAAATTTTTAAAGAATTTGATTTGAAACCATTTTAAAATTTAATTATTTCTTAAAATTCATGCTAAATTTTTATTAGATAATTCAATAATTTAAATACAAAAATAAATAATTTATTTAATATTTAAAATTTCTTAAAATTGAAGTCTCATAAAGAATTTTATCAAAACATTTTTAAATCATTGATTTCTTTTAACGATTTTTCATAAAATTTTTAAGAACAATTACATTTTTCGATAAATTTGATTAAAATTGTATTAAAAATAATTTAAACTCTGCCATGAGTTTTATTTATGAAAATAATTGAATTCCTAAAAGAAATTTTATTATTTATAAAAATAATTAAATTATTGCGAAGAAATTCATAAAAATATTGTAAATAATAGATTTCTTATTAAATTTTTTAAAAATAATTGACATTTTGACGAGAATATTAAAAAATTCTTGAACATAATTGAATTTCTGCGAAAAATTTTATTACTTTTGAAAATAATTGCATTTATGCAATCAGTGATCAATTTTCAAAAATTCAATTTATTTTTGGGAGGCTTAAAAAATAAAAATGAATTTTGTGCAAAGTTAGTAAAGCATTCAAAATTTTTGCTCACAATTTCTTTAAGTTTTTTTGTTATTTGTAACAGGAATTTGTCGTAAATTACTGAAGTAACATTTTAAAAAACTTTAACTAATTCATTTCTTCACCCCGAGTCAACAACACATGTGTAATCCTGTTTTTATTTTTTATACGCATTATTATAAATTATCTATTGACACTAAGAGAAACTGCGCGTTTGTTTAGCTGTTACACCTACAATAATTTAAAAAGACAACATTTTTGTTATTTTTCATAAATTTTTCGAAGAATTTTTTATTGAAATTTTGTAAAGATAATTTTATTTCTTTTGAGTAATAATAATAATAAATTAAATACTTCATTTGGCGGGCGTGACAGTTGCTACTTATTTATATTACTTAGTAAAAAAATTTTAAATACAAATTTCATAAAATTCAATTATTTCTTTAATTTTTAAATAAAAAATTATTCCAAAATAATTCATAAAAAATAATTTTTTCTCGACAGTTTTTCAATAATTAAATTATTTTAAAAAAATCAATTTTAAATCTGTAAAGTCTAATTATTGTTAAAAATAGGAAAAGTTTGAAATAAATAAAATCTTTTCAACGCTGAAGAATAACATTCAGAATTTTCTTATGAATTCTTGAAATTGAATATTATTCCAGCACTTTTGACAAAATTCTCTGGCTTTTTTCTAATTTTCCTGAATAAATTTAGAAAAATAAGTAGTGATTTTGTGTAGAATTCTTCTGAATAATGGAATTTTTTAATGTTAATGACATGAAAATAATATTATTTAATTTTGACTAGAAAACTATTAGAAACAAAATAATAAGTAATTAATTGTAATTAAATGTAACTTTTTTTTTTATAATTAATAAGTCAAAAATACTGTAATAAACATATATCTTCCATTATCGTCTCATTGGCAATCACGCTTTTCTATGAACAATAGTCAACCTTAAAATATAACATGCTTAACGGAATAAAAATTTAAGTCTTATTCTCATGTGACATGTAATGTAAAAATTACATTATTGTTATATATGTTAAAAGTGAAATAAGAAACTTCACGCGCGCGTTATTTGTGCTAGTTTTAATAAATATACCTCTTCTAGATTAAAGATATTTTTGATTTGTTAAGTATTTTTCATTCTGTCAAAATCAGCTGTTGTAGCTGCGCGCGACGTTTATAGGTGCATCCCTCGATTACTGTTAAGCTTAAGATAACTGAATGTCGAAAATATTTCGATGTTTTAAAGTATTTTTCTTTTAACAGAAAAACATAGCTAGATATGGAATTTGAGACTAAATATTAAAATATCTAGATGTTATTTGTTGATATAAGTTAAAATTTATTTTTCAATATCCAGTTAAAGTCTATTAAAGATTATTATTAAAAAAAAAAAAAATTGCTAAAATTTAGATGCTGTGCAGAGAATTATTGTTTTCTCTGCTGTTAACTTAAAAATTGATTTCGTCCGCAATTGACTGAATTTTTTTTTTATTTTACTTTTTAAATTCTTTTCTTTAAATAATGAATTTATTTTGCCTGCAATTGATTGAAATACCTACTTCGACATTTTAGTTTTCAATTTCTGTTCTTAAATTAGTCAGTAATTTATTTCGTCTGCAATTGGTGACGATTTTAATATTTTCTATTTTATCTTTCGATTGAGTCCTTCGACTAATCAATCGAGAATTTATTTTATCTGCAATTATTTTTTTTTTGTAATTCAGTTTTTAAATTTTGTTCTTTTTTTAAGAAAGTTTAAAAATATAGTATAAATTTCTGAAAAATTGACAAAATGCATGAAATTGTGGGATCCATTGTAAACAAACATGCGTTTTTTTGAAAAAGAAGAGGCGTGTACTCTGGGACGATAATAACGGTCAATTCCTAGGAACTCACGCGCATATCGGACAGGAAATTTTGCTGTCCATATTCTGTCCGCGTAGACAACGGGCGCAGAAGGTGTGGAAGCAAGATAGTAGACATGGTTCCCTGTAGTAGTCGTGGCATATGCCGCAAATAAGGGGATTCCTCGGGCTCGATATCCCAGTGGAGGGAGCGTCATTCTCGCCGATAACCCCGTCGGTGGCGACCGAACCGGAATTGGCCATCGTTTTTTTTTTTCTCTCTTTCTGTCGAATGCGAGACAGAATAATTGTCCGCGTATCAAAACAAGAAATAAAAGCACCAAAAAAAAACGACGACCTACTCTCTATAAATACGGTCACTTAATCAAATAATTGTCGTCAAAGATCAATTACCGAAAAATAAAAAAAAAATTTTCTGACAACCCTAGCGAGGGGCGTCGAACAACTGCACCACTGAGATAAGGAAGTTTCGAACCCCGCCACTGACGGTCCACTGACTCCTCGCGCGCAGAAAACCTCCAGCGCTCTCTTAACGGCTCGTCGTCATTCTGACGTTGCGATAACGACCACGACTGGGACGCTGCCCTCCCATGAACCACCCCTCAATTCCCTTCAACCCCCAAAAGCGTTGCTCGGTATACAATAAGTTTACAATCCTCTCCTCCACACACTTCTCCGCGGTGAGCACATTGCGCGCGAACTCTCTCTCTCTCTCTCTCTCTCTCTCTCATTCATTTCCGCACCCTTTTCCTTGAGTTCATTTACATCACACACACGGTGTTTGTATTCTTTTGGCCAATTCTTGGCCAAAATTACATTTAAACTTTCTAATAAAGAGCGGAAATGCACCAATTACTGCGGATTGAAATTCATGATCGATTTTTTAGGAGAAAATATAACAAGGAAAAAAATATATTTTCACAGTAGATTAGCAAGTAAGAAAAAAGAAATCTGATCCACCATTTTGAATTTTGAAAAACTAACACCAGATTCGTAATCAGCGACCTCGAAAACCCCCGAGTACAAATTTCCAAAGAAATTGGACCAATATTTGAAAAAGTCGTCCGCCATATTGGATCCGCCATTTTGAATTTTGAAAATCTGACATCGGATTCGTAATCAGCGACCTCGAAAACCCCCGAGTACAAATTTCCAAAGAAATTGGACCAATATTTGAAAAAGTCATCTGCCATATTGGATCCGCCATTTTGAATTTTGAAAATCTGACATCAGATTCGTAATCAGCGACCCCGAAAACGTAGTATACCCTACTTTTTTTAATATTTCGACATTTTATAAATTGCGTGATTCAAAGCGTTAAATCCAGAAAATTAATTGAGTTTCAGTATCTTTCCTATCTATGGTAAATTTTTTTATTATAAAAGTTAAATGTATTAATAACAAGATTGACATGTTCTTTTTTTACAGCTAACATTCTGTCATCCACATAATATATAAAGTAGAACAGAGGAACACAATTGTATTTTTCTTTTAATTTTTTTAAACAATCAGTTTCGAGATCATCCATGACAATATCTGAGACGAATAGTCGAAATTGGTGTACCATAAATATGTCTATATAGAATTTTCCATCAAGAGAAAAATATGTGTTGTTAAATACAAATTTAGTACAATCAATAATAGCATCAGAGAAAGAAATTTTACTCTTCTGGTTTATAAGGTGAATGCGTCGATCTAAACTCTAAATTACAAGTTGACTACTTAGAAATGTTTATGTAAACATAGAACTTACGTCAAGTGAAATAAAACCTTTGTTCCCCTGTTGCTCATTAAACTATTTTAAATATTACATTCTGATTATTATTTGGGGGACAAAAAATCAGTAGTCCGTGAACCCTATTCATCAAGTTTAAGGTCATCTGTGATTCATTACTATATCATAGTAAAAAATATGGAGAATAACCTATTGTCCTTAAATATGATTCTTTTGCGTTTTAAAATTTTCACAAAAAAAATTTTAAGCTCTTCTATATTATGTACATAAATTTAGAAAAGAAGAATAAAATTACATTAAGTCCTCAGATTTCGTTAAGTAAAGACCTGTGAATGAGGGAATAAAAATATATCATCAATTTTATAAGATACTGAAGTGTTTTTTAAGGAAGTCGAACAGAATTTTTCAAGAATATTAAAATGTTAAACAAGAAGAAGGAATACGTCAATGAGTAATAGTTTTAATTATTATAATTGAAATTAATTAATTATTAATTAATCAAACAAAATGCTACTAGTCTTGTACTTGATTTATTAATCGAAAAGTAACTTTTAAAAAGGTGTACCAGATGGAATAGGAGATTTGATTTAAAATGTGGACTGACAATATTATGTCTTACAATATGTGTGACATCATCAAAAGGATATTGCATTCCATATAATGGTAGGTACTTTTTATGAATTATAGAATGATGAATATTAAAATAACTTCATACTACGATTTTTAGATTCTATTAGTCTGCAGAATGAAGACCAACCGATGGAAATTGCACCCATGAATTCAGTAGAACCAAACTATGAAAATAATTATTGTCTCACATCAGAATGTAATGATACAGGTCTGTATGATTTTCTAATACTTTTGTAATTAGTTATTAATGCAGTCAATATTGTTTTGGTGTGTCGTAGATTTAATAACAACAAATTATTTCTTTTCAGCAACAAGAGTACTGAAGTGTATGGACAGGGAGGTTGGTTGACACCATAACCATTATGCAAGGTATTTTTGTCAATCAAACTAGACCTCAGTACATGAACTACGGATCATTTGGATTTATAATTGGACATGAATTAACTCACGCTTTTGACAACGACAGTAGAAAATATGATGGAGAAGGATACTTGATGGATTGGTGGGAACCAGAAGCAGATAAAGAATTTCTTTCAAAATCAGAATGTCTAGTACATCAATATGGGAACTACACAGTTGAAGAAGTCAAAAAAAATGTAAGTACCAAATCCAAAAACTCGTGGAAAAGTTGCTGAACACGATGCTGTTGTGTACTTACACAGTGCAGCATTAATTTTAAATAAATTTTCACCTTACAGATAAAAGGAGAGAAAACGCTAAGTGAAAATATTGCAGATAATGGAGAAGTTAAAGTTGCATATTTAGCTTATGAAGAGTATATGAAAACCCATTCACCTGACTTACTGTTACCTGGTGCAAAATTTTACGCAACGTCAACTTTTTTGGATTAGTTTTGCTCAAAAGTTTTGTACCCAAATTGATGAAGCTGGACTGGAATATCAAATTTCCAAAGATTTACATAGTCCTAGTGAATTTAGAGTAATTGGTTCTGTTGCCAACCGAGCAGAATTTGCAAGAGATTTTCAATGTGCATTAGGCACCAAAATGAATCCTTAAAATAAATGCTCTGTATGGTAAAGTTATTTAAATAAACATTAAAAAAAATAAGTAATGATTATTAATTCTAGAATATTTAAAGAGTAGAAAAAAAATAATTCTGGGTACTTACCATTTTTATTTACACAACTGTATAATTATTATATTATTCATATTTTATTATTTTATGTCTTTCTAAATTTTTATCTTATCAATAGCACGAATTATTGACTCTAGTACTCGCAAGTATAAAAGGAACAAGAAAAATTTTAAACCTATACTTCCGAGACTGTAAATAAATTTTCAAATCGTTACGACTCACAACTTTTTAACATTTGGATTGGTAGTGTTTAACTATCAAAAATGAAGAAAATTCATTGTATATTACCGCTTTTTGAAATCTTGTAAGTAGAGTATAAAATAATATTAACCCCTTTGCAGTCCAATTAAAAATCGCTTGTGGGGCCTAAAACGGTCCGAAAAAAAAGTTTCCACAAAAAAATGTAATTTCATCATATGTAAGGTTTTTGGGATCGCTGAATTCGAATTTGGGGTCAGTTTTTCAAAATTAAAAATGGCGGATCCAATATGGTGGATAATTTTTTTTAAATTGATGCGTTTTCGAGCAAAATTCATTTCTCGGGGGTTTTCGGGATAGCTGACTACGAATCTCATGTCAGATTTTCAAAATTCAAAATGGCGGATCCAATATGGCAACCAAATTGTTTCAAAGTTGACTTTATTTGAAATTTTCTTTTAGTTTATGGCTCGCTACGTTTCCAATCTTAACAAGAGCAGAAATTAGTGATACCACAATTCGTAAGTATTAGAGAACAAGATAATTTTCAAACTGTTTGTTTAAAAAAAATATATATTCAATGAAAAAAATAGAAAATCTATATTCATACGATAAAATTATATATAATTATAGATTCAGATTTAATGCCATCATCATGGGACATGAAAGATTATTGCTTCACACCAGAATGTATACATACAGGTTGAGTAATTACATACAGTTTACTTAAGGCTAAAGGAGAATTGAGAAGTTTGACACTTTTTCTATTAAAAAAAAAAAAAAAAAAAAAAAAAAAAAATTTCAGAATAAATATAAATAAAATATATTATATTCCTTTTATAGCATCAAGAGTGTTGAGAGATATGGACACAAGTATTAATCCTTGTGATGATTTTTACAAATTTTCTTGTGGTCAATTCATAAACGAAAATAATAAACATGGATACTCACACGATCATTCTATAATAATTCAACAAAATATTGACAATATAATGAAAAATTATCTACGGAAAGAAACTTTACCAGACGAACCAAGATATGCCAGATTAATTAAAACATTTTATAACAATTGCATTAATGAATGTGAGTCCAAAATCTGTAATTTCAGATATCAAATTATTGTCGCAATGTCGAATTTTTTTACTTGACCAAATAGAAAATTTCTGATTTTAATTCTAATATTCTCTACTTGTTTATATAACTAATTATGAATTAGTGATAAATACGTCAATTTTTAATCTTCTAATAATTTTTGCAGTAAATAGCGAAAACGAAACTGATTTCAATTCAATTCTGGAATTAATAAATAAAGCCGGTGGATGGCCTCTTTTAAAAAATAATTCTTTGGAAGATGAGAATTTCCAGTGGGAAAAATTTGGCTCCCAAATGGACAACATTACCATTTTGGAAAATACATTTTTAACGACAATACTTTTTGATGATCCAAAATACAGTTCGAACAGAATTTTAAAAGTAAATTGTCAATTTATATTATAAATATAATATTTTGGGGAATTTTCACCACAAAATTTTTTAGTGTACTTCTTTGAAGAAGCAAAACCTTAAATACTTAAAAATTTATAAACACAGATTCAACAACCGACATTATTTTATACATCATATGAGGCCTACTATAGAATAATCCAGACTGCTCAACTGTTGGGGGTACAAGAAGATGTTGCTAAGAATATTTTTAAAGAAATCAACAAAGTTGATCAAAAATTATTTAACGTAAGTAATTAAGTATTAAAAACTAAAAATTTTTTTCTTCATAAAATTATTTATATATACAGATATCAGTGAAGAAAAAAGATAGAAGTTCTACGTTTGAAAAAATGACTGTAAAGCAACTAATGGAGAAATATTCAAATATTTTGTGGAAGGAATTTTTCAATACGTTTTTAAAGCCAAATACTATTTCTGATGATGATGTTATACTTGTTAGGGATATCGCCTTCTTTAATGAGTTTAATGAACTTATTAAAAATATTACAAAAAAAGATCAGGCCAACTATCTAATGTGGAGAGCAACTTACATAATTTTAGAAAATTATGCTAAATCACTTTCATCATCAAACCCATCAGAAATATGTTATGATTCTGTGAAAACTATTTTCGAAAAAAGTTTTGGTGCTTTGTATTTTAAAAAATTTTTCAAAGTAAACTCGAATCTGGAAAATGTTGATGAAATGTTTGATAATATTTATGAGCAGTTTAATAATACTCTATATAATGTAAGAATGATTTTCTCTTTAAGAAATTATTCTCAATGTATATGAAAATTGCTTATATAAAATGAAGAGGTTTATCTATTTTTAATTTTTCTAGAATAATTGGATGGACAATGTAACGAAGCTTAAAGCGTTAGAAAAGCTTGAATCAATGTTTATTGTACGTCCAACTGATTATTTCTCTCATAATGACAGTGAAATTGATGAATTTTACAAAAATTTGGAAATTACACCAGGCGATTATTTTCAGTCGTTGATAAACATTAAAAAATCTGTTAAATACACAATGAATGTGGATATTTTTAGAAAACCATTAAAAATAAGGAGTTGGTTAGAATTACCAAGCGCGACAATAGTGAATGGACAAGCTATTATGGAACTAAATCGTTTTGGTATGTATTAAATATTAAAATTGTTCGATGGACAAACTTAAATGTTACTTTTGCTGTAAGTTTACGTTATCCTACTCGAAACTAAAGAAAATATTTTCAGTTACACCACCGGCCATTTTTCAAGGAATTTTCTTCAATGAAAAACGACCTCAGTACATGAATTACGGAGCTGTGGGTTCTGGAATTGGACATGAAATGTTACATAATTTTGACAACAACGGAAGAAAATATGATAAAGAAGGATTTAAAGAAAATTGGTGGAATCCAGAAAGTTTTCAAGAATTTCTTTCCAAAGCTCAATGTATAATTAATCAGTATAATAACTATACAGTCGAAGAAGTTGGTTTAAATGTAAGTTTCTAAAAATATAAATCATTGACCTTCCCTTTTAGTGTACATGAAAAAAAAATAACCAGATGCAGTAGCAGAAATCTTTACAAACATTTTTTAAACCCATTCTGATATATTTCACAGATAAATGGTGAGCAAACGCAACAAGAAAATATTGCAGATAATGAAGGAATTAAAATTGCATATTTAGCTTATGAAAAGTATATGAGAACCCATGGTGTTGAGCCATTGTTGCCTGGTGTCAATTATACACAACGTCAGCTTTTTTGGATCAGTTTTGCACAAATGTATTGCGAAACACACACTCATGATGAAATGTTTGAATTTCTGAATGATGACACCCATAGTCCTAATGAATTTCGAGTTTTGGGTTCTCTTTCTAATCGTCCAGAATTTGCAAGTGATTTTCAATGTGCACTGGGCACAAAAATGAATCCTGAAAATAAATGTTCTGTATGGTAATTTAAAAAAAAAAATTATAATCTCGTTAATTTTCAATTATTTTTAATTATTATGTCAAAAATGGCAAATTTTTACCTAATATTTGAACTAAATATAGTAAATACTGTAGTAATTTAAATCATGTTTTATAATTATATTTAAACAATAAATGTTTTAGAGTGAGACAAAATTTTGCTAATTTGTTATTAATCCTTTCCAGTTTTCCTAGACCATTGGATTTAAAAATTTTTTAAATTTCATAAAATTCAATAATTCTGACCCATTTGAATGTTATATGATTTTAAAAAAAAATTGTTTTGAATTTTAAAACAGTAAAAATTTCTACTTTCTGTCCAAAGACAATTTTACTCTATCAAAAATGTTTCCTGCTATTGTGATAAACTGAATATTATGTATTAAGAGTAAAATAATTAGTAACCCCTTCTTGTAATTCTAAGTCATTGGTTCATAAGAAATATAAAATCCCACCTGAACCACGACTTTCGACAAAGATAAATAAATTTTCAAATCGTGCCAACTCACAAATTTGTTAACCCTTTAAATTTGTAGAACATTGTGTTTATCAAAGTGTATGCGCTTTAACAGAAAGTTAAAATAAAAAATGAAGACAATTTGTTATACCTTCTTTTTTTTGGAAATACTGTAAGTAGAAAATAATATTAATATTTAAAAATAATTTATTTTTCTCTAATATTGAAATGAAATTTTACTTATTCAAAAATAGAGGTAATTTTGATTTTTATGTTTTCTTCATAACGCATTAAAATAATAATCAATGCGCAAGTTCATTTGTTCATTTCAAGTTAATTTAAAACAAGAAAAATAGAAAAACTTTATAAATTTATAAATTGAATTTAAAAAAAAAAATTAAATTCTGCCATAAAAATGCACCTGGGTGGTTATAATTTTTATTTACACTTGAAAAATTTTTCTTTAGTTTATGTCTTTCAACATTTCCAATCTTATCAATAGCACGAATTATTGGGTCGAACGTTCGTAAGTATATAAAAGGGACAAGAAAAATATGTTTTATTAATAATAATATATTTTCTTTTTAAAAAATTTTTGTTTTAAAGTTTAAATATTGCTTGAAAGGTAAGAAATGTAATGTTAAAATTAAATGATCCAAAACAAGTAAATATATATTTGGTACTCTTTTTTAACCCAAGGATTATAAATTTACATATATAAAAAATTATAGTTACAGATTTAATGTCATCAAAAGACGAAAAATTTTATTGCATTAAACCAGAATGTATTCATACAGGTTGGAAATTAAGATTCAAAGAAATAATTAAAATGTCGATTGCTCTAAAAAATTAGCTATTTTTAAAAAAAAAAAATTTTTTTTTAAAAAATTTTTTTAGAAAAAGCAGATTAAAAAACATATGATATTCCTCTTATAGCATCAAGAATACTGGAATATATGGACATAACTTATGATCCATGCGAGAATTTTTACAAATTCGCTTGTGGTCAATATGACAACTCGAGAACAACTCGTGCATACAAGACAATAGATCAGATTTCAATGATTGAAAAGGAAATTTTTAAAGAGATGCAAAATTATCTACAGAAAGAAATTTCACCCACTGAACCAAGATATGCCAAATTAATCAAAACATTTTATAACAGCTGCATTGATGGATGTGAGAGACTATGCATGTAGAATTTCGCAATATAAAACAATAACAAACTTTTATATATAACAATTTTTTAATTAATCACTTTTTTTGCAGTTTATAACTTAGAAAAGATAAATTTAAATCGAGTTGGGGATTTAGTAAATAAAATCGGTGGATGGCCTTTTATAAATGGTGAATCTTGGACAGATGAAAATTTCCAATGGGAAAAATTTGGTTCCCAAGACGAAAATATTACCATTTTGGAAAATTATTTCATATCAATTAATTTTCGAGAAGACACTATAAATAGTCAATACAAAGTATTGGTGGTAATTATAAAATGATAAATAAATTTTAGAGATAAAAAAAACCTATTTTTTGAATTAGTAATTTGATATTAAATACACAGATAGAGCAACCGTCAAAATTTTTTACATTTCCTGACGACTACCCTAAAATATTTAAAACTGTTGAATGGTTTAAAGTAAACATAGATGAAGATATTGAAAAGGATTTGATACAATTCCTCGAAGTGGACAAAAAACTGTTTAATGTAAGTATTGATGAAATTGATGAAAATTGATGAAAATTCATGAAAATTTATAGAATTATGAAAACCATCATATTCATAAAATTATTTACAGATAACCGTTGAAAAGAAAGATATAAATATTAATCCGTATGAAAGAATGACTGTAAAGCAACTAATGGAAAAATATTCAAATATTTTGTGGAAGGAATTGTTTAATACGTTTTTAAAGCCAAATACTATTTCTGATGATGATGTTATACTTGTTGACGATATCGGCTACTTTAATAAATTTAACGAACTTATTAAAAATATTTCAAAAAGTGATCAGGCAAACTATCTTATATACAGAGCAATTTACACAATTTTAGAAGATTTCATTATATCAACTGATGTTGAAGACAAAGAAGGAATTTGTTATGAATCTATAGATAATATTTTTCATGAAAGTCTTGGTGCTTTGTATTTTAGAAATGTTTTCAATAGATCCTCGAGTCTGAAAAATGTGGATGAAATGGTTGATAATATTTATGATCAGTTTAATTCTATTCTAAGAAAGGTCAGATGATTATTTTTTTATGTATTAGAAAGGATAGACGAAGGCTTTGCTATCAATTTTTAATTTTTTCAGAGTCAATGGATGGAAAATGGAACGAAGCTTAGAGCGTTAGAAAAGCTGAGATCGATGTTTATTGTACGTCCAACTCAATATCTTCTTCGTGATGACAATGAAATTGATGAATATTACAAAGACTTGGAAATTACACCAGGCGATTATCTTCAGTCGTTGATAAACATTACAAAATTTCAAGTATACAAACAAAATGTAGAGGTATTCAGAAGACCAGTGAATAAGGGCAGTTGGACAGAGATACTTAGCGCAAAAACAGTGAATGCAAATAATGTGCATCCACAAAATAAAATTGGTTTGTATATGCTTGGCTGATATTAAAATTTTATTATTATTAAAAAAAATCTTTGCTCCTTTGAATTTTTATTCTATAGTCAAAATTAATGAAAATACGTTTATAACAGTCGTATCACCGGCCTATTTGCAAGGAGACATTTTTAATGCAAATAGACCCCAGTACATGAATTATGGAGCAATAGGATCTGTAATTGGACATGAATTTACTCATGCTTTTGACAATCAAGGTAGAAAATATGATGAAGCAGGAAATCTGATTAATTGGTGGGAGCCAAAAAGTGATGGAAAATTTCTTGACAAAGCTCAATGCATAATTGATCAGTATAACAACTTTACAGTCGAAGAAATTAGCTTAAATGTAAGTTTTCTAAAATATGAATTTACAATGACTATTCAAACAAATAAATACTACTTTTCGTAATCTCTAGAGTAAAAAATCTTTTTGACCAGTAGCAGAAATCTATATTAAGAAAAACCCAAACTACATAAATTTTGAATATTACAGATAAAAGGAAACAAAACACAAAATGAAAATATTGCAGATAATGAAGGAATTAAAGTTGCATATTTAGCTTATGAAAAGTATATGAAAACCCATGGTCTCGAGCCATTGTTGCCTGGTGTCAATTATACACAACGTCAACTTTTTTGGATCAGTTTTGCTCAATTATGGTGTGCAAAAAAGACACCTGATGAACTAAAGGATTTAATTGAAAACGATGAGCATGCTCTTCACAAATTTCGAATTATCGGTTCCCTTATTAATAGTCGGAGATTCGCAAGAGATTTCCAATGTGCCCCAGGCACAAGAATGAATCCTAAAAAGAAATGTCACTTTTGGTAACAATTTCCATTATTTTGGAAAAAATTGTTTGTATTAACAAATAAAATAATAAATATTCATGACAAACTATTCTTATTGTGATACTATTTATTTAAAATATACAAGAATGAATCCTAAAAAGAAATATTACTTTTGGTGATATTTTTTTTCGTGGAAATTATTTGCATTACTTAATAAAATTAATAAATTTATGAAAAACTATTCTTAATGTGACACTATTTATTTAAAATAATTATGATACAAGAGCGAATAGGCGCAATAAGATAACAGCTGAATAAATATTTTTCCAAAAAAACAAAACTGTAACGAAATTTGTCATTTTTTTCTATTATTATTTCAAGGTGACTTAAATATTTCATTGAATTTATTTTACAACTATTTCAAAACTTATTCTAAATTTTATTGGAATAAATTATTTTTTTTTTTAAATGTTATCAATTCATTTTCGATAAGAATACGAAAAAACTCACACAGTTTTCTTCAATAAAGAAGAAGATTGTTAAATATCCACATGTTCTTTACTTATAATTTTAAAAAATTTTTAGCAACATTTCAACAAAAATGTTTAACACAAATGTTTAACAAAAATGTTTAACAAAATTTTTTAACAAAAATATTAAACAAAAATTTTTAACAAAATTTTAACAAAAATTTTTAACAAAAATTTTTAACAAAAATTTTTAACAAAAATATTTAACAAAAATTTTTAACAAAATTTTAACAAAAATTTTTAACAAAATTTTAACAAACATTTTTAACAAAAATATTTAACAAAAATATTTAACAAAAATTTTTAACAAAATTTTAAGAAAAATTCTTTAAGAACATTTTAACAAAAATTTAACCAAAAGTTTTAAAAAAAAATTTCGTCGTTCTGGTGATAATGGAAAAAATTAAGTGTTACATAATGATTTTCAAGACACTGTAAGTATACAGGTACTTTTTAAATTTTTATATCATCTCAAACATCCCATTCATACATAGAAATTTTTTTCAGTGTATGTCTTTCAAGTGTTTTAACATTATCGAAGGCACAAGATACATTTTCGAGTTTTAGTAAGTACCGACAATTTTTAAAAATTGTAACGTAAAAGTTATTGACTTGAACAATGGAATAATTAATTAGCACATTTTCTTTATTTAAAATAATGTATTTGACCTGGAAAGTTAGAGAATTTTGCCGCATATATTACATTTTTTTTTTTTTTTTTTTTTTTTAATGATGAACTTGAAATTTTATTTTATTCACAATCACATTGTTAATATTCACAAGATAATAAAGATAATGATGATGATAGTTACAGAATCGGTGGCGCCGAAGAAGAAAAGTGATTATTGCCTCACACCAGAATGTATTCATACAGGTTGGTATTTTTTAATCTATACAATGTTGACAATGTTTTTGTTTGGCAATTATGAAGGAATTCCTTTTAATGCTATATCAACAGAAAATATTTGTATGTTATTAATTTTAATCTCGATTTTAATCAAATTTTTTCCTAGCCTCAAATATTCTGAGAAACATTGATACAAATGTTGATCCATGTGAGGATTTTTACGAATTTTCCTGTGGTCGATATTTTAAAAAACCAGTAGCTTTAGACATAAATAATTTTATTGTTAATAATATTCAAAGTATTCGCACTAAAATTTTGCATAGCATGAAGGATATTTTAGAGGAAAAAACTCTTCCTACCGAACCAAGATATGCACGATTAATAAAAATTACTTATCAAAACTGTATTAATGCAAGTAAGACAAAGTATCTAGATACTGATATAAATTTTCAAGTTATTGTTCTAAAAACGAAATTAATTTTAAAAATTACAAATTTTGTGAATTTTATAAATTATATAGTTAATAAACAGGAGGAAAATTTGACTTTAAATTCGGATTTTTTGAACCAAATTGGTGACTGGGCTTCTTTGAAAGGTGATTCTTGGGAAGATGTCAGTTCGCATTGGGAAGATTTTGAATCTCTGGTTAACGATTATTTGTCATTAATTGGTGATAGCAATTACCTCGAGGAATTTAATTTGCTTATTAATCAGATTTCAAAAAGCGAACAAACAAACTATCTTATATGGAGGGCAATCAACGATTTTCTATTCAATAAAATGCAATCATACAAATGGCAAACATGTTATTTATACGTACAAGCAAATTTCAAAAATAGTTTTGGGGCCCTTTACTTTCAAAAATATTATAAGGATGGATTTACCCAAAAAGAGCTTTTCAATCAAATGGTTGCTAATATTTCCCAACAATTCAAAATAACGCTTGAAAGTGTAAGAAGGACTCTTAAAAATAATTTCATTAAGAAACATCAATAAGATTTCTTCTTCTTCTTCTTCATATTTTCACCAAATAATTATTTATTTTTATAAAGGCTGATTGGATGGACCAAGTGACAAAGGATAAAGCACTTGAAAAGCTTGCTTCAATTTTCTTTGTAGATCAAAATTTTTTCAAATATCAAGACGATGAAATTGATAAATTTTATGCTGACTTGGAAATAACGCCGGGGAATTATTCTCAGACGATGATGAATATTACAAATTTTAAAAAGAATCATAATGAATCTTCTGAAGATAAGACAAGTTGGATAAATCAACTTAATCCAATGTCAGTGACTGCAAAGTATATTTTAAGAAATAATACTATTGGTATGTATTTTAATTTTTTTCAATTTTCTCCATTTTTTGTCGGACAATAAAAATTTTTAAAGTATAACTTTGAGTACATTTATAGCCATAACACCCTCCATTCTACGAGGAGTTTTCTTCAATGAAAATAGACCTCAGTACATGAATTATGGAACAATGGGTTTTATAATTGCACATGAATTTGTTCATGCTTTCGACCAAAAAGGAAGATATTTCGATAAATTAAAAAATTACGTCAATTGGTGGAAATTTGAGACTTCTTATCAATATCACTCAAGAAGAAGATGCATGGTTCATCAATATGGCAACTTTAGAATTACAGAACTTGACTTAAAGGTAATAATTCTTAATTCTTTTTATAAAAGAATAAGAAATCATTATTTGAATATTCAGAACTATGTTCAGTTGGATAAGATGTTATATTTTGAAATAATATACGTTTTATCGAAAACTAATAATATAGAAAAATTAAATTTTAAATAGAAAATATTTTTCAGGTTAGAAGTGTTATATCGAGTGAAGAAAATGTTGCAGACAATGTAGGGGTTAAAGTTGCATATTCGACTTATGAAAAGTATATGAGAACTCACGAACCTGATTTATTATTACCTGGAGTGAATTTTTCTCAACGTCAACTTTTTTGGATCAGTTATGCTCAAGCATTTTGCGAGGAAGCAAGTTATAATAATCATTTAAAAATATATCAATCCGGTACTCATAGTCCAAGTAAATTTCGAGTTTTAGGTTCTCTTGCTAACAGTCCAGAATTTGCAAGTGACTTTCAATGTGCACTGGGCACTAAAATGAATCCTGAAAATAAATGTACCGTCTGGTAATTTTTCGCATATAAATGCTGCACTAATTGACAATTTTATTTAGAACTCACTAAAATTAATATAATGATGTAATTGTGCTAATTTTATATTATTAAGACATTATTGACATTATCAACAATAAGAAATAAAAAATTGATAACGTTTAGTAATAATGTTCCTCATTTTTTTTAAGAAGTCCCTCCTTTTTTAAAAAATCAGTTGCATTTTTTCCTGAAAAATATGTTTTAAAGTAAGGTACCTAAAACGTCATGGTCTGATCAATTTGTCAAGGTTATTTATGGTACAAAGGAAATTTATAATTATTCTGGGGCCCATCACGGATGTTTTATTTTTTAATAAAATTTTTTTTTTTTCTTTTGAAATTCTATATTGACTTAGATAAATATGTTTTGTAATAATTTAATAAAAAAAATTGTAGATTAGAAGCAGTCAAATAAAATACGACCAAAAACAACTGGTTAAATAGTTTTCGAAAAACGTGTAAAACAGTTTGTATAAGTTTGATGTTCTTAAAATAAAAAATATATTTTAAGTCGTGCATTTTTCAATTTTTAACTGTTCAAGATCGTCGAGTATAATATTGGACGAATGTAATATAAGAAATATATTAAATCAAAAAAGGTTGTATTCAAAATGGCAAAATGGTTATTCTTCATCCATTTCGACATACTGTGAGTAAATATCTACATAAGACAAAAAAAGGCATTTCTTCTGTAATTATTTAAATATAACAAATAAAATAAGTAAAATCTAAATATGGGTCTAATTAATATTATAATCTTATTAAGAATATAAAATTTAAACTTTTTTTCAGTGTCTGTCTTTTAGCTTTTCGAACATTAGCAAGAGGGGAAAATATAACTCCAAATATTCGTAAGTATACTTTGAAGTCTATTTTTTATCGTTCATTTACTATTATGATTTTTTTAATACCAAAGTTTAGTTTATTCACCACTGAAACAAATTTACGATTTTTGCACGTGTAGAAAATAATGTGACCTTTTGAAAATTTTATTTTATAGATGTATAGTAGCTTAGCTTAAACTGTAGGCTCTTCTCTCTGACTTTTATGGGTTACTCATAATTAAGTCATTATTTCATATAATTAATTTTTAATTTATCTTTAAGCCACATTGTAACATTTAATATTTTTGTTTTCAGATTTATCTGATACGTAACAAAAAATTAATTCTTAATTAACATTAACAAAAAAAATTTAAGTTTCAGATTCAGATGAGATTGATTTTTGTCTAACCCCTGAGTGTGTTCATACAGGTTAGTAAATAAAAAATGAGCAATAGAATTATATTTATTTTACTTAATTGAAAATATTTATTTCATACAGCATCAAGAGTTTTGAAATATATAGAAACAAGTATTAATCCTTGTGACAATTTTTATAAATTTGCTTGTGGTGGATTTATAAAAGAACAATGGACTTCAGACAAAATTGCATTTAAGAAAGATCATTTTATTAAGGCTAATGAGAATATTCAGTTATTTATTAAGTCTATTCTAGAAAGGGAGGTGGACTATACTGAACCAAAATATTCGAGATTGATGAAAACATTTTATCAAAACTGCATGAAAGCAAGTAAGCACTTCCGAAGTTGACACTTTTGACACCTTGGAAAGTTATACACTTTTCAAGTATAAATTCTGTTGTAAAAATAAATTAGAAATTTGTTTTTAAATACTTGTTGATTTTTAAATGTCTTCATTTTAAAAACCGCGTAGCCGATATGCAGTACCGTAATTTTTATTCTCTTTCGTATTTGTTAAACAAAATTGGTGGTTGGCCCCTTTTGATCGGAAATTCCTGGAAAGATGACAATTTTCAATGGGAAAAGTTTGGCACCCAATTGATAAATGAGATTAGTTTAGAAAATCATTTTATTTTTTCGAAAATTCGAGAGGATGTGAAAAACAGTTCCAATATGGTTCTGGAGGTAAAATTATTCTATTCTATAATTAAATTCTTCGATTTATTTCATTTTATTTAAATTTAAGTTTAACATTTTTTTTACTCCAGATTAAGCAACCGTCGAATTTTTACAAATCGCCGGACTATTACAATTTAATCGCAATTACTACAAAACTTTTTAGAGCTGAAGAATATAATAAGGAACATGACATACAACAAATCCTCAAAGTAGAGAAAAAGATTTTTAATGTAAGAAAACAGTTTTCAAAAATGCTACTTTTTTAGTAAAAAAAAAGTTAACGAATGACATCAATTATTTGGATCTTAATAAATATATTAATTTTCTCACAGATAACTGTACCAAATTCAGAAAGAAATGATTCTTTCGATAGAATGACTCTAAAAGAGCTTGAGGGAAATTATTCCAATATTTTGTGGAAGGATTATTTTAATACATTTTTAATGCCAGTGGCTACAATTAAAGACGATGATATCATATTAGTTGGCGATAGTAACTACTTCAAGGGACTCAATTTACTTATTAATCAGATTTCAAAAAGAGATCAGGCAAACTATCTTACATGGAAAGCAGTCTACGATTATATCACGAATTATTTAGACCCAAAAGAAGTGGAAAATAATGAATGGAAAAAGTGTTATAATAACGTGGGAGATAATTTTCATGCTTTTGGATTTTTGTATTTCAGAAACATTTTTGATGATGGTTTTATCAGGACCGATGGACTCATCGAAATGATCAGTAATATTCTGGAGGAATTCAATGCAACTCTGACAAATGTAAGAAAAGTCTTAAATAAAAAAGCTAATAAATTTTTTTTTATAAATCATAATAAATTATAAATTAATAATTAATTCAATTGTTTAGACCGATTGGCTGGACGATAAAACAAAGGAAAGAGCTCTTGAAAAACTGGCATCAATGTTTGTCGTAAATCCAAATATTTACAATTTTTACACTGATGAGGAACTTGATGAATTTTATTCAAACTTGGAAGAAACTTATAATGATGATTATCTCCAATCGATGATAAACGTAAAATTGTTCAATAAATATAATGAAAATAATTTATTCGGAAAAGCTAAAAATAAGACAAGTTGGAGAAATCAACTCAATCCATCAAATGTGAATGCAAAGCACATTTTCACAAATAACAGTATTGGTTCGTATTTTTTTTGCTTTCAGGAATGTAATAGGAATTTCAAATAATTATTAAAATATACTTTTAGCGATATCCCCGGCATTACTTCGAGGGATTTTTTTCAATGAAAACAGACCTCGTTACATGAACTACGGATCTCTGGGTTATATAATTGGACATGAAATAACTCACGCTTTTGACAACAACGGAAGAAATTATGATAAACTCGGAAATCTTGTCGATTGGTGGGAAGCAGAAAGTAGCGAAAACTTTCTTTCCAAAGCGGAATGTTTTAATCACCAATACGAAGACTACACAGTACCAGAAGTTGACTCAAAGGTAAGTTGTAAACAGAAGAAATTGTATTAGAAACTAATTGTCGCGAATGGTAATCAATTGGTTCGAAAAAAAATAATTAAAATTAAATTATTTCTTACAGATTAGAGGAAACAAAACACAAAATGAAAATATTGCTGATAATGGAGGAATTAAAGTTGCATATTTAGCTTATGAAAGGTATGTGAAAACCCATGGACCTGAGTTAGTGTTGCCAGGTGTGAATTATACACAACGTCAACTTTTTTGGATCAGTTTTGCTCAAACTTATTGCGAGAGAATAAGTTCTAATGTACTGTCGTTCTTAATGCAATACGACGTGCACAGTCCTCAAGAATTTCGAGTTTTGGGTTCTCTTTCTAATCGACCAGAATTTGCAAGGGATTTTCAATGTGCACTAGGCACTGAAATGAATCCTGAAAATAAATGTTCTGTTTGGTAAATTGTCAATCTTATCGAAAGTAATGACATATGTACACCGAAAAAAATCTCGATGGTATTATTAACTATGACCCTATATAGTTAATCTTAACCTAGTAAAAGTAATAAGGATTCCTAATCATTACGATTAGGATCGCTAGGTTGATTCAACAAATCAAAGCCTGGCAAAAACAACCCTGCAAATCCTAGTCAAATTGACTAGGATTTTAGTTATTTTGCCTATTTCCATAATGCGCACGTGTGTCTGCTTCTGTTTTGAGTGTTTACCTCTATATCAATCGCGTCATTTATCGTGATTTAGTAAAACGATTGTTTATCATATCAGACTTTTTTGGTTTGGTTTCAATATAAATCGTCGAAATTTTTACGCACGTGGTGACAACATTTTTACTATTTCAATAGCGCAGTGTGTTTGAAAATTTACCTTTGTAATAATTTGTGTATTTAAATTTATTTTCATTTAAATGGCATAAATAATTAAAAATTAATAATTTTTAGCAAGTAGATAAAATTGTGTACATAAAACATATAAAACATCATCTGATTTTGACTCAAAAATCTAGTGTCTATTAAAAAATTAAAATACCAAGTCGTGTTTAGTGTATATAGTGGTTATCGTTCCAGGTTTCAAAGTGCGTATTCTTTAGGTTCAGGTGTTCGCGTCCCCCCTGCGTCAAATATTTATTTCATAAGTTTAAATTAATTCTAAGGTATATAAATACAAAGTCAAATAAAAATATGTTCAAATACAATAATTAATTTTTTTCTTTTAAATAGTTTTTTTCTTTTATTTGATAATAAGAATTTGATTAGCAATTTCAAATAATTATGATACACAGTGTAAATCTAATATTATTCTCCTAGTCAATTTGACTATTTTTTCCTGATTACATCGACTAATTTTCCTGGTCACTTTAACTATGCTTGAATTTTATTACTTTGACCAGGATTCTATAGTTGGCTCCTCTCGTAACTAGGAAACCAAGTCAATATTCCTGGTATACGGGTCCTAGGCATTTTTTTTCGGTGTAATACAAATAAATTACCTAATTAAATTAATTATATAATAAATAAATAAATATTGATGGAAATTTTAACTAATTTTTACGAAATATAACAAAAATTATGGAAATGATTATTTTTTCCTTAATTTTCGAAATTGATTATATAATGAATTTCCAGAAAAAAAATTCAATTCTTTTTTTCATTTTTTACTGTGTTAATAATCAAGTATAAACAATATTTGTTTCTACGAATTTTAGATTCGTATTATTATTACTATTCGTATTAGATATTTTATTATATATGATTCATTCAAAATAATAATATGAATGATGCTTAGTTTAAAATTTGTAATAATAAAGATATAAATTGAGATTATACGAAGAAAATTTATACACAAGACATTATTTATCTTAGATAAATGTTACCATAATATTTAACACCTTTTCAAACTTTAAACTTATTCACTGTTAAAATTCAAAGTAAGAGCCCAATAAAATAATTAGTCATGCCACACAACAATGAACGCACTAATGAAGGTGGTGACGTTTTACGTTATGAGATTTTAACGAGGTGGGCCCTTTTATTTTACGTATAAAAATTTAACATAGAATAAGAAAATTTCATTAAGTCCTCAGATTTTGTCAAGTTAAGACCTATAGAATATCTATTTATTTTCAAATTTCGAGAAATATTGTAGTTTTTTGGTAAAGTGTATCAGAACTTTTTTTGGACCTATCAACACGTTTAATATGAAGGAAGAATTTATTAATAGGTAAGTTAATTATTTTAATTGAATTTATTAATATATGAAAGTAATTAACGGTTAGAACATTATATGAAAAACATGAAAACTATTTTTTTTAAATGCTATTTTTTTAAATACTATTTTTTTTAAATTTAAATATTTTTGTAAATATTAATTTTTCATTCGGCAATTTTTCTATGGATACAAAAACATATTTTCTACAAAATTACGTATGGATTTCAAAATATCTATCTTATCCTCAAATATTTGGAAATGGATTTTAATTATTAAAATGAACAAAATTTTTATTTGAAACAAATACAGGAATAATTAATAAGAAAACATTTTTTAAAAAGATGCTCTAGGAGAAGGAGATTAAATTTAAAATGTGGACTAACAATGTTGTGTCTTGCAATATTTGTGACTCTGTCAGAAGGGCATTTCATTCCTGATAATGGTAAGTACTTTATAAGACAATTTTTTCTTACTAAAAATTTGACTCTTCGTTAATGATTGAAGTACAAAAAATTTGTTTTTCTTTGATAATTTGTCTTTTAACATTTTGGAAACTTTTTCACCAATTGATTCATTAGTCTTATTCTTTTTATTTATCAAACATAGGACGAAAAATGTAAAACCATTTTTGTTTTTTTATACAATCAGATTAAAAAACTATATTTGCATCAATAACAACCAGAAACTGATTTTTACACTATCGAAGCATGATATTTAAATTAAATTGATTGATAAACTTTAAATTAATTCACAACTTTTCATTACTGCCTTTAGATTTTATTCTTCTACGGAATCGAGATCGAAATCATCGTAGGGAAATTTTATTCACGGATTCACTGGAAACAAACAATAGAAATGATGATTGTTTCACACCTGAATGCATTGATACAGGTATATGATTTTCTAAAAAATAAATAATTTTTACTTAACTTCTGTATAATTTATTATTAATTCAACTTTTGCAAATACTGTAAAGGTGAATTATGATAAATAATACAGAAATAATATTATGCAATTATTGTCGTATAGAAAATATTTAGTTACTACCTCGATTACTACTAAATCTGAACATTTCTATGCTAATCAAACAAAACCACTTAAACAAACACACTATTTGGTATACGTTTGAAAATTAAAGAATTTCTGTGTATGGATAAATTTTTATTTAGATGAAGTAAAAATATTTTTTGAGATGCAAAATTATATTAAACATGAATTAAATTATTCTTTTTTAGCAATAAGAGTACTGATGTATATGGACAAAAATGTTGACCCATGCGATGATTTTTATAAATTTGCTTGTGGTCAATATCCATACTTTGTGGAATTTCCAAATAGTGAATCCAATAAACTCGATGAATTTTCAATAATTGAGGATAAAGTTAAAAAAGAAATGACAAGTATTCTAGAGGAGGAATATACATCCACTGAATCAAGATATGCAAAATTAATAAAAACTTTTTATCAAACGTGCATGAAAACAAGTAAGTCTAATGTACTACATAGTTTTTTATTCTTTCTTACTTTTCATTATTTCACATAAGTTGAAAATTCATAAAATTTATTTTTAATTGATTACTGTTTTTCCAGCTGATATAAATAAAGAAAATATAAAGTTAATATCGGATTTATTGAATACAATCGGTGGATGGCCCCTTTTAGAAAAAACTTCTTCCAGTTATAAAAATTTCCAGTGGGAAAAATTTGGATCCAAAATGAAAAAAGTTGTCTTTTTGAAAAATAGTTTTATCATTTCAACCTTTCGACAAGACACAATGAATAATTCAAACACAGTCATACAAGTATGTTAAGTGATATAAAATAAGAATTTTTCCTTAAATACAATTTATTTAATATTAAATAATTATTTCAGATTGAACAGCCCGAATCGTTTGATACATCTTCTGGTTATTTGAATTTAGTAGAAGCCACTGTAAAACTTTTTGGAGCTGATGAAGTAAAAATTAAGGACATAACCCAAATTGTAGACATAGAAAAACGTCTTTTTAATGTAAGTATTAAAAATCTTTGGGCAAACCACAAAAAATAGGCATTGTTACAATTTTTAGTTGCAATCACTTTTACAGTACCGAAAAATAGTTCTATTAAGTTAATTAAAATTGGAGGAATATTTAAAATTATTTATTAAACATTTCATTCTTTACAGATATCTGTGCCTTATGCAGAAAGAACTGATTTTCGTGATAGAATGACTGTTAAAGAGCTAATCGGAAATTATTCTAATATTTTGTGGAAGGATTACTTTAATACATTTTTAAAGCCATTTAATACAATTAAAGATGATGATATTATATTGATTAACCATGCCAACTATTTCAAACATTTTAACAAACTTATTAAACATTTTTCAAAAAGAGACCAGGCTAACTATCTTATTTGGAAAGTAGTCGAAGGTTTCCTCAATAATTACGTTGGATCCATCGAAAATAAAAAAGAAAAATCGAAAATGTGTTACAATCATGTATATGATCTGTTCGGTAATAGTTTTGGTATGCTGTACATAAGAAAACACTTCGATGCAAAATCCATCACCAGCGTTACGGATGAAATGGAGTCAAATATTTTTGAACAGTTTAATAAAATTCTAGGACAAGTAAGAACAAGAACCACTTTGTAATAGATTCAATTTTTATCTTATTTTTATTCACTTTATTTATTTCTTTATTTCAGACTGATTGGATGGACTCAAAGACGAAGGGAAAGGCGTTCGAAAAGCTGAGATCAATGTCCATTGTACATCCAAGTATATTCGAATCTTATACTGATGACGAGATTGACGAATACTTTGCGAATTTGGAAATAACGCCGGGAGATTTTCTTCAATCATTTATAAAAATTACGAAATTTGAAAAATATCACAATAAACATGAGTTCAGAAAGCCTGTGAACTTTTCCAGTTGGAGAAGTCAATTGAATCCTATAACTGTGAATGCAATGAACTATATGTTCAATAATAGCCTGAGTATGTATTTCAATTCAATTGGTTTCATTTTTTAATTTTTCATCTACTACTTAACTTTCAAATTTTTTTTGAATCTAATAATTCAAAATTCTTTGCCGCTTTTACTAATAAACTTTTTATACAATAATTTTAGTCCTGTCACCAGCTATTCTTCAAGGAATTTTTGTCAATGAAAACAGACCTCGATACATGAACTACGGATCTATGGGAATTATAATTGGACATGAATATACTCATACTTTTGACAACAATGGTAAAAATTATGATAAATTCGGAAATCTGGTCAATTGGTGGGAGCCAGAGAGCGATAAAGAATTTTTTTCAAAAACAAAGTGCATAATTCATCAATATGGAAACTACACAGTCAAAGAAGTAAACCAGAATGTAAGTTCTAAAATGTAACCTAATTGTTTAATTAATTGTTAATTAATTAATTGTTTAATCTAACTGCAGTAGCTGAAATTTTTTTTTAATGAAGTTGTAAAATATTTAAAGGAATTTTTTTCCAGGTTAATGGTGAGAGTACACAAGGCGAAAATATTGCAGATAATGGAGGAGTTAAACTTGCATATTTAGCTTATGAAGAGTATATGAAAACTCACGATCCCGACTTACTGTTACCTGGTGTGGATTTATCGCAACGTCAACTTTTTTGGATTAGTTTTGCTCAAACATATTGCGTGAAAACTACTGAAAAGGGACTGAATAATACGATTTTAAATGATTTTCACAGTCCTAATGAATTTAGAGTAATTGGTTCTATTGTCAATCGACCAGAATTTTCAAGAGATTTTCAATGTGCAAAAGGTACGAATATGAATCCTAAAAATAAATGCTCTGTATGGTAAAAGTATTTTAAATAAACATTTAAAGCATAAAAAAATACTTTTTGTCATTGATTACATAAATTGATTTAAATTTATTAATTTAATTAATTATTTCTTTTCTATTTTATTTTTCAATTTTTTTTACAATTCTGTAAAATCAGTGTTGTAGGTGATATATCAGACACGAAAATGAATCCTGAAAATAAATGCACTGTATGGTAAAAGTATTTAAAATAAACAATGGAATTAATAAGTATAATATGATTTTTCATTCGGCAAATATTTATAGTGAATAACTTTATTCCATAATTCCTGAGACTATAGTTATAACACTAAGAAAAGTAACGATACTGAATAATTTTGATAATATTTTTTATTAATAGAACTATGAAATTAATAAATAATCATTTTAAAGTAATATTTATTAAAAAGAAAATTTAATACATCAAGAAGTAGGCTGACTTCCTAGATTTATTTTATTATCCTCTTCGTAATAATTGTAAAAAAAACTGTGTGACAATTCACAAGTTCTTTCAATCATTTTTTGTAGAAACTTTGTTTGAACATTTTTAGACATGATAAGACAATATTTAACTTAGATAAATTTTACCGTAATATTTAACACCTTCTTAAATCTTAAACCTTCTTTAAATCATTCATTGATAAAATTCAGAGCAAGATCTCAATAAAATAAATAGAAAGGTCACGCAATGAATGCGAATGAAAGTAGTGAAGTTTACTTTATGAATAGTTCTAACTAGGTAGGCTCTTCTATTTTATGTACATATAAATTAAATATAGAAGAAGAAAACTACATTTAGTCCTCAGAGTTCGTCAAGAAAAGACCTAACAATGTGTATACATTTTCAATTTCGTAAAATATTGAGTAGAAGATTAGATTTGAAATGTGGACTAACAATGCTATTTTTTGCAATATTTGTGACTCTATCAGAAGGACATTTCATTTCTGATAATGGTAAGTACTTTATAGGACAATTTTTTCTTACTAAGAATTTGACTCTTCGTTAATGATTGAAGTACAAAAAATCTGTTATCATTGCTAATTTGTCTTTTAACATTTTGGAAATTTTTTTACCAATTGATATTAGTCTGATTCTTTTTATTTTATCAACATTTAGAATGCAAAATGTAAAATCATTTTCGTTTTTTTATACACAATCAGATTAAAGAATATTCACATCAATAGAAACTAATTTTTATAATCAAAATTTGTTATTGAAATTAAATTCGTTTATAACTTTTATTCATTCATTTAGATTTTATTCTACGGAATCGAGATCGACGTAGCGAAATTGCACTCGCAGATTTAAACTATAAAAATGATGATTGTCTCACATCTGAATGCATTGATACAGGTATATGTATATAATTTTTATAATTATTAATTCAACTATTTTTTTAATTATGTGAAGTATGAATCAAATTTTTCTTTTCCAGCAATGAGAGTACTGAAGTATATGGACCGAAGTATTGATCCATGCGATGATTTTTACAAATTTGCTTGTGGTCAGTTTCCACAGTTTGTGGAATTTCCAAGTAATGAATCCAATAAAGTAGATCAATTTACAATAATTAGGAATAAAGTTCAAAAAGAAATGACGATGATTCTAGAGGAGGAATGTACATCCACTGAACCAAGATATGCAAAATTAATAAAAACTTTTTATCAAACGTGCATGCAAACAAGTAAGTCTAATGTACTACATAGTTTTTTATTCTTTCTACTTTTCATTATTTAACATTAGTTAACAATTCATAAAATTAATCATTTTTAATTGACTAATTTTCTTTTACATTACAGCTGGTAAAGAAAATATAAAATTAATATCGGATTTATTGAATACAATCGGTGGTTGGCCTCTTTTAGAAGAAACTAATTCTTCCAGTTATGAAAATTTCCAGTGGGAAAAATTTGGATCTGAACTGAAAAACGTCGTCTTTTTGAAAAATGGGTTTATTTTTACAACCTTTCGACAAGACACGAAAAATAATTCAAACTTAGTCTTACTGGTAAGTTTAGTAGAGTATATAGGACCATAGTGAACCTTGCAACAATTTATTAAATATTAAATAACAATTGTATTTTAGATTAAACAACCTAAGAGCTTTAATACCTCTTCTAACTACGTTAATTTAATAGAATCCACTGTCAAACTTTTTGGAGCTGATAAGTTTAAATATAAAAAGGACATAAAACGAATTGTGGACATAGAAAAACGGCTTTTTAACGTAAGTATATTTAAATGTAAGTCGCACCTTTTAGAACGAAACAATAATGATGTTTAACATTTAAAATTTTACAGATATCTGTGCCTAAGGAAGAAAAAAGTAAGTCTCGTATCAGGTTCACGGTGAAAGAGCTAATTGAAAATTATTCTAATATTTTGTGGAAGGAATACTTTAATACATTTTTAAAGCCATTTAATACAATTAAAGATGATGATATTGTATTGATTGCGGATGCCAGCTATTTTAAACAATTAAACAATCTTATTAAACAATTTTCAAAAAGAGATCAGGCTAACTATCTTATTTGGAAAGTAGTCGAAGGTTTCCTCAATAATTATGTTGGATCCATCGAAAATAAAAAAGAAAAATCGAAAAAGTGTTACGATCATGTATATGATATGTTCGGTAATAGTTTTGGTATGTTGTATATAAGAAAACACTTCAATGCAAAATCTATCGCCAACGTTACGGATGAAATGATGTCAAATATTCTTGAACAGTTTAATAAAATTCTAGGACAAGTAAGAACAAGAACCAAGAATTAGATTCAATTTATTTATTATTTTTATTCACTTCATTTATTTCAGGCTGATTGGATGGACTCAAAGACGAAGGGTAAGGCGTTCGAAAAACTGAGATCAATGTCCATTGTACATCCAAGTATATTCGAATCTTATACTGATGACGAGATTGACGAATACTTTGCAAATTTGGAAATAACGCCGGGAGATTTTTTACAATCATTTCTAAACATTACGAAGTTTAATAAATATCAAGAAAAATACGAGTTCAAAAAACCTCTGAACTTTTCCAGTTGGACACAACAATTGAATCCTATAACAGTGAATGCTAAGAATTTGGTCTACAATAATAGCATGAGTATATTTTTTGATTTTACTCAAACCTTCTTTTAAAAATAGTTTTATTTTTAATGGATTAACGAAGTTTCGACTAATTAACTGTTTCCGTAATAATTTTAGTCCTGTCACCAGCAATTCTTCAAGGAATTTTTCTCAATGAAAGCAGACCTCAGTATATGAACTTCGGATCTCTGGGTTCTATAATTGGACACGAATTGACTCATTCTTTTTATAATAATGGTAGAAATTTTGATAAATCAGGAAATCTGATTAATTGGTGGGAGCCAGAGAGCGATAAAGAATTTCTTTTAAGAACTGAATGCATAAGTCATCAGTATGGAAACTATACAGTTAAAGAAGTTAACCAGAATGTAAGTTCTAAAAATTTTGTAATTTTAATTTTTTGTAATTTTTTACAGTAGCTGAAATTTATTTCAATGCAATTGATAAATATTGAAAGTGGAATTTTTTAAAGATTAAAGGTGAGAGAACGCAAAGTGAAAATATTGCCGATAATGGAGGAATTAAACTTGCATATATGGCTTATGAAGAGTATATGAAAACCCATTCTCCTGAGTTATTGTTACCTGGTTTGGATTTTTCGCAGCGTCAGCTTTTTTGGATTAGTTTTGCCCAAACGTATTGCTTTAAAACTACAGAAAAGGGACTAAATCATGCGATTTTATCTAGTTTTCATAGTCCTAAAGAATTTAGAGTTGTTGGTTCTATTACCAACCAGCCAGAATTTGCAAAAGATTTTCAATGTCCATCAGGCACGAAAATGAATCCTAAAAATAAATGTTCTGTATGGTAATAGTTATTTATATTTTTAAATTAATTATCAATTGTTTAATATTATTTTTTCTATTTATTTACAAATATAATTTTACTATTTATTTATAAATATAATTTTACTACTTATTCGTAAATATTTATAAATACGACGTGGAAAACATGTATAAATGCGAACAAATAGTGACTTCGCCAGAAGGAAAAATAATTATAATAAAATATAATAAATATAATAAATATAATAATATAAAAAATATAATATTCTATAAAATAAACTTTCTATTAAAAGTAAAATAATAATAAAAATAATCACTAATATTCATTATACAAAGGGTAATGACCTAGATTCACATCAAGGGGTTCGACAACAGACATGAATATTCATTAAAAGTGCTTTCAAGAAAAAAAAAAATTAATCCACAAAAAATATTTAAATGAAGTTTATTTATATATTTATTATATTTAAATATTTATAAGATTTAAATAAATAAAATAAATAAAATAAATAATATAAAATATTATAATATAAACATAAATAGAATCATACAATACGGACTCTAGGGAAATATTTTGTCACCTTCTCTCAGCCCTCGTATTCTATTTTATATTTGGTTGGCTGAAATACAAAGAGTTGCCTTTTCTTTTAATGCATATTTTTGCCTCGGAATTCTTTTCAGTTATTTCTCTTCGTTTTATTTCTTTTAGAGAAAAAATTTTTTACTTGTCGATAATATTACATAAGCTTTAAAAGTTTAATTTTTGTATATAACTACTATATTATTGTAGGCGTTAAATATTATTTGATAAAAATTATTAATTATTATAATTAAAATAAAAATTCAAAAAATGTTATCAAAAAATAATATCAAAAAATGTTAAATAAATATATAAAATAAATATATAAAAATGTTAAATAATAAAAGTTAATTACAATTCAAATAATAAATGTACTTTATTATATTATTTATCATTAAAATTTTTTAAAAATCATGCATTTTCATATTTTTTATTAAAATTTCTGAAAATTTTTTTTATTTTTTAATATTTTCCAAAAATTCTTTTAAAAAAATCAATTATTATTGTCAAATTTTTTTTACTAAATTTCAAGTATTTGGAAATCTTTTAATGTTATATTTGCATATAGATATATAGATAAAAAATACATTATTATTCAAAAATGATTTAGAAATATTTTTTAAAAACTAATTTCAAGAATATTTATTTTTATATTTTTTAAATTTAATTATATTATCGAAGCCTTTTTTTAAATTTCTTAAAAGTAATTGAATTTTGGAATAATTTTGAAAGCATTGCAGTTTTAATTGTTGAAAACTATTAAATTTCAGATCGTTTGAATAATTTGAAATTCAAAAAAATTTAACATCCTGCGAAAAAAGTCAGGGAAGTACAAAATGAAATTGTTGTCAATACTGAATAAAATAAACGACTTTTAGGCCTTTTTTTTGAATTTTTAAACGTCTAAAGCAATTTTTTCCGCCTTAAATATTCAATTGTTACATTAAAAATTTTTAATACATTAAATTTTTTTGAAAGAAATTACACATTCTTAGCAAAGTGAAAAAGAAAAAATTTTAGGGAAAAAGAAAAAGAAGTTAAAAATTTTTAATTTCCCGCTCAGTAAATCGCAACAATTGGTTGACGCATGCGCACAATTCATTTGATGAATGGCCACTCAAAACAATCAATAGCATCAATAGAATCCAATATTGTCATGTTTGTGATATCGAGTGCCTAATATTTTCGTGAAAAACAGTGAAATAATAGGAAATTAATAAAATGCCACCACGCGGGGATGAAATCCTCAAAGGATTTCAAGTGTATCCTTTAATAAAAAATTTTAATTCCATTCAAAGTAGATGAAAAGTTCTCAGTTTGTAGGTTATGTGTTGTAAACAAATATTCTTTTCTCCTTTTAAATTTCATAATTAATCTTTTTTAAAATTTTGGTTTTTATTTTTTAATACTTTATGATAAACTATTTAATACTTTATGATAATTTTTATGTATAGAAAATATTACAAATATATTTTAAAATTTAAAAAAGAAAATATTACCAAAAGTGCATTTTGAGAGTTAATAATTAAATTAAGGGGGGTTGAAAAATTCTATGAATTATTGACAATAAAGACAAAGGGATTGATTTATTATTTTATTATAGAATAACATTTGCTTTTTCCTTAAAAAAATTTTTCTATAGAAATTGGATGAATTTACGAGATGCTGATACGGGAAAAATTCTCTGGCAGGGAAATGATGATTTGTAAGTATAAATTAAAAATAATGGCTTTTTTAAGTTTTTAATATTCAGAAAAATTTAATTTTCTAAAATAAGAAATTAAAAAATTAAAAAAAGGACAAATAGGCTTTTTTAGTTTTTTAAAAATATGAAAAACTCTTAATAACTTTTGTTTGTTTTTTATTGAAGATCCGTACCGGAAATGGAGCATGAGGCTCGAGTACCGAAAAAAATTCTCCGATGTCGAGCAGTTTCGAGGGAAATAAATTTCAGTTCAGTGGAGCCAATGGAGAGGTTTCGTTTGGAGCAAAAAGTTCTCTTTAAAGGACGATGTTTAGAGGAATGGTTTTTTGAATTTGGATTTGTCATTCCAAACAGCACAAATACATGGCAAAGTTTAATACAAGCCGCACCGGAAAGTCAAATGATGCCAGCAAACGTTCTAAAGTACTTTAAAAATAATAATCTTTCTTTTTCACAATTTTTTTGCTGTAAAAAAAAAACTTTTTTTGGCTTAAACAAAAATTAAAAAACAAAAATTTATTCTTTAAATATTAATTTTATTTTTCTTTTACAGTGGCAATGTAGTAATTGAAACGAAATTCTTTGACGACGAACTTTTAGTATCAACGAGTAAAGTTCGACTTTTTTATGTATAATAAAAATTGGTCCTAAAATCGCTGGAATCCAGAAAAACGAATCCTGGGACCAAATTTATAGTAAACTAAAACAAAAACGCACTGAAATAATGGATTTTTTTTTAAAATTCTAGTTTCTTCACAACAGCACCAAATTTCAATTAAGCATTTAATAATAAATGTATCGAACGAGATAATTGTTATGGAAAATGAATCGCACACACACATATATTTATAAAAGAATTGCATTTGTTTATGAAAAAAGTGCAAAAATAATGCAAAAGTTACTATATAATAAGAATGTGATTCCTTTACCAAAAAAATTATCCATTGATTTCTAAAATTTCTTTTTTTTATTAAAAATTAATAATACTGAAAAACTAAATTGAAATTTAATTTATTTAATGAAAACGTTATAAAAATTATTTTTAGAATATTGAAGGTTTGAATTTACTTAGATAGAAGAAATAAATTAAGTTTTGTAATTACAAAAATTAATTTTAGAAATCAATGATTAATTTACGGTTAGTTTTAATTATCCATGTAAATTTAAGTTAGGAATTTAGATTTATGAGATTATTTATTTTGTATATATATATAAAAAAAACAGTCGACAACGAATTTTGAAATGAAAAAGGAAATAATATTTTGACTTCAAATGACAGAAAAAGCGAAAGTTTGAAAAAAAAACACTTTTCAAATTATCAATTTTTCGCTGAATTTTTAAGCGTTGAAGACTTGAATTTAATAAACTTTTGAAAGTACATTATATATACATACACACTTTACAATCAAATTTGTAATATTAAATGTTTTCTTCATCATTTAAATTCGATTATATTTAAAAAATATGTTTGACTTTATTATTTTTGTCTAACTTTCGTGAATCGTTTACGATTTTTAATCTGGTTAAATAAACTTCTTTACTGAAAATAACGATTTATTTTTTGTCACGTTAATTCGTGATAATTTTAAATAATAATAATAATTTAATGTTTAATAAATAATAATAATTATAAAAATGTTTTTTCGTTACAGAAATAAAGGTAATAAATTAATATTACAGTAAATTGTGTCTTAGTTTCTTTAAAAAAAGATCAAATTTTTTTTTATGAATTTTAAACAATTATTACTGTATTTGAAAATTCGAAAATTTTTTATATAATAATAATTTATTGGAAATTAATGTAAAAATATTTCCCTACCAAAGACGAGTAAAAAAGTCAAAATTTAGAAAAATTAACATAATTAAAAAAAAATACTGCAAATAAAAATTTATTTAAATTTTTAAAACTCTTTTTTTAATTGACGGATTTTTTTTATTAGAGCTTTATAAGAATGTTTTATGCTCTACGAAAGGTAAGTAAAAAAAAATGTTATTCAAAATTTAAAAAAAGTTAAGATAATAATTTTTTTTTGTTTAAAAATATCTTTCTTTATGTAAAATAAAGTTTATGTTAAACAAGTTTTATGTCAAATAAATTTTATATGTTAAATGAATTGGATGTTAAATGTTATTTTTTATTAAATTAATTTTATGTCAAATGAAACTTATGTTAATTCAAATTTATGTTAAACAAATTCTACGTCAAATGAAACGTAAAAAATTAAACTTATGTTAATTGAAATTTAAGTTAAACGAATTCTACGTCTTTTTTTGTATAAAGTGAATTTTACGTCAAATGGAAGTTATACATAGTAAATTAGTAAACGAGTTTTTTAAAATAAAATTATGTTAAAATTATGTAAAATGAAAATTATGTTAGATAAATTTTATGTTAAATGAATTTTATGTTAAATAAAATTTATGTTAAATAACATTTATGTTAAATAAAATTTATGTTAAATAACATTTATGTTAAATAACATTTATGTTAAATAACATTTATACCATATAAATTTTATGTTATCAAATAAATTTTACATAAAATATTATTAATTGCAAATGAATTTTTTGTCAAATGAAATTAATGTGAAATGCTTTTTATGTTAAATTAATATTTTGAAAATTAGAAAAAGAGCAATGATACAATTTAGTGCCATCAAAGAAGACTGAAAATCGCGTAGTTAGCGCGGAAACGAAGCCCAAAGGGAAAGGGAATGAATCGTCGCCAATCGCCACTCCTCAACGCCTCTCCCGAAGGATTTTTCAAAAATTATCCCCTCTATTACAAAATCATAAATAAGGAAAAATAATAAGATATTTATATACCCCTGTTTTTTTTTTGCAATCGTAGTTTCTTGTGTTATTGATTCGTGGTGCAGAAGCAATACATTTTTGCGGCTTCCGCAACCCCTCTTGAATACGCGATCCCCTACTCTCGGGTCTCTCGCAGGTGTAAGAAAAAAAAAGAAAAGAGAGGAAAGAAACGGCCGAGTTGTTGAGTCCAAGGTAGTTGTCAAGCCGCTTTCGATTGGCATTAGAAAAGTCCGTGGATTTACTTAAAGCTCCATCCGAGGTGTGGAGAAAAAAAAGCTCCAAATGTCCCAGTGAAGAAAAGAAGCGCGACAATAAAGGGGGTTGAAGAAATAAGAAAAATTTTGTTCTTGTTTATAATTATGGAGCTGAAGGTGGAGGATGAGAATGGTACTGAGAGGCAAATGTTCCTGGTTGGAAGTCCTCGTGATCCATTGGTGTCGACGGGGGCAATTGTTGCAACCGGTGCCGAAGAAATCAGTCCTGGTGATCTCCAGTCGAGCGCTCTCGCCGGTCTAATGGGAGCGCAATCTTCCTCCGTTTGCTTCCCAGCGAAATTCAGTAAGTGCACCCAGGGTTCTGATTTAATTAGAGAGAAGCTCTCTTTCTCGAGGCTCTCCTCTAACTTGGGGTTGAGCTCAATTAAATTATTGCTAAATGCATTAAGCTCCGAGTCCGTCCCTTTTTAAACAAAGTTAGCGCTAATCAGCTCAGGAGTTATGAACCTCTTTACACCTTCTCTTTTACATACCCCAAACTGGAATATCAATTTCAATTGCAATCATCGTTCATCAATCACTACTTTCAATCCTCAATTTCCCACTCTCAATCCTCACTTTTCCAATCTTCATCATCTTCTCATTTTCCCAAACTTTCTTATTTCTACTTCCGTTCTTATTTCTTCTTCTTCTTCTTCTTCTTCTTCTTTCTTCAATCAAAAATCTTGATTTTATCCAAAATGTACTTATTTTTTTTGCTTAATTTCATATTTTAATCTGGAAACAATTTTTGGACCACCCTGACCACCATTCGCATTCGGGAAGAAATATTTTTTTAAAAAGTAAAAAACCGTTTAGACTTCGCACTCGATAATTAATTTTTAAAAAAATGTCAAAAAGTAGCTTTCAAACCAAAGAAAGTAGTAAGAAAGTAATTTTTCTAATTTAAACAATCGAATTCCTGAGAAATTTTTAAAATTTTTTTAAAATAATTAAATTTTACAAAGAATTCTATTAAAATTGTTGCCAATAATTGAATGTCTGTGTGGCATTTTATTACATTTTTTTTTAGAAAATCATTGAATTTCTAAAAAGCATTTTATTATTTATGAAAAGAATTATGAATTCTATTACAAACGATTTTATTAGAATTTTTAAAAATAATTGAATTTCCAAGAAGAACTTTATTACATTTAAAAATAATTGAATTCTTGTAATGAATAATGTTATTCATGAAAATAATTGAATTTTGCAAAAAATTTTATTAAAATACATCAAAATAATTGACTTTTTCGGGAATAATTTTTTTTTTGAAAATAATTGAATTCCTAAAAAGTATTTTATTATTTATGAAAAGAATTAAATTCTTGCGAACGATTTTATTAGAATTTTTTACAATAATATTGAATTTAAAGAAGAAATTTATTACTGTTAAAAATAATTGAATTCTTGCGAACGATTTTATTAGAATTGTTTAAAATAATTGAATTTCCAAGAAGAAATTTATTATTTTTAAAAATTGTTTAATTCTTGTAATGAATATTGTTATATATTTTAGAAAATAATCGAATTTTGCAAAGAATTTTATTAAAATTTATGAAAATAATTGAATTTCTGTATATAATTTTTGTTATTTTTAAAAATAATTGAATTCTTTCGAAGAATGATTTATGTAAATATTTGAATTCTTGGGATGAATTTTATTAAAATCTAAAAGAATAGTTTATAATTATTTCAAGAAAAATTAATTAAAATTGTATTTAAATTAATTGATTTCTTTCTAACAATTTTATTAAAATATTTGAAAATAATTGAATTCCTGTAAAAAATTCTAATATTTTTGTGAATAATTGAATTTTTTCAAAAAATTAAAAAAAAACATTTTTTTTTAATTGATTTTTTCGAGGAATTGAAATTAAATTTTTAAGAATAATTACATTTTTTGATCAATTCCTGTAAAATGTATTAAAAATAATTGAAATCCTGCGAAGAATTTTATTATTTATGAAAATTATTAAATTATTGCGAAAAATTTTATTAAAGTGTTTAAAAAGAATTGAATTTCTGTGAAAAATTTTGATATTTCTTAAAATTATAGAATTTTCGCGAAAGATTTTATTAAAATTTTTAAAAATAATTGAATTTTCAAGAAGAAATTTATTACTATTTATTTATTAATTTATTATTTATTAATAATTGAATTCTTGTGATGAATATTGTTATTTATGAAAATAATTGAAATTTGCAATGAATTTTATTAAAATGCCTAAAAATAATTGAATTCTTCATAATAATTTTATAAACATTGTTTTAAATAATTAATTTTTTCGAAATATAATATGAAAATGTTATTTTAAATAATTGAATTCTTGTGAAAGATTTTATTTGTGAAAATAATTGAATTTCAGATTAATTTAAAATAGTATATTAAAAATAATTGAAATTCTTCAAAGAAATTGAATTTCCATGAAAAATGTTATTATTAGTGAAAGTAATTGAATTATTGTGAAGAATTGTATAAAAATTTTGTTTAATGATTGATTAGTTTCATTTTTTCGATTTTTTTTTTTTGAAAATGATATTCTACGTTAATTGAATTCCTGTGGAAATTTTATTATTTATGAAAATAATTGAATTTTGGATAAATTTTATCAATTTTTTTTATAATTGAATTCTTTTATTGTGAAATTTCATGAAAATACTAGATATTGAATATATAATTGAATTTCGAATATTTTTTTAAATTAATTGAATAGTTTTAAAGAATTTGATTATAATTTTTGAGAATAGTTTTCTGATTTCTAGTATTAGCGAAAATTTAAAAAATTAAAAAAAACAGAAATAGGAGCTTTTAGTCGGGCCATAAACAATTTTGAATACAATGATTTTTTATGATAATTTTGAGTGTCGAGATTTGGAAAAAGAACATCAATCAGATGAAAGTATTAGAGCTTCTAAAGTTAGACTTTATAGTGATTCTTTCGCTTATAGAATCAATATTCAATATATTTGTCTAGCGCATATAAAATGACGTTTCTTTCCCTAAAAATAAAAATTTAACATCTTTTTTTTCTTTTTTCAAAAGTTTAATTTTAAATTAATATCTTCAATTTTTAAAGTTCAATAAATATAGAAATTCTCTACCTCTTGAGTTATTAACTTTTTAAAAATCCACTTTTAGAATACTTCTGACATTATAAAGTTCATTGCATAAAATTTAAAATATGATAATTTTAAAAATCGACGCATTAAAACTTTGCAGCATACGATTTTTCACAAAGTCCGATAAGTGAAGAGCGTCAAACTCCTGGCGCTGTTGGAAAAAGAAAGCAGCGAAGATATCGAACGACTTTTACGAATTTTCAACTCGAGGAACTGGAACGTGCCTTTCATAAAACTCATTATCCGGATGTATTCTTCAGAGAAGAACTTGCACTCAGGATTCAACTCACTGAAGCAAGAGTTCAGGTAAAATAAGTTTTGAAATAATATAATTATATGGAAATATGAAAATAAAAGAGGAAAAATTTATTTGAGTCCATTCAATCCGTTCAATTTTTAATTTTTTGTTGTCGCCATTTTGAATTTTGAAAAACTGGCATCAAATTCATAATCAGTGACTTCATTTTGAATTTTTGAAATCTGAACCAAAAAACTAAAAATACTTTCGAAACTTTATAGTCCTAAATAACAACAACGGCTTTTGATAAAAAAAAAAATTACGTTTGTTTGCAGAATTAAAAAAAATTATAGTCAGTTATTGAAACTTTGAGGGAAAGGTAAATAATCTGTTTGATAACATCAAGATAATTGTGTTTACTTATTGAATCACTCTAATCACATGTACACGAAATAATATCAATATCCTAAGTATGGATCAAGGAATAAAAAATATTTCAGTTCGTTTAGTGCATTTCCGACAATTATTTTTTTCGAACATCTCGCAAACTTTACAATTATTTTTTTTGGTGTTGTACTTTTCCCTATATCATGTTTTTGATAAGATAGTTATTCAAAAATACAAAAATGGTTCTAAAATTAAATCACTTTTGGTTTCCGTGGAAATTTTGCTTCTTCTACCTTCTTTATTCGCCTTGTGGAGAGAACAACACAAAGATTCAGGAACTGTCCAAAAATTTCCTAAGATACGTGACAAATGGTGGGGAAACTTATCAAATCATCCAAATTGTCGATGATGGGAATGTGGAAACTGAGAGTTTTTTGAAATTCACCAAAGAAGTTGAAAAGAACTTTCCCACTTTTCTGATTGATAAAAAAGGAATGAAACCGAAATTTATGCCACCTTTGTACGAAACTCGGTCCACCATATTCGTCCTATTTGCAGATTCAGTTTCAAATTTAGATGATCAAGTATCTGGAACAGTAAAATTTATTCTCGATCTCTGTCAATCGAATCCACGTTCAAAAATTCTGATTCTTCGGCACAAATTAACTAATAATAATAATAGTAATAGAAGCTCTAGTTTGAATGATAGTGATGATGATGATGATAAAAATTACAGTAATGATGAACAATATCTCCAATTCTTCAGAAATTTGTGGTCCGATCAATTCCTTGATGTTACAATCGTGGAACTATTTTCAAAAAGAGTGGAGTACTTTCTATCCTCGAAAACCATGACGAAAATTGTAATTCACTACTACAATCCCTTTACTAAAAAATATTTTCGGACCAACAAAGTTGATACCGATCAGAATTTGAAGAATGATTGCAAATCTAGGAAAAGTTGCGAATTATTTCCCAGCAAACTTGGAGATTTGAACAAATTTCCTCTGATTGTTGGTATCTTTAATTACCCCCCTTACGTGAATGTCAAACTCGATTCAAATGGCCAGATCCATTCAGTCACTGGTCCAGACATAAAGGCAATCGAAGTCCTCTCGGAAATCACGAATTTCTCCCTTATTTACGAGTTCTCGAATCAGACAAACTGGGACAAGTTGAGTTGCATCAAGAACCGAAACGTAGGTCTCACTAACCGAACAATATACAACAAGATCCAAATGAACGCCCTTCAGGGTATCAACCTAGTAAGTTGTGCCAGTTCCTTCACTCTCAGTGGAAAAGGAATCCGTATCTTCAAGTACATCCACTTGGTACCAATTCTTCCTGGCACATCCGGAGAACTATCCAGCAGCTTAAATGTTCTAAGTCTCTTTAGCGCTGTTCTCCTTATCCTGTTGCCTTGGCTGATCGCCAAGTTTCTACGCTTCGACATCCATAATTGGGAGATTGTGAACCTTCTTCAGATGGTTTTGAGTATGACAAACCCCAGGGAACCGCAATCTAGCATTGAGCGAATTATCTTTGCGTCCATGCTCATCTCCTGCTTTCTTGAATCTAGTTATTTATTCTCAGCCTTCTCGAACTCGCAACTAAAAGCTGATTCTTTTCTAAAACTCGAAACTTTTGCTGACATTCTCAAGACACCGTTGAAACCCTTGATTTCGGTAAATCTTCTAAAACCGGCAATGAACATTACTGATGATTTCGATAGGTTGTTCAATAGAACACTGCCTTACGATGATCCTCCGGGTGATTGCGCCAAATTACTCAAGAGGGACAAGAATATCACTTGTGTTATGAGAGAAACTCAGGCTAGGTTAATTATTTTTGGTGACAAGGATCATGAGGGACGTTCGAGTATGAAGGTCTTGAATGAGGAAATTATGTGGTTGTATCCTAGTAACTTGAAATTGGCTGGTGGTTCGCCTTATAGGGATCGGTTCGATGGGGTCACTCTTCGGGTAATTCAGTCCGGTTTTAGCGAAAAGTGGGATGATGATCAGTTTCAGAGGCATGAACACAGATCAAGTCAGTGGGACTTGTTCCGATTGGAGAGTTCCCAGACTTCGAACATTATGATCCAAATGGTCGAGTTGCTAGTTTTTGGGTGGATTTGTTCTATTTTTGCCATCCTGACGGAAATTTTAGTTCATCTGGTACGTCTAAGGATATAAAAACCGTTAAAAAGTGAGTTTAGATATAATTCGCGTTGGCAAAAATCGAGAATATTGTTAATTGTACAAATGGGTATATACTCTCCATCCGATTAGACGACGTTTTTAACAGTTGTGCCACGTCTTTTGGAAACGTCGTCAAATTGAATGGACAGCATTATAAATACATTTGATTCTATTTTTAAAAACAAAATTCGTTATAAAACAGAAGCAGAATGATAAATACCTTCATTTTCTCAATTCCAGGTATGGTTTCAAAATCGACGAGCGAAATGGCGAAAACAGGAGAAGCAATGCAAGGGGAATCACTTGGGTCCACATTTAGGTCCAAATGAATGTCAAGATGTTCAACAGCAACAACAACAAGATCATTTATTACTAGAACCCCCATTGGGAAGTCCACCACCAATTTATCTTGGTATGGAATGGGCTGGATTCTCTCCATACACCAATAATTCCTCGTCTCCTTTAATTGTAAATGGCATAAATAAACCTCCTGATTCTGATGACAGTCCACTGTTAGATCCAGAATTGCTTCAATTAAAACCGCCTCGAAATTAATAAAAAAAAAAGTAATTCCTCTCCCTCTCCCTTCCTCCCCAATCGAACCAATCCCCTTCCAGTCCATCTCAGACACGTGATATTATTTAACAATTCACTTAGATAATACTTATTAGCACATAAATGAAAAATTTACTTAATCATTTATAGTTTTAACGATTTAACGTTAAATTAATATATATTGATGTTGTAAAACCATTTTCGATTTATTGTCTTTCATTAAGTTTAGAATTCTATGTACATTTCTAGTTTATGTAGACTTTTTTCTAAAAAAAAAATACACATTTGTTCGAATATTTTGTGTTTTTTTCTTAGTGTGAAGATTTTTTTTTCTGATAGTTTATCATTTTTTCTTCTTCAATTTAATTCTTATTCCAATTCAAAATTAAGATAATTCACATATAGATCCGGCAAGAGTCCTGGTGCAGGCTTGTGAACTAACTAAAAAATATTTTTACGAAATCAAAAAACACTAAATTCACGTGAGAAGAGAATATCAGCTCGATTATTATTATAATTAATAGTAATTAAATTAAATTATTACTAATATAATTTCTAAGCAAAAAAATAAAGAAATTGATGTAAAATAGTAACTTTATCTTTATTCGGTGTGCATATATTACATTTCTGTTAATCGACTAATCATCGTATATTAATCAACTGGTTTTAGAATCGACAACGTGATTCAATGTCGTCCCACTCGAAACGCTTAGCGTTCAAATTATAACTGCATTAATTTTTTTTTTTCATTTAAAAAAAAAGAACATCAATTTTAAAAAAAAATAGAAAATCCCTCTTTTCTTCAATGTGAACATTTTTTCTTTTTCTTTCAATAAAATACATAAATCTCTATTACCATAATAAAAAAAAAAAAATTGTAATATTTTTACAATCAATAAACACTTCTCGATTGTCTCGGATTTTCATTCAAAAGAATGAATTTCAAGAATATATTATACAATTTTTCAGAAACAATCTTTTTCAAAAATATTGAAGAAGTAACTGATAATTCCACAATCAAAAATTTATTAAAAAAAAATCTAATTCATTTCATTATCCTCATTTTAACTCTCTTTAGAATTTAATCACCTTTTTTCAAATTTGTTAACAATTTTCCCCTCGAAAAGAAGAAATAATCATTTTTTTTTCCGAAACAAGAAAATTATTTATAGATGAAAAAAATGTTATTTTTTTAATAAATTGACAAAAATAAGCGTATTTTTTTTTTTGCAAAATTTTGAAGAGGGAAACAGTTGTTTTGCTCAAAAATAAGTCAAAAAAATTACGACAAAATTTCACATATTTTTTCTCGGAGAATCGCATATTATTTAACTATACAAGAAAGGAGCGTCTCGTGTTGTGAAATAAATTAATTTTGCGAAATTCAGGAGCGACGTTACGCCACGTATGAGTATTCGTCCGCGCTATTTGCCGTTCGCTCGATGTATTGTTTATCAATTAACGCCTCAATGCACTTTTTTATCATTCCAATTGACGGTGCGAACTTTACTTTCGATTGGCCTAAAACCTGTGGAAAAGAAATGATAAAATATCAATAATTTAACTAAAGGTTGAAAAATTTAACAAAATATTCAAAAATTTAACTAAATGTTAAAAAATTTAACAAAATGTTAATAAATTTAACTAAATGTTAATAAATTTAACTAAATGTTAAAAAATTTAACTAAAGGTGAAAATATTTAAATCAATATTTATAACTATATTTAAACTAAACAAAAATAAATTTTTAGAAAGGGGTTTAAGAAAAATTACTTCTTGAACGAGTTGATTGTGTCTGAGCAATTTTCGACTCTTCATAATGCGAACAATGGCCGCTTGGAGGTAAAGTTTTCGGTCGTCATCGACGCTGCGATGCGTTGCCTCAGTGTCATGCGGAGCGTCTCTTTGCAATGCTCCCGTAATTCGGAACTTCGTCCTTTTATTGTAATAATCGAAATTGAGCGTGAGTATCGTGTCCTCCTCGAGATCGCCCTCCGTGGATTTCTTCAAAATTTTACAATCCACCAAACTCGCCGCGTGCTTCGCTAATTGATCGTGCGACAATCTTAAAGACGCTGCGGCTTCCCTACGCGAAAAAAAATATCAAAAATAATTAAATAAATAAGTATCTTTGAAAAATACAAAAAGAGTTTGCAAAAAAAATTTACCTGCAATTAATAGAGTCACATTGTTCGAAAAGAAGCAAAAGTGCCATCTGATAAGTCTGAACAGTGACGAGGTAGGGTTTCTTGAGATAATTGAACTTGAGTTCGCCCTGACAGAGATGATGAAGCCAGGTGAGTTTCCTGCCGCTGAATTGCGCATGATAAAAACTCTCAAAAGCCTGAATTGATCTCTCGAGTTGTTGGGGAACGTGGAAGGGTCCCGGTGATGGCGAGAGACCCAATGGCCAAGCACCGGCTTGCAGAACATAAACAACAAAACCAATGCCCAATTGACTCTCGCCCTCTCGTTCCCTTAAGCTTGCCGTGAATTTTGCATTGAGATCCGTCGACACTGACATATCGGTGAACATTCGATGCAATTTATTGGTAAATTCATAGCCACAAGCTTGCTTTAATCGATCGATCATCGCCTCCTCAGCGTCCATTGATTGCGATAATTGGTGAATTAAACGTTTAGCCAACATTCGCGCGTAAAACTTTTGAAATATATCCTTATCGTCGACATATTTAAAAACAGTTATCGAACTCGCGAGTTTCTCCTCAATTTCACTTTCAGTCGCTCCTTTCGCCGATTTCTTTAATAACGAGTCACAGTATTTCGCCAACTGTCGATAAACAGTAAAAGAAAGGGTATTAATTAATAATTAAACAGATAAAAAAAATAAAGGGTATTAATTAATTTTTGTTCAAAATTTTACCAGTTCAGGAGCTCGGGAAGGTTGCCTGGGTCCTGGCCTATGATTGACGAGGGCAGAACAGGCTTTGTCTAAAGCACCACCGAAAACTTGATCGCCTTTGAACACCTCTTTAATCATATTCGAAAATTTCGAATGTACGACGAGCATACTCTCCACGAATTGTGTATGAACCTGTCCGACATATAAAATTTCGTAAAAACTTCTATATTTTATTAATGTAGAAAATTCTATATTTTATATTCAAAGAAATAAAAATAATATTCTTTAAATACATTTTCTCCTTGCAAGGATCCAATGGCCTTTAGACCCTCATTAATAATGTGTTCGGTAAGTTTTTGAACTAACGCTCCGAGACCATTGGGCAGTGGCCTCAGTAGAGGATAAAGAAGAGCCAAATTTCTTCTCCTTTCGTTTTGAATCATCGCATCAACTTCCGCGTGCAACCAAGTTAAATGAGCGGCGACCATTTTCTCCACACAGCATGCGCGAACCTAAAAATGCACCTCTTTAGCCCTTCACTTTCTTATTTTTAAATCGTGGCCACCCAATTATTTTTCGATATTTAAATTGTAATAGAAGGTAATAAATTGTAATAAAAGGGAAATTTTTGTGAATTACCTTTGGCACTGAACTACTATGAAGAAATTTATGAACTCTCAATTCTTCCTGATTGAATCTCCAGGTAACTCTCTCCATATAACGAGTAACGTCCGACTGTTGCAAAAGTTCCGAAGCCTCTTTCGAGTAGAATTCCCCACTTGCTTCTAAAAATGGAGTCTCGAAAACTTCTATATACATCTAGAAATAAAAAAAAACTATTAACATTATATATTTATTTTTAAAATTTAAAAAAAAGAAAACTAACGTCTAATTCTCCCTTTCGCTTGTACTTCTTAACGGTGACGAAACTTTGAATAACTTCACAAATAACATCGTTTGTGGTCGGTTGTCCCTCGCCAAGTCGATCGGCATGAATTCCCTCGAGAAGTAATGCGACAAGTTGATTTTTCAATGGTGTAATCATTCGCTTCTCCCAAATATCAAGACCCAATTCGCCAATTTCCATTTGCTCTTGATATTCAGTTGCTGTTTGTGACGACGTGCCGTAAATAATTTCCGGCTCTGTCAGTCGTTGTTTCTTGATGTGTTGCTGATTTAAATATAAGTACAATTGATGGAGGTAATTAATTCCCTGGGAGTATTCCATCCAGGCGTGATGATACGCCTGCAAGAGGCCAATGTCCGTCTGGCTCAATACTTTCGTTAATAATTGTGAAACATGCTCGTCTAAAAATTGCTTCGTCTCGTTGTAAAGACGATCGGCGTGCGGTTCCGGATAGGCGACGCATAGCGAATAAACGTCACTAAAAATATTTTTAAAATATATTACTCCATTTACATTTTAGATTTATTATCAATTTTTCCTTTGTATAAAATTCAATACGAAGGTTACCTAAATCTATCGTTCCATATGGCTCGAGGCACATGATCGAGCGTTATAACTTCCTTTACGGTTTTTTGCAAAAGGTCCCAAGTTTCTATAAAATCAACTCTTTTTGGTTTCAAAGACATTCTGCTTTTATCCCCTTAGCACCTTGGAAATTTAGAAATTTTGTCTAAAAAAAATTTACGAAATCCAATTTCTTGATTTTTACCTGAAACAAAAATATTTAAATATAATTAAAACCAAAAAAACTAAATTTTAAAAAAATTGTAAAAATAGAAAAAAATGAGTAAAAATTCGAGGAGAGAAAGGAAAGTTGTGCCAAAAAAAAATTCAATTAATATTAAAAATAGAAAACATTTTTTTTAAAAATAACAATGAGGAATAATTTTCGAAAAATATTTTTTTTTTGTGAACTAAAAATATCGATTAAAAGTAATACGGGAGAAAAATAGTAGAGTTAAACGGTGATTAAATGGAAATTCTTGAAGAATTCTATCGTTGGCGCTTCGTGCAATAAAGTTTAAAAATAAAGTGGCAAACACGAGAGCTACTTATAATTCGGCATTTTTTCCTTGGCGCTTTTATATACTCCATTTTCTTTGGCAAATAGCTTTTCTTTTTTTCTCACGTGTACTTGGAAATCGAGAACGACTTTAAGCCAGGTCAAGGTCAATTCTTGATATTAGAAAAATTTATTAAAAATCTCAAAATTTCGAACAGTTTTTTAAACAAAATGACTAAAAAAAAGCCGGCAAAATAAAAAAAAACCTGGTTTTTAATTATTTAAAAAACCAAAAGTTCGGTATTTTTTAAAAAAATGTTTAGAATGTGTAAAACCATTAACGATATATTAGAATGTAGCGATACTAATTCCGACACTTTTAGTTTAAATGCTTTAGCTTTCAAACGTAATATTATTTCACGCATCATAGCCCTGCGACCATAATTAAACTTGTATTTTGATTTTTATCTAATTCCTTTATCATTTTTGTTTTCTTTTGTTCCTCATCTCTTCGCCTGCTTTTGTTTTTTTTGATAATTGCACACATTTTTCATTTATTTTATACATACTTCTTTCTTTTTTTAGTATTATTATACATGAACATGTATTACTTTAATTTGTAGTGCCTATAATGGTTTACCTTTGGCTATATTTTTTGGTTCAAATAAAAAAAAAAAAAAAAAAAAAATTTAGAAAAAATTGTCAAATTTTTCCAAATTAAAAGGATACACTAATTAATTTTTCTTTCCCCATAATTCGGAAAATACGATTTTTTCATTTTTGAAATAATTAAAAAAATAAAAATTCAACTTTTAAGGTATTTTTTTAATTTTTAAAAAAATTTTCGATTTCGTTTCAAATAACTTTCGAACCAAAAATTCGTCATGTAAACATTATAAACTATTCGAAAACTATTTTTAATCTCCAAAGAGAAAATTCATTGGGAAAAAAAGAACCCCCCACCCCTCTTTTTTTCTCGCTACGATAAACATTTCTAAAAAAAAAAATTTGAAATAAACAATTTTCCGGACGAAATTATAAAATTTAGTTTTAAACATTGTTAAAAAAAAAAAAATTGGAGCAGAATTTTTGTTGAACTCGATTGATTCACATGTGAGTGGGATCGAAGGAGAGGTGCAGGGGTAAAAAGAAGAGAAGGGGAGGGGGGAATAGAGGATAGAGTGAAAATACTCTTTTTTTACCGTTGCTGAATATTTTCGTTCTCCTTATGAATATATTATAATTTTTGCTAAAAAATGAATGATTGTTCTGGAGCATTTATTTTTGGGACATGGCGAGTCATTCCCTGTTGCAAAATGCATGACATTTGCAATGACTTGTTTTAACTGTACACATTTTTTTTTAACTGTACACTGACGTTTCTTTTTTTCTTTTTTTTTTTTTATTAAATGAGAACAATTTTAAGCACTTTTAAACACTTGACAATAATTGGGAATTTTCAATTGGATGATTATTGAAAAGATGTCTTCTTTTTTTTAATGTATGTTATTTTTCTTTTTTATATTATAATTAAATCACACACTGTACACCTAACCGTCAGAATTTTACTGCTTCGACGACGACGACAACATTAGTCGGCCATCTTTGAAATCGATTGCACAATTCGATACATCATAAAAATAGGCGGGAATTTTGAATTTTTTAATAAAATAATTTAGAGGGAAAAAACCAATTTTTTCAATCTTTGTAAAATTTCTTTCTCTTTTGTAAAATTAGGGAAAATATTTATAATTTCAAGGGTTTAAATTTTCTTGTCGATTAAGAAGATACCATTCTTTACATCAAGTGTTAAACTGTTAGGTTGGTAGTAACCAGAAGTTACTACTTACCAACTATTGTGGGGGTAAACACATAAATCCCCACAGTTCCTGTAAAGTTGATTTTTCGCCGCTTGCTTGTTGTTTCCACTTGTTTTCGGAGCTTCGGATTTTTAAATAACTCACAAAAATGGTAAGTCTTGTATATTTTGATAATTATTCTTCACTTCCCTTGGCTTGAAATTAACAACAATTTTTTAAAACATACAAATGTTTATAGAAAAGAAAAGTTTCTTTTCTATAAAGAATTTTGATAAACGTCAAGTCAGAGTTTTTTTAGGTTATGTGATTGTCAAATGACAATGCATTTATCAAAATTAATGTTTATTTTCTATTAAAAAACCTAATTTTTGACAGTCATCAAGACTTGAATAATTTCTAATCCGATCTTTCTATTTTTCGGAAAATTTTGATTCATTTTTTTGTCTTTAAGACTAAATTTAATTGGCAATTTTCTCCTGGTATTATTAATGGTCATTCCATTAGAAATTGTTTTTTCTTTTCGAAAGGATTAAATGGTCATTCTATTAGAAATGGTTTTTTATTCGAAAATATATGAAATAAATTTTACGATTTTAGTAAAACTATTTTGAATTTAGAAATAAAAGATCGATTTTATTTTTGAGGTTAGGTTTCTTTGTAAAATATATATTTCCTTATAAACCGTCTATGGAACCAAAAGTTTAGTTTTTCATTTTAAATTCGTACAAGGCCTCTTAAATAATTAAACAATTAAATAATGACGGTTCAATTACAATAACAATAATTAATGTAATGATGGTTTTTACAAAAAAATTTTTAAAATTTAACCTTTTATTATATGATTATTAATGTGATCAAACACAAGATGTGATTTTGATTTGCTTATGTTCATTTTAAGATTAAGAATTATTATTATTATTAAAAATTGCCTGATGAGGACTTAATCAAAGTCGAAACTTGTAGCAATTTGCAATTTATACAATTTTTGTAATAGACGAACATCTTCAACCGCAAAAGGCCTCTAAATACTATTATCAATATTATTTATTGTTCAAATAATTTTACGTCCGTTATTAAATATTTTGTCAGATCAATTTTACGAGGCCTTTAAAATATGATTTTATATTATTATTATTAATTTTATGAATTAAATAATTTAAATTAAACATTAAATTAATAAATATTAAAGTATTGAATATTAAAAATTTAAAGTTCAGTTTAAACAATTTTAATAAATTTTTTAGAGTATCCTCTCCTACAATGGAAGTGCTATGCTAGCAATGAGGGGAAAAAATTGCGTGGCAATAGCGGCTGATCGACGTTTTGGAATTCAATTAAAGACAGTGTCGACGGATATGCAGAAAATTTACGAGATGGGTCCACATTTATTTCTCGGACTTCCGGGCCTAGTGACCGACAGTCAAACAGTGATGGAGAGACTGCGATTTAGATTAAATTTGTATGAACTCAAAGAAAATCGACGAATTCATCCTAAAACTTTTAGTTCAATGGTATCGAATCTTCTCTACGAGAGGCGCTTTGGACCATATTTTATTGAGCCAATTATCGCTGGTCTTGATCCAGTTACATTTGAGCCTTATATTTGTAATATGGATCTAATTGGCTGCATCAATGAGCCAGCTGATTTTGTCGTTGGCGGTGGATGCACCGAGCAATTGTACGGAATGTGCGAAGCTCTCTATGAACCAAATTTGGAGGCTGACGATCTTTTTGAAACTATCAGTCAGGCTTTGGTGAACGCCTGTGATCGTGACGCTCTTTCTGGTTGGGGTGCCGTCGTACACATCATGTAAGACTAAAAAATTAAAGTAAAAAACTAGTTTTAATTGTTAATTCTCATTTTATTTATTTTGATGAGAATTAACAATTAAAACTATATTTTTTACACTTCCTTTTTATTCAAATTCTATTTTTTGTTTTTATTTTGTAGCGTAGAATTACAATTTTAAAATGATTAGAAGTATTATATTTAATAAAAATTTTCTCTTCTTTTTCAGAGAAAAGGACAAAGTTACGACTAGGATGGTGAAAACTCGTATGGATTAAGGATTCCTTTTTTTTAAATTCCGATTATTTACTACTTCTTATATTTTGAAAAATAAAATTTAATGCCGACATTGTCAAATTTGTTATTTCATGTTCGTTTCCCTTGAAATTTTAAATAATATTAATTATTGATAATAGTATTTAGAGGCCTTTTACGGTTAAAGATGTTCGTTTATTACAAAAAATTGTATAAATTGCTACAAGTTTCGACTTTGATTGAAGTTTAAAGAAATTAAAGAAACCTGTAGCAATTTATACAATTTTTTGTAATAAACGAACATTTTTAACCGTAAAAGGCCTCTAAATACTATTATCAATATTATTAAAAAAACGGTTCTTAAATAAAATTATTTAATAGTAATTATTGTTTATAAAATGATAAACAAAACTGAAAAATCTTGAATTACAATTTTGTGATTTAAATAAAATATAATATTAATATAAATGAAATATTGCAAAATTATATACTATAAAAAATTTTATAAAGTTCATAACCATGGACTAAATCTACAAGTTTCATTATTTTATGATAATGAGAGAGATGATTAGTGACAGGAGTTTATAATTAATTAACTTTTGGTATCCCTGAAGAGGAGGTCGGAACCGACTTCGAAACATTGGAAATAAAGATGGAAAGAGGAAAATGATTATTTATATAAAATATTTAAATTTTTAATCATTTGTATTAATTTATTAATAATTCGAAAACAAAAAAACGATTTTTTTCATTTCATAATTTCACAAATTTTTTTTTAAAATTAAATTAATTTTACACTAAATTTAATTTTAATTTTTTTTTTCATACAATAAAATTGTTTTTACTTTTTATTTAGGAGTTTTAGTATTAATATTAATCAATTGAGACTAATTAGATATTTGATTGAAAACTGTTGCGAAAAGCCCCGTTCGTTTCCTTAGAAACCAACTTCCTGTAAATTGTTACCCCCTTTCAAATAGAAATAAAACCAAAATTTTCTACTTGTGTACATTATAAATATTATAATGAATACAATGGTGAATATAATTCATCCAAAATTATTAACAAAACCGCCAATTTGTGGAGCGAAGAAACCAACAACTAAAAACGCAATAATTGACTTGAAAAGTTTAGAGAGAAAAAATGACACAATGTTTCAAACTATTCAAATGGAATTGACAAAACCAGCCATCAATGATTGTAATCAAAATGTCATTGAACCGAATTCTTGTTCTTTTCAACAACTTTGCAATATGATTAATCATCTTGAGGGAAATTTATCTGACACGAATATAATTGTTGATGATGAAGAAAATTTGCCGAATGTTCCGTTTAAATATCAAAGTCAAGTGGGTACTGAAATACTAATAATTTTGTTTTTTCTCTTTGCGACCTAATTATTATGAATTTAATATTAATTAATAATTAATAATTTATTTTGCCATAGATTTTGTTTACCTTCTTATTTTATTTTTTTTAGTAGAAAACCTAATTTAAAAAATTTTTAGGTTCACCCAGAAAAAGACGTTTCTGTAAATAATTGTAGTTCAAGTGGTCAAACTTATGAGGATATTATGCAATTTTTGGGTTCACTGGAGCAAGAGATTCCAAAGTTAGGTAAAAGATTTTCTCTTCGAATATTCTTGAAAATATTTCGTCATATTTTTCTCCTTTTCATTTTAATTTAAGAATCAAGCGAGTCCTCTGGAAAATCGATTCACGCCCTCGAGGAATTTTTGTCCACTGATCAATTTGTTCAGAGTCAATCAAAAATCAGGTAATTTTTTTACCAGCGAGAAGCGGTCCCCCCACTCCTCAAAGTGGACTCGTGGTGGGGGTCCGCTTCTCCTCCTAAGTCTGTTATTATTATTCTACCTCTAATTAATTAATAATTTAATCTACATAGAATTTTCATCAATCTGAATAATTAAATTTAGTAAAAATCTTTTAAATTTTAATAATTTATTTTAAAAAAATTTATTTAATTAAAATTTTTTTAATTTAATTTAAAATACACTCAGGAGTAAAATAATTCCGAACTCGCAACTGCAAGACGATTTAGAAACGACGAAACTCCAATTAGAAGAGAAGGAAGCGACATTAACGTGTTTGAAAAATGAACTAAAATTCGAGAGGAAAGTCGCTTGTGAGAAATTAAATTCACTGAAGAAAGAACACTCCGTGTCGCTTCAATCCCAAAAATCAAGATATCAGGCAATCATAAAGCGTCATCAAAAGTTTATTGAAAAATTGATCTCCGAAAAAAAGGATTTAACGGAAAAATGTAATTCCTTAGCGCAGAGAATAAAAGAAATTGAGGCGAAAAATCAACGGGAAATAAAAGTCATTGTCGAGAGGCATTCCATTGAAATACAACGCGCCAAAGAACTTTGCGCGGCTTCGGAAAAAATTCGACGAGAACGATGGTTAGAGGCGAAGAAAAATAAAATTAAGGTATAAATTTCAATTTTCTTTTCATTAAATTAAATTTTTAAATTTCCTCCCAATTGTAACAAAATTGAAAATTAAACCTTTTTTTTATTTGTATTTTCTAAAATTTTTTAAAAAAGTTAAAAATTTTTTTTTTTAAATTGCAGGAAATGACAGTGAAAGGATTAGAACCAGAATTAAGAAATATGACAGAACAACATCAATTGGAAATTCAAAATTTACGAAGTGTTCATCTTGAGGAATTGCAAAATATGGATCTTCGTGCGGTACGAAGGGCAAATCAACAAATGGAACATTTACGTAACGAATTAACGGAAAATCATGAAAAATTACTAAACGAGGAAAAAGAAATTCTACGCTCCAGGTTTTAGTCAATTTTACTAAATTTTCGAGTTTTTATTTTGAAATTTTTATCTTATTTTCAATTTTTTAGATATGAGGAAAAATTGAATGAACAGGAATTTTTGTTTGACGAGAGACACAGAAAATTTCTCGATGACCTGCAAAAGGAAAAGGAGAAATTCTCTCAGGAACAGTTGAAGAGAGATTTAGAGAGAAAGGCAGAAATTAATCGAGTTACAGCCGATTTTAATGTACATTTAAAAAAAAAATTGAATTTATTTTGGGGCTCTTGATAAATTAAATTTGTCAGTAAATTTTAAATCGAATTTTAAGGTTTTAATTCGAAATTTTTCATTTCTTTCAGGAAAAGGCGGAGGCGATGATGCAAAGACATCGAAACGAATTGGAATCAGTTCGATCGTCATTGAAGACGGAGCAGGAAATTTGGACTGAAAATCAACAGAGACAATATAATATTAAATTTGAAATAGCTGAGTCAAAAATTAGGGACGAAAGCATTAAGGAAAGGGATCGACAAATCGAAATTGCGATCGAACGTTTAGAGAAGGAATCAAGAAACATGAAAATTAATCTTCAGAAAAGTTCCGAAAATAAATTACGGTATTTTTCTATATTTTTATTTTGTCAATAAAAATAAAAACGGAAAATTTGTTTTTTTCAAAATATGATTTTCACATTAAAAATATGGATTTTTCAATAAAAAATTTTTACTTCTCAATGAACTGAATTTAAGGAAAAAATTTCAGATGTCTAACGGAGAAATACGAGTCAGAATTGCAGATTATAACCGACAATGAACAAGTTTTAAAGGCTAAATTATCGTCCGCACAGGAAAGACTAGAAACTCTCGAGACTCGTCTGGATAAAACGGAATCAATTTTACAGCAAAGAATCATTGATTTGCAAAACACTCGAAAAGTAAGTAAAAAGATTCGATTTTTCAAGTAATGAAAAACTAATTTCGTTCTTTTTTTAAAAAAAAAAGTCGTTGGAAACGGTAACAATGGAAAGGGACAATGTGAAAAAAATCGTAAGACAGGAAATCGAATCCGAGAAAAGGGAATTGGAGGATAAAATAGCGTCTCTTTATCGAGAATTAACGGAAAATAATTCGAACAGAGAAACGCTAATGACACAATTATACAGCAGGTGATTAATTAAATTTAATTCATTCATTAATCTTTAATTGAATCGCGAATCTCAAAAAAGGCTCAAATTTAACAATTTTTTTAAAAGTTGAAATTTTTATTTAAACAAAAATTGTAGGCTTTTATTTTTAAAAAAATATTTGTAAAAATGTGGAGAAGTATTTTTTATACTGAAAATGACTTTGTAAATAATTGGGAAAGAATATTGGATGCCGTATAATCTTTTCGAAAATATGAATTAGTTCATATTATGTAAAGTCCAAAAGAAGTTTAAGATATGAGTTTTGTATTTCATGGGTATCTCAGAAAAGATAAATTTGTCGGTATTATTTGAAGAAATGCAGATTCCATTCATCGTCGACGTAGCATCCTGAAATGAAATTAAAAAAATAGTTAAGAAATTCGAAATTTCGATTTAGTTAAAGAATAAATTTTTTTCAGAATAAAGCTGATAATAACGCAGAAGGATCTATCGATAAAAAATCTCATTCAAGAGACGACGGAGGCAAAAAACAAATGCGATCATTTAGAAAAACTTTTGGATCAGCAACGACGAGAATACGTTTTAAAGTCTTTGTGAATTTTCGTGTGTAAAAATAAAATTAACTACTTTTATTCTGTAAAATAAGTGAATTTTCCAAAAAACTTCCTTTTTTAAACAAATTAATCAGTGAAATGATAAAAATAATTAATAAAATGAAAACATTCTATCGAATGATGAAGTCAGACGAATGATGAAATATAAAAAAAAATAAATAATTTAAGATTTGAATTGAAATTTTGCCTTACGAAAGAAAAGAAAGTTTTAAAAGAATTTAACTTATTATTATTTGCAATCATGAGGCGATATTCCATTTCTTTTCTGTAAAGTAAATGAAACTTTACAGAAAAATGAGCAATATAAAATCACACTTTTTTGACGATTTGTACAACGTCTTCGTCACATAGGACGTGATCTTTTCCGACTTTTTGCGGTTGATGTTTCACTGATGAACCCCAAACGAGCGCACTGTAAAAAAATTTTTTTTTTTTTATTTCTATTTACAGGCAAAGAAATTTATTTTTTTTTTTTTGAAAATAAAACTCACTATTTAAATTCCTTTGCGATCGATCGATGGAGTTTATTGCAGAAATCTTCGACTGTTCTTCTGTCTGTATTCAAAACGACCGGAGAACTATAATCTGGAAGCTGTCCTTTAGGTTTCGTGTAACTGAAAATTAAAAAAAGTATTAAAAAAATAATTTGTAAGCATTGTAAATTTTACTTTTAGTTAAAATTTAATCTTTTTAAATTAAAGACAGTTAAAGTCAGTCTTAAAAGAAAATAACAAAAAGCGATTTTTTTTGCAGACATCGAATATAAAATTAACTTACATTCTAACAAGCTGCAAATAATCCCACATTTTTTCCAACAAATCATCGAAATTCCATTTATGATGAGCGGAAATTGGAACGCAATGCGGTATTTTGTAAATAACGTCTAGTTCCTCAATGCTAATTTGATCTAAAAAGAAAGAAAGAAATTTTTAAGTTACGATAATTTAGATTTTTGAAAAAAAATCAATTTTTAACATTTTTATTTTATTTAACAAAAAGAAATTTATTAATTTCAGGGTGTTGAGCAAGCATTGAGAAAAAAATTCCCTAAACACTCGACACACAACTTTTTAGAAATAATAAATTGTTTTTTGTTAAATTTATATTTTTAGTTCTATTTTTTTAAACTCAGACTATTTTTTTCTTATTGAAATTATATTATAAAGAAAACTTTGTAAAGTCATTTTTTTAAAAAATAATTACCTATTTTGTTGAGTAAATAAATGCAGGGGACATAAACTCGATTTCCTTCAATAATATCAATTAAATCGTCAGAAGTTGCATCGTATCTCAATGTAATATCCGCATTGTGAATTTTATATTCAGAGAGAATTGATTTCACAGTGTCTAGATCGAGTTCGGATTGTTGACACTGTAAATATTAAAAATTATATAATTTCTAAATTAAATAATGAAATTAAAAATTGTATAATTTCTAAATTCAATAATGAAAACTTCGTTAATGAAGAAATTAGTATGTTTTTTCAAATTTTAAATAGTACAAGAATCTCACCATTGTTTGTAGATTAATTCCACCTTTATCCTTTTTTCTAAAGGTGATATTTGGTGGTTGTTTATTTAATCGAAGACCAAAACCCTCGAGCTCGTGTTCAATGAGCCGTTTATGGCCCAAAGGTTTAAGAACGTCTAGAACGATAAAAATTAAACTGCAAGTTCTCGCTACTGCAATGACTTGTCTTCCTCTACCTTTGCCATCTTTTGCACCTTCGATGATACCGGGAAGATCGAGCAACTAAGAAAAAACAAAAATTCGTTAATTTTAACTGATTTTTGGTTATTCTCAGTCATTTTAACTATTAAAAGAAATTTTTATTATTTGCGATCAAAATGAAAGTGAGTCTTTTTTTACTGGTGCCAAACAAAGTAGTGTAAGAATCTTTTATAAATAATACATTCTCGTTGTGACAATGTAAAATTTTTTGTAAGAATTTAGATAAAAAGTCTCTCACTTTTTACCTGGATTTTTGCTCCTTTATATTTAATGCATCCAGGAACTGTCGTGAGTGTTGTAAATTCATAGGCCGCGACTTCTGAATAAACCCCGGCCAATGTACTTAAAAGTGTCGATTTCCCAACAGATGGAAAACCTAAAAAAGAATATTCAAAATTAGAAACGTTTTACGTAATAATTTAGGTACTTTTTAAAAAACTAAAATTTATAACTCAAAAATCTATTTATAAAATAAAAATTTTAAACTCCTTAAACTTAATCGGTTTAACCGATTTTAAAATGACATAGAAAAATTTCACGTGGAATCGCCTATATATTTTTATTCTTTAGAATATGGACTGAAAATTCACATGGATTCGCCCATGTATTTGTTTCTTTTAAAAATTCTTTAAGAATATAAAATTTTTTTTGTAGATTTTTAACGAATTAGCGATACTTTTCAAAAATTCACGGATATTTTTGTAAATTCCCAGTTTTCTCTCTGGTGTTTATATGAAATAAAAATTTCAACTTCAACTTGGCTTGTGGTTCGATTATAATAAATAATTTTGTTTATTTATCGTACCCACAAAACCGATTCGAGCATCCCCAGTTTTGGCGACTTCGAAACCAGCCTCGCCACCCCCACCACCGCCTTTTGGAGTAATAAGCTCTCTTCTTAATTTTGCCAATTTTGCTTTCAATAAACCCAAATGGCCTGAGGTGGCTTTATTTTTTTGCGTTCGGGCCATCTGAAATTAGGAAATTCATTTAATTGAGGAAATATTCGGGAAACATTTTGAATACTTTTTAAAAAGAAAATTCACGTTAATATACTTTATACAGTTTATACATATTGAAAATAGAGAGGTTACCTCGGCCTCGATCGCTGCAATTTTTTCCAAAATTGTACTCATTTTGAGTTAGTGTTAAACTCGCATGAAATGAAATCAACACTCTCACTGATTTCTTCAACACTACTCGATTTTTAGAGCAACATTTTAAAAAAATTTGTTTTTCATATAGAACGACACGTGTTTTTTCGTTGACGGTTTTTGAATGGTTCTTGGTGAAAACAGCAACTGACGTGAAGTTTGCCTCAGTTGATTGTAACAAAGAATACCAATAGGGGAAAAATTGAAAATCAAGATTTAGATTGTCAGCACTGATGGCGCGAAAAATATAAAATTTTGATTTTAAATAAACGTCTACTTAATAAAATGAGTTTTTTTTATTAATTAATAATAATAATAAAATAAAATTTTGTTATTAAATAATATAATAAAAATAATAATAAATAATAAAATTTTGTAGCATTATTTTTCAAATTGTTATAATTTTCTTTATTTAAAAATATATTTTATTATAGAAATTGCAAATGTAGAAAATTTTGATTTTAGAAAAATTAAAAAAGAATTTTGATTTTAATTAAAATTGTAGACTTTTATTTAAAAGAATATTTGTAAAAATGTGGAGGAGTATTTTTGATACTGAATATGACTTTGTAAATAATTTGGAAAGAATATTGAAGCCCTTATAATCTTTTGAAAATATGAATTAATTCATATGTATCAAAAGAAGTTTAAGATATGAGTTTTGTATTTCATGGGTATCTCAGAAAAGATAAATTTGTCGGTATTATTTGAAGAAATGCAGACTTCATTCATCGTCGACGTAGTATCCTGAAATGAAATTAAAAAATAGTTAAAAGAATTTGTTAAAAAGAACGAATTAAAAAATATTATTATTACATCAAAATCAAAATTCGCGGCTAATTATCAATATACAACGTCCTTGAAAATTTTCATTTCACAATTTTTCCTTTTCACCTCGGTTCACTAATCATAACTTGAGTTACAATCAAAATAGTGTCGTTCGTGAAACATTAAAATAATGACTTTACAAAAAGATACAAGAGTAAGTAGAAATTAAATTAGATTTTTGATTTGATTCCACTTTTTTAATTTTAAATATTTAAAAAAATTTTTTGTTAATAAATAATTTTTTTTGTTATTTATTAGGATAAATTGGTCAAGGCAGCGAGAAATTGTCAACAAAATTTCTACGAATTACTCAGCGATTGGAATAGTTATGACAGAAAAAAGCCACAATATTTGAAAAATTTTATCGGTACCGCTCTCTTTGGACCACCGCAAATTAATCAAGACAATACATCTTGTTTATTTGAAAAACAATTGGAGGATGTAATATTTTTTCAAGATTCGCATCAACAACAAACAATTGACAAGATTTATGAAAAAATTCTACAACACGGTACACAAAATAAAGGAAAACATGAAATAATGTGTGGACTAATTTATAATGTGATATTCGATATTTCAATTGAATGTGGAAAATATTTTACAGAAGAACATGTCATAAAGTGTTTGCAACCAATTCCAATTTTTAAAGTTTTGAAAAATTTTGTTAAACGAACGAATAGTGGTAATTTAATAACAACAAAGTTGGAGATTCACTATATTGACGATTGTGGCCGAGTTTATAAAAGTTGGAAGGATTATTTAAATTTTAATATTTTGCCAAAGTGTTTTATGGTTGTGCCAAAGGCAGGTGAATATCAAGCTGATTATAGTAATCAATGGTCGGAGAATATTTCTTACGTTTCTATTGAAATGTACAAATCGCCATCTTGTTTTAATGAGAGTATTAGTAGGATTGATTCGATTAATAAATTTGTTGGTTTGGGCTGTGCTGGATTTGGACTCGCAGCCGCTTTTAATCCTGTTGGTGGGGCTCTTATGACTTTAGGTATTTAACAAAATTTTCAAAACTAAAATCCGAATTCGTTTTTTTTATTTTTTTTAATCAAAAAGCTTACCTCTCTTACCTTTTATTTCAAAAATTTATGCTTAGAAAAAAATAAAAAAAAAATACTTTCAGGAGCTGTAGGTATGGGATTAAGTGGCTTATGGTCAATGGGAAGAAACTCACAAATAATTGCAGATCGTCATCTTCATGAGCAATCGATTGGGATGAAAGACAAAGACGGAATCGTCCGATGGTTTGGATTAGCCAGCAGTATTTTAACAGTAGCCACAAGTGGTGGTTCAATGCTCCTATCAAATGCTGTTAAAAATGCCACAACTTTAAGTACAGCTGCAAAAATAGTTCACAGTTCAGCACAAATAGGATCCATAGCCGCTAGTGGAGTAAATGTTGGTTTAATTATCAACAACATTAACGATAGTAACCAAAAATACGTTTCAGCCCAAGACACCCTAAATCTAGTCTCAAATTTACTCCTCTTTACAAATTCAATCGTAAATCTACAATTCGCCAACAGTATTTTAAGGAAAAATCAAACAGAATTAATCCACGATTTTGAGAATAGCTTAAGAATAGCTCGACACAGAAAAGAATTTCGACGAATGGTGAAAAATAGCACTTCCCTTCCATCATATCAAACTCCCGAACAAATTCGTTCGACTACTAAAATAACAACTAAAAATCATCTAACGTATTCAAAAAATAATTTTCAAATCAAAGATGATTTTCTATTTACCGGAATTGTTTCATCCGATGGAATAATTTCCATCGATGGGAAGAATTTAATAAAACCACTTGATTTTGTCAAAAAACTAAAAGAACAAAAAAATAGACCTATTAACATTGCCCTGACGACTAATTACAGTATAAGTAATAATATTTTTGAAAAGGTATTAAAAAATTTCTTGCTACGTTATAAAAATGAATTTACCAATTCACAATTAAGTTTGACTCTGTTTTCATCGTTTCTCAACAATATTTCTGAAATTGATAAACCGGATGTGATTTTTAGCAAATTGTTGTTAATTGGCATTAAGTTAGTGAAAAATATGAATAGAAATTTATTTACAACTTGTAGAAAGTATTTGATAAGTAACGCAATTTCTGAGACTGTTGATTTTTTGTGGGAATTCATACAAGTTAATCTTAGAGAAAAAATTGGACTATGTAGACAATCGGAAGATTATCGGGAATTGATTATGAAAATTATTATTGGTATTCATTCTTCGGTGAGAAATAATATTGACGAGTGGATTGATTCATTAAAATATTATCTCCTAATTAAAAATGAATGGATGAGGAGAAAAATTGAGAATGATGATGGAAAAGTGTATTTGTTACAAGTAATGTAAAAGTTTAATTAGTTATGAACTATGTTGATCGTGTTCTTTTTGAAAATTATTTATTGTTTTTAAATCGAGAACTAAGCAAATAAAAACTATTTTACTTTCAACATTGAAATGACAAGCTTGTATATTTATTAGAACTTTAATTTAATTTTCATTTTACCGATGATTCATTAGCTCTAATTTTTATTTTGCAGATATGTTATCGAATAGAGATTTCCTTAGTCCGAAAAAACATTTGAGGTTATTTTCATTTGTCCAATTGATTATTTGAACTATAATTTTTGTTTTACCGATATTTCATCTGTTGTAATTCCTATTTTTCTAAATCATTATTTAAGAGAATTTTTTTCTGTTCGAAATGTTCTTTAACCTAATTTTCAGTTGTTCGAAATGTTCGAAATTAACTTACCGAACTTACCCTTGTTTTTGTTCCAAAAAAGATTTGCTCCGTCGACTGATAAGAAAGATACACTATACATAGATGTGTGTAGCATGGAAATTTTATGTTACGTCATTTCCACAATGATTTCAGTAAAAACTGCAATTTAGGGCTTTTCTACAACTTTTCTTTTATTATTAGCTTGCAGTTCAGTGTTGAGTAGAAAACGTCAAGCAAAGCAGAAATAAATAATTTATTATACATATAATTTCTTCAAAAAGTAAATAAAATGAATGCTCGCACATTCAACAGTTTACTTTGTTCGTGTCAATGAAAAAAAAAGTTGCACAAAGACCCATATATTTCGGGGCTTCCATACGATTTTTGAGAGATTCGAGCAACCCATCTCTGGTTGTTTTAATGTTGCAATTCTTGCATTGACTTTGACATTCATCTATAAGCAGAAAATTAGTTTCGCCGTTTGTTGATTTATCGTCTCCAGTTAGAAAATTAAAGGTAAATTTCTTTTTAAATAAATGATATAGTGATTATTTTGTTGATCAGAGTAAATGCAAAAGCTATAGATATATTTTATAAAAATAATTATATTGATCAGTTCATTGACAAATAATAAACATCTATGATGGCAAAATAACCTCTAAATACACGTTATTTTCATCGCAATAATTGCTCATATAGTTAGACACTGTTAGTTTTGTTCTTAATTATTAAGTGACATTGAAAATAATATCGACGCTAACTCCGGGAAAATTGTAAAAATAACCTCTAAAATATTCAACTTTATCTATGACAATTTTTCTAAAAGTTTCTGAAAATAAGAACTTTTTAAAAATTTAAATTATTTAAACAATGTTTCGTTGTACTAATCACTGAAATGTTTTTTCAGGACAAAATGTCGAAATTTCAGTGTGAAACTTACACGCTGAGATGGAAAGTTTGCGATTTTCTAATTGCTTGCGAAAATAAGTCACTAATTAAATCATCACTATTTCCAAAAGAAAAAGTGGACAATGTTCAGTGGTGTCTAGAAGTTCAATTTACGAAATTAAGTAAAGATAATCAAGATATTTTTCAATTCTCTTTGATAAATACAGAGAGCATTAGAAAAAATGTTTGCATCAACATCAGCATTTTTAGTAACGAAAAAATCAAGAAGATCATCAATTCTTATCCTTCTTGTGATATTATAACAAAATGGGAGATAAAGGCAACCGAATTATACCAGGTGCTAGTTTTCGACAATAGACTTCCAACGAATATTGTTATTTTCTGCGAGGTTGTTCTCATGAAGGAAGTAAAAAGTGCACTAAAAAGTTCATCAAGTTCTTTGGCCAGAACTCTTCAATCAAACGAACTTTTGTCACAATTGAAGAACTCAATTTCTGATGAAGCTTTCAAGGATGTTATTTTTAAGGTTGAGGATGAAACTTTCACAGCGCATAAATTTATTTTAGCCCTCAGAAGTCCAGTGTTTGCCATAATGTTCAAAAATCACGTGGTCGAGAAACTGATGCCAGTTTTTAAAGTTGAGGACATGAGGGCAACGATTTTTCAAAAAGTCCTTCAATTCATTTACACCGACAATGTCGAGGATATTGACGACTTAGTTTTTGATTTATTTTGTGCATCAGAAAAGTACGAGTTGGACAATCTGAAAATAATGTGCATTAACAATTTGTACGCCAATCTTTCTTGTGAAACTGTTATAAAAACTCTTGAGCTCGCCGATATATTTTCAATTTCAAAATTAAAGGAAGAGTCACTGAGATTTTTGGTCACCAACTTAGCAACTATAAGTTGTAAAGAAGATTTTGTCGCTTTAATCAAGAAAAGGGAGAATTTATCAGTGGAAATTTTCAAAATGTTCGGTTCAATGAACAACGAGAAGGAAAATGATAACAATTTGCTTACGGATTTCAGTTCTTTGTTTGATGACGAAGGTAAAGAAAAATTTTTTATTTTCATAAATTTACAAAAATAAATCATTCTTTTTAATTCTTATATTTTCTTAATTAAAAGTACAAAAATTACATGAACTTTTCAGATGAGTCATCCGTTTCAACACCCGATTTTGACGAAATTTTCGGAATGTATTAAATTTTTTGTACTTTTAAGAATCGAAAAAAGTGTATCTACTTATATAAATGAATAAAAATTGTTTTCTTTTTACTGCAGGAAACAAGTGTTGTAAATTTTTAAACCCAGATCCATCTTTGTAAATAAAAAGTCGATTTTAAACATTTTTCATTGCAGGCAGTAAAGGTGATTTTGAAACCATGGATGAAGATAATTCGGAAAAAATGAGCAATCCACCTGCAATTGTCGCTGATCATCAAAAGAATCGAGAAAAAGAGGAAAAAAATAAAAATCTTAAACAAAAAATTAAAGAGGAGAAAAAAATTGAAAGTAAAATAAATTCACATGCAAAATCGAAGAATCAAATTATCAATAAGAATAACAAACATGATAGTGAGAAATTTAATGATCAAATACTTAGGAAAAAAAATTATCGTTCCTACACACCATTTTTGAATGCAAGAAATTATCCTTCCTTCATTCATCATCGTCATCAACATCATCCATTAAATTATTGGAAAAATGCTAATCACCATTGGTCAGCTTATTGATTATTTTTCAACTTACTATCGATCAACAGACAAGTATTGATAAAAAATTACAAATGTTAATATAATTTTCGTTCCTAAAAAAATAAATGTATTTAGAAATTATGGTAGTTAATACCAAAAAAAAATTAACATACAAAAATAATTGTAACTTAAAATAAATATATTTTTTCTTAAATAATTCGTTTATCAAAATTTCGAGCTGACTCAATTTTAATAGTTAAAAAGTTGAAATTAAAAGCAAGGTGAAAAAACAAAAACATTCGGATAATGATTTTAATATTATTCCAATATTTCGAAATCTAAATGATTTTTTCTTCAGGGAGTTTAAAAAAATATGTAAATTTTAAAAATGGCGGATCCAATATGGCGGACATTTTTTTAAAAACTGCTCAAACTTGCATGATATTGATATTTACAAATATTGATATTTAAGGGTTCGCCTATTATTTTTTAACAATATCAAGAAAATGATTTAAATCTTCCATAAAATTGTTTTTATAGTAATTTTTCAAAAAAGAAATTCAATTGTCAGAAAATAAAAACTTAAAAAAATATTTTGACCATTTTTGAATTTTTATATTTCTTAAAAATTAATTTTTGTGAGTAAAGGTAAGGAAAAAAAAATTTTTACATTTTTGTATACACAAAAAAATTATTGGCGAATGAAAAAAATGATTTCTAATATTTTTGAACCATTTTAAAAAAGAAAAAATATTGTCTTTAGGTTGAAAATGTTAAAAAGTACCATTGTTATTGAATGTTGTATTTGGAAGATCATTTCTTTATTTTTCTAGAACTAATTTCAAATTATAATTTTTTAAAATAAAAAATATAGAATACAAAAAATTATGATAAAATTAATATAGAAAAATTAACAAATGCATTTCAAAATAAAATAAAAATTTTATTTTTTTAAAAAAAATTGTATTTTTTTAACATTTTCAACCTAAAAGACAGTATATTTTTTCCAAAAAAATGCCTCAAAAATAGAATCACTTCTGTGATCTTTCTTATTGAAAAAAATGTATCATAAATATGAAAGGAAGAAGCGCACTCTTTTATAATAGAAGGAAAGAATAAGATAAGTTTCAACAGTGGTAGTAGGAGACTGATTGGAAATAAGTGAAAGAGAGTGAAAAGGAGGGAGAATCTTTCTGATGACACGACTATAGTAAAGATTGTATATTAGTCTGTGCTCCACATGCCATGTGGCCACACTGATAATTAAGATTGAAAAACAAAATTCTTCCTCTGTTTTCAAATTGTTTACATTGAAACTTAAAGAAAAATAAAAATACTATTTTCCTTGACGAATAATTTTAAATAATTGAAATTAGTACAAAAAATAATTGACTTTAAATTATAATTCATGTGCACTGTTGATTATTCACATATATAATAGTGATTCGACAAAAAATGAGTTTACGTGTTCAATCTGCTGTGTTAAAAACAATCGTTCGGAGCAATGTTCGTTCGCTATCTCAATTTTACAGTAGCAATGATAATACCTTTGGTTTTAATGAGCAACAAAAAGAGGTCTGTTTTTTAAATAAAAATTTTTTTTTGTAAACTATTCATTAGTATTCGAATTTTAAAATAAAACTTTCAATGTAATATTTAAATTTTAAGTACATGGCTAATAAGTATATGGAAAATTTCAAATTCATGAAGTTTCAATGATAATTAAATTTTCAAGTCAGTTAAATCTAATTTATTCTGAGTCGATAAAACAGATTTAGTCTTTTTCTAGTTTTTAAATTACATTGATTTTGAAGAGAATCACTTTCTATTTTAAAACAATTAAATAATTTTTTCCTATCTTGCAGTTGCGAAACTTGGTTTTCAATTTTGCACAAAAGGAACTTGCACCTAAAGCTGCAGAAATTGACAAAACGAATAATTTCGACAATTTGAGGGTATGTTCTGATCAAAATTATTAAAAATAGAGTAAGAAGCTGTAAAAAAATAGTTATTTATTAATATTTGTGTTACTTAGTCGTTTTGGAAGGAAATGGGCAAATTGGGGTTTCATGGAATAACTGCAAAACCGGAATATGGCGGGACTGGAGGAACTTATTTAGATCACGTGATTATCACTGAAGAAATAAGTAGAGCCTGCGCTGCCGTTGGCCTCAGTTATGGAGCACATTCAAATTTGTGTCTGAATCAAATTCACAGGCATGGCACTGAGGAGCAGAAATTTAAATATTTACCAAAGGTAATAGAATTCAAAAACTAAATTTTAGGGGGTTCGCAAAAAATCCACGATTGAAGATCCACAATCATTAAATAATTATAAAACGGATTAGAAACAAAAATTTTACTATACAATTCTGTTATTTGTTTATATTTCAAAAGCTTTGTAGTGGCGAGCACATGGGTGCTTTGGCAATGTCGGAAACTGGTTCGGGCTCCGATGTGGTTTCAATGAAATTAAAAGCAGAGAAGAAAGGTGATTACTATATTTTTAATGGAAACAAATTTTGGATTACTAATGGACCAGACGCTGATACTTTTGTTATTTATGCAAAAACCGATATGAATTGTACAAAACCACAGCATGGAATTACGGCATTTGTGGTGGAGAAAGGAACACCAGGTTTCACCAGCGGACAAAAACTTGATAAACTAGGAATGAGGGGCTCAAATACCTCGGAATTAATTTTTGAGGATTGTAAAATTCCTGGTAGGTTAAAATTTGATTTTCAAAAGTAGGAAATGAAAAAGCAGAAAGCAGAGTCTGGAGAAATTACATTTGTAAATTTATTTTTCTTTAGCCTCCAATATTTTGGGACAATTGAATAGAGGAGTTTATGTTTTAATGAGTGGATTGGACCTAGAACGACTTGTTCTATCAGCTGTTCCTATTGGGTGAGGTATAAAAAAAGCATCTGTAAATGTTTCCCTAAATATAATGAACAACTCTTTGTTATAGAATTATGCAAGCATGTTGCGATGTTGCTTTTAAATATGCACACGAAAGAAAACAATTTGGAAAACCGATTGCAGATTTTCAAATGATTCAGGTATATAGAAAAAAATTAGTCATTTTATTTACAAAGTTTTTCTGATTACTTGATAAAAGATATTCTTTTCAATTATAAATTCTTTTAAAATGTTTATAATTATTTTTAGGAAAAACTCGCAAATATGCACATGGCTCTGTCCTTAAGTAAAAGTTACACGTATACTGTTGCAAAGGCATGTGATGAAGGTCATGTTGACCGGAAGGATTGCGCCGCAGTTGTCACATATGGATCTGAAGCATCAGTCAAAGTATCTCTTGATGCTATACAAATTTTAGGTAAAGAAAAATTTTTCAAAAAAGAAACCAATTTTTAACAACAAAGGAGAAAATAGTAAGAAAGGATAGCTTTGTAAAATTATTTCTCTTCTGTAAAATAATGCTCTGGAAATATTTTCAGGTGGTAATGGTTATGTAAATGACTTTCCAACAGGAAGATTATTGAGGGATGCGAAATTATTAGAAATTGGTGCGGGAACATCGGAAATTCGAAGAATGGTCATCAGTCGAGCAATCGCTGAAGATTACGTTTAATTGTTATTTAGTAAAACTTTTTATTTTTATACACCTTTTTTTTACATGTTAACAGATATTATTACACATTTGTTAAAAAATTACAAAGAAAATAAATAATACATTCCATAAAAATTGTTATTATTTGTTTTATTGTTTCCTCATCAGCGATACCAAAAAAAACCCCGAGTGATAAGTTTCAAACCATTATCAATCTGGAGGAATTTGGAGCGTTTTTCTCGAAAACTATTTCAGACATTAGGTCCTTTTGACTTTCCAGGTCACATATTACACATTGTATTTCTAATATTACTCGTCCAGATCGTAAAATTTTTTTCCTTCTATCTTTTAGCATCAAATGACTAATAATTGTATTGTTATCAGTATTATCAGATATAAATTAACGCATTTGCCCTTCAACAAAGTAAAATTACAAAAAAATATCGAACTTACAACAAACTTGTGGTTAGACTGCAATAACAGAATCGATTCCTCTCTCAAACGAAACAGTCATTTTTTCATTAACAAGGAAAAAATCATGAAGTTCTTAAGAAAGATTAGTTGTGTCGTACTCTTCAGTGTAATTATTCTGAGCGTGTTAGGAAGGAGCAATTACACTTTGGGATTAATAAGATACTTGAAAGAAGAATCTCGACTCCACCAGGTAATATTTGTAACTGATGATCAATTTCTTGCAAACAACGAATCAAATGCTAATGCACAACTTATTCGCAATGTTTCTCAAAACTTTCCATCATTGAGTATGAGTTTAAACAAAGCACGAGAGCATCTGGAAAAGTACTTTTCACTACATTTGCAACTGCCTAGAAGGACCACATTGTTTATCTTCATTCTCAATGGGGCTGAAAAGAAATATGTACCTGAATTAAACGCTACATTCAGTAAATTGGAATTCTTGTCCAGAAATCAGTCGTACCCCAAGTGTTTAATCAACTTCTTTAAATCAAGAAAAGTTCGTTCGTATGAGAGTATGCTGAAATCACTATGGCACAGAGACATGCTAGACATTTCTATTCTTGAAAATGTTGTAGTGAATCGATCATGGCAAACAGAGGATGTGACCACTATTCACCGAATCAATCTTTTTGAAAAAAAGTACACGAAACAGAATGTTAAGCAACGAACAAAATGGTTTCCGAACAAATTGTTGGATCTCCACGGACATCCTTTAAGATTTGCATCGACTACTAACAATGTAAAAGGTAACGAAGAAATCTTCATTTCAACACAAAAATTCAGAGATTACATTCAGCAGTCAATGCATTGTAAAACTACACTTGTGTATTATAGTAAAATAAAATATTTATTATTTCTTCGAGATAAAAAAAAATTTGAAATGTTGGTAAGCCCTGTTATAGCAAGTATAAGGAATAATGCTGTTACATTCGTTTCAATGCGTATATTGTCGTTTCAAACATCAAGAGCTGTAATTGAAAATGTAAGAAGTAAAACTCAAAGTGTTGAAGTCTCTGAGGAATTCATTTACATGATAGTTGCTACAACTATTGCCATTGCTGCCATAAGAATTGCCGCTGCGTTACTGAAATTTAACAGAAGCACTTGGAACACGTTCAGCATCAGTCAAATGATAATGGGAATGTCTGTAGCCAACGAACCAAGAAAGTTTACAGAGAGATTAGTTTTAGGAAGTGTAATATTGAGTTGCATGATCTACTCCGGTTACTTGTTCTCAGTCATTTTGGACATCAATTTCCGAGAAACACCTCAAATTTCAACTATCGAAGAACTGGTAAATTCATCGTTGACACCAATGACCAGTTCTTTCAAAAATTCGTTAATGCTAGAAAGTCCTCAGGATTTCATTAAAAAATTAGCCTCTAATGCAGTGAGAACACCTGGTTTAATAGTCTCAGACTATGATTGCTTACAATACTTGGTCAATAACAGAAACGTATCCTGTATAATATTTAATGCTGAAACTTTAATAAACAAAATTAAGCTTCAATATAAAGAATTTAGTTTTAAAATACTACAGGGGGATATCGGCAGTAATCCATACACGTTCATTACCAGGAATCGTTCACCATTTATAGATCGTTTTAATGAAATAATTCTGAGAGCCTTCGATCATGGTTTACTGCAAGGATTGCTTTTTGTAAAGTCGCCAAAAATGGAAAAAGTTTCATCGCTCGACATAATTGAAAAAGAAAAATTGCTATTGGTTCTCTTCTACGTACTGACAATTGGATACACTTTGGCTGCAATCGCTTTTGTAGCAGAAATTTTCAACAATTTCATTTGCAGCAAAGTCAAACAATTTTGGGAAAATTGTTTAAACTTTTTTTAGAAAAAAAAAGTTTTTTTTGAAAGTAATCTATATAAAGAAATCGTTGATGGAGAAGATTATTTTACGAAATTAACTTTCCTGAAAATGAGTGAAATAAAAACATCTCACTTTGCACTTGTGATTGTAAAAAATTATTGCCCTAAATTTCTTTAATAAAGTTAATAAATCATTCTAACAATAAATGTCAGTCGATTTCTGTTATAAGCGAAACAGTTATTATTTTTTATTAATTTATTTGTTTAATATCACTGATCTACAAAATTTTGCTGCAGGAGTAAATGATACCCTCATGGCATGAAAATGTCTTTGTTCTAGAAACGTTCCTAAAACGTTTTTAGAACGTTTCATGTCCGCTACATAAAGTCTTAAGAACGTCTAATATTAAAAAAACGTTTTTAGTATATAAAACGTTTTTAAGACGTTATGTGGAGGAAATGAAACGTTCTATAAACGTTTTAAGAACGTTTCTAGAACAATGTCGTTTCCGTGTCCAGAGGGGAGTGATAAATATAAAATTTTTAAATTAGATTACGATTTTGTAAATAAAGTTTTTCCAGCACTTTGTATATTAATTTGAAGATTGCAATTCCTTGCCGCGTTTATTCATTATTAAATATATCCATACACGACCGATTTATTTCTATTTACGATGTTTTCATTTTTATTGTATAGATTTCAATGAAAATTTAATAAATGTATGATTATAAATTACGTATTGGATTTACCTTTATTGAAAAAACATGTGTATCCCTTCTAATTATTTTAATTTCTTTTTAATACTTATTAATAGCAATTATTTTTTGTAACGAAATAAATGATTAATTTAATTTTGTAATAATAATTCCAATAATAATGATTTTAAATGAATCGCAAAAGGAATTTAATGTGTGATTTCATATTGTGATAATAATCAATATTATTCCTGCTCTTGGTCAGATTTATCAGTAAAACTTTTTAAAGTAGACATATTAATGAACCTTTTTGAAGTAAAAAAGTTTAATTATTCGCTATAAGACCTTTTTGTTTTTTTTTTGAATTTAGAATTTTCAGTAGTGAAGGTCATCTTTAATAGTTTTCTATATATAAATTTTCTTTAGTAGAAAATCGATAATTAGAATCATGTATGCGTGTACATATATAAGTTTCCGTTAACTTTTTTATTTTAACAAAGAATTAAAATTTTTATTTTTTTCAAAACTTGCTTTAATAGTAACACCTTTGATAAAAAGTATAAGATTATAGTCCTGGCTCCTTGTATTTTTTTCGTGCTTCAGGTTTCTTCTTCGACTTAGTCAAATTCATTCAAGGAGATAATTTCTACTACGAGGCACATTTCTGTTTTTCTAAGGACTGCATTACCTCAAAATCAACGTCAAATAATTATTTAGGTCACTCCAAGGCTGAGGGGTGTTCAATCTAATTTACATCTACACCTTAACTACGGACCATTCACTTTGGCTAACCCGAGAACAATTTGAGGGAAATCTACTGCATTCTTTGTTTTCGCTAAACAAAGTCATTCTGTCTCACCGGTAATGTAAATGTACTGCTAAATTCGAGAATATCTGGCTTTTCGGAAGTGATTGTATCAATGTCTGTAGTGTCAAAATGCTCACTAGGAGTAACATTGTCAGAAACTGTTTCTGTAAATATTGAATTTATTATAAAAGGAACTTCAGAGTTCCCACCACAGGGTGGCAAATTAGGACATGGTTCGACTTCTTCTGGTCTTGTCTTTTTATCACAATCTTCATCGGGCAAGGCTAGGGTTATACTGTTATTGGTATCATCGAAATTGCCAGGAGTAACGCACATGACGGATCTTTTTCTTGAAGCACCTTCTCCGCATGTTATTGGACATATCTGCCATGGTCCAACCCACCATCTAATTTGGAAAATAATTATAATCAACCCAAAAAGAATTATAATTAACCCATCATCTAATTTAAAAAATAATAATTTTAATCAATTTACGATTTGTGTACGTCAACTAATAATTTATACCTCGCAGGACATAAGTTGGAGTTACATTCTCGATCGATAGACTCAGGTTTCTCTGTTTTGTTGCAAAATTGATCGCCGACAATTCCACTTTTAACTTCCTCGCAAAATGCATATGAAGTTTGAAGACCACCACCACAGGTTGCTGTACATAGGGACCAGTCAGAAAAAACCCAGGAGTAATAGGGAACGTAGTTGATTTCATTTTTAGGTACAGTGTATTCATACTTCAGGCTAAAATTGAGAAAGGTTCCTCTGTAAATTATCTGAAAGTAGAAAATAGTTAGGGTCAGCATCCTCTCGCAAGAGCATCTACAGAGAGGACGCAAAGACTAGGATCGAAGAGAAGTTCTTACATAGACAGCAATATCCTCTCTAATAGGTCCTGGAATTGTAACCTTTTCCATATCTTCCTCACGTTCATAGTGTCCATACGTACCAGTTATCAAATACTCTCCTGGTAAAGTGATTTGTCTATTCAACAACACAAAATAATTGTCATTCTAGAATTAATATTAAAAAAAGGAAAATATTTAAACTATTATTGATTGGAGGGAATATGCTGCTTAAGATTTAACTTCTTGGTGTTTTATCACCTTTGACCGTTGAGAAAATATTTTTCTGAATTAGGAACTCCAATGCTAATGTAATTTTTATTCTCTCCCACTTCTTCAATTTTTACATTTCTCGATCCTGCGGGAATGACGATTATCTCCTTATAACCAACTCCTTCATTATTGTCATAGGACCCACTGATAGTTTCACACTGAGTTCCATCGCCATGACAAATTCCACAGCGATCTTCCATTGCATTCGAGTCTACCTTCCAATCGCATCCAACCTTCTAAAAAATTGAAGAAAATTCTGTAAGATTTCTGCTTGAAAAAGAATTCCTGAAAATAGACCCCATACATTTTCAGAAAAAAATCTCCTAGGTTAACTCTCCAAGAAATTCTTCAGGACCTAAGTCCGTTTAGAAGAATTTTCTGGAAAGTCAATATATGTAAAATTATTACTCTGCAAAGTCCGGCGATGCACATGTCTCTCGATCCCAGGTTACAAGGTGTTCCATCGAAAGCCTCCCCCAACGGTACAATAATTTCTTCGTCCGTGTCAGTGCAGTAAAGCTCGCAAGGTTCCGCTGAACGATTCAATTGTTTAGACTATTTTGTTATCTCTTAGGGTTTCCATGTTGTGATTTGTAACTGTTGTATGAGAAAATATCTCGCTTACATTTATCAAAGTAGGGCAACCATGTGTAGTTTTTATTCTTGTACTCCTTTTCGTTGTAACTGTTGCATTGAAAATTACGAAAACTCGGAGCGTCCTCGGGACAGGATTCCACATTGCAAATTTTGTAACGACGTCTCTCATCAAGACAAAATTGTCCTCCATTAGCAGGTGGAGGATGATCGCATTCTCTTTCCATTATGGATACGCCGCCTCCACAACTTCTAGAACACTCGCTCCATGGACCCCATTCACCCCATCCTCCATCCACTTCAATTGGTTTTTCCATCATTGGGACGCATTCCTGATTTTCACACCACTGAATTGGGGCAAAATAGGTTAATGTAAGTTTACTTATTTTAATAATAATTTATTATTTAAGGCTAGGACCAGTGATTTCATTAAAGGTGACACAATCCTAGCCCGAGATTATAATATAGTATTCAAGTTACTGATAGAATCAATTATTATAACGTTAGTTGTGTCGTTCTTCTAATATTGCTTGTCCACACCGTAAAATTTTATACCTTGTATCTTTAAGCATCAAATGACTAATAATTGTAGGTGTTGTACGCCTTGCGAAAGTATTATTAGATAAAAATAAACAAATTTGCCCTTCAACAATGTCAAAGTAGAAAAAAATATCGAACTTACAACAAATTTGTGTGGTTACACTACAAGAACAGTGTTGATTCCTCTCACAAACGAAACGGTCATTAGAGAGCAAAAAAATCATGAAGTTCTTAAGAAAGATTAGTTGTGTCGTACTCTTCAGTGTAATTATTCTGAGTGTGTTCGGAAGGAGCAATTACACTTTGGGATTAATAAAATACCTCAAAGAAGAATCTCGTCTCCACCAGGTAATATTTGTAACAGATGATCAATTTCTTGCAAACAACGAATCAAATGCTAATGCACAACTTATTCGCAATATTTCTCAAAACTTTCCATCATTGAGTATGAGTTTAAACAAAGCACGAGAGCATCTGGAAAACTACTTTTCACTACATTTGCAACTGCCTAGAAGAACCACATTGTTTATCTTCATTCTCAATGGGGCTGAAAAGAAGTATGTACCTGAATTAAACGCTACATTCAGTAAATTGGAATTCTTGTCCAAAAATCAGTCGTTCCCCAAGTGTTTAATCAACTTCTTTAAACCAAAAAAGGTTCGTTCGTATGAGAGTATGCTGAAATCACTATGGCACAGAGACATGCTAGACATTTCTATTCTTGAAAATGTGGTAGTGAATCGATCATGGCAAACAGAGGATGTGATCACTATTCACCGAATCAATCTTTTTGCAAAGAGATACACGAAACAGAATGTTAAGCCACGAACAAAATGGTTTCCGAACAAATTATTGGACCTCCACGGACATCCTTTAAGATTTGCGTCGACTACTATCGATATTAAAGGTAACAAAGAAGCCCTCATTTCAACACGAAAATTCAAAGAGTACATTCAGCAGTCAATGCGTTGTAAAAGTATACTTTTGAGATATAGACATCTAAAAGATTTATTATTACTTCGAGAAAAAAAAAGATTTGAAATGTTGGTGAACCCTGTTATAGCAAGTATAAGGAATAATGCTGTTACATTCGTTTCGATGCGTATATTGTCGTTTCAAACATCAAGAGCTGTAATTGAAAATGTAAGAAGAAAAACTCAAAGTGTTGAAGTCTCTGAGGAATTCATTTACATGATAGTTGCTACAACTATTGCCATTGCTGCCATAAGAATTGCCGCTGCGTTACTGAAATTTAACAGAAGCACTTGGAACACGTTCAGCATCAGTCAAATGATAATGGGAATGTCTGTAGCCAACGAACCAAGAAAGTTTACAGAGAGATTAGTTTTAGGAAGTGTAATATTGAGTTGCATGATCTACTCCGGTTACTTGTTCTCAGTCATTTTGGACATCAATTTCCGAGAAACACCTCAAATTTCAACTATCGAAGAACTGGTAAATTCATCGTTGACACCAATGACCAGTTCTTTCATAAATATTTCAATGCTAAAAAGTCCTCTGGATTTCATTAAAAAATTAGCTTTTAAAGCAGTGAGAACACCTGGTTCAATAGTCTCAGAGTATGATTGCTTACAATACTTGGTCAATAACAGAAACGTATCCTGCATAATATTTAATGCTGAAACTTTAATAAACAGATTTAAGCTTCAATATAAAGAATTAAGTTTTAAAATACTACAGGGGGGTATCAGCAGTAATCCATGCACGTTCATTACCAGGAATCGTTCACCATTTATAGATCGTTTTAATGAAATAATTCTGAGAGCCTTCGATCATGGTTTACTGCAAGGATTGCTTTTTGAGAAGTCGCCAAAAATGGAAAAAGTTTCATCGCCAGACATAATTGAAAAAGAAAAATTGCTATTGGTTCTCTTCTACGTACTGACAATTGGATACACTTTGGCTGCAATCGCTTTTGTAGCAGAAATTTTCAACAATTTCATTTGCAGCAAAGTCAAACAATTGTGGGCAAATTGTTTGTACTTCTTTTAGAACAAAGTTTTTCTTGAAAGTTATCTAAAGAAAATGTTGATGGAGAAGATTATTTTATGAAACTAACCTTTTCGAAAGTGAATGAAATAAAAATATTTTACTTTAATTACACTTGTGATTTTTCAAGAATTATTGTGCTTATTCTTTAACAACGTTAAATTATTCCAACTACAAATTTCACTCATCATACTGAAAACTGTAACTTTTAGAGTTGAATTTTTTTTTCTTCTTGAAAAAAATATTTATTTTAAAGCATAAGATAAATTATTTATCAATTATTAATTGTTTGCAGAATAGAATTTTCTTTAAATATTTAATATTAATGTATTAAATCAAGAAGGCACAAGAAATGCTTTTATTGATTATTGAATGTTTTCACACACGATCGACTTATTTTTACTTATCAGTTTTTTCATTTTTTGTGTGGATATTTCAATGAAATCTTAATAAATGTTTAATTATGAATTACTTTCTGGTTTCACCTTTATTATAAAATCCCTATCCCTTTTAATTATTTTTATTTCATTTCACGATACCTGTTAATAGAAATTAATTATTCGCGCAAACAATAGTGAAATTTTTAATTTTTAGTAGTAAAGGTCAACTTTAATTGGACGTTTTCTATATATATAAATTTTCTTTAGTAAAAAAAATCGATAATTAGAATTATGTATGTGTGTAAGTTACCGTTTTGCTATTTTTATTTTTAACAAATTCAATTTTTTCATTTTTTCAAAACTTATTTTAACAGTTTTAAATAATTATTCTGCAATGGAAAATAAAGTGATTGGCATGTACAAAGTTTTAATTTTACTAAAGGTTCGTAAAACAATTTAAAAATTATATTGATATCATAGGGGTAGGTATATTTTGATTTTTTTAAAAATTTGTCTATCATAATAAGGAAGTTAAATAAGAAACTTATTTTTACATATTCTTGAATTATGCCGAGGGAATCTAGTGTGGGAATTTCTAAGTGGGGTATGTTTTCTTTATGACCGTCTGTTGTATATACACAGCTTTGCAGAAGGTAAATATAGTTATCCTAAAGCATGGTAAATGTGGAAGAAACTTTATCGACAAAATTCTGTGTTGGCGACACATTTCTTTGTTTTTCCACAGAAGCGCTTTTTCATTTCACTCAACGGATACCCAACTATTTACACTATTATATGCACAAAAAATCGACCACCCAATTGCAATAAATTGCAAAAATTTATTATTTTAATTTTTCCTAAAGATAGAAAGTTAGTTAAGGTTTTTAAATTTTAAAGTTAATGTTTTCTGCTTTCATAATATTGGAGTAAATTAAAAAAATATTTCTTCATTATCCAAGTACAGTTCATAAATAAAATAAATTAAATTTTTTAATTTGCGTTACTTTTCAATAAGTTTTTTACCCGGGTATTGAAAGACAGATTTGTGCGTAAATTCATATTCATCTGTCTCGTGCATTTCCTGAATCGGAGCATATCAATTTTCACAATATTGACGTACCCCCCTTAATTCTTATAATTTTATAAGAATTTAAAAATTAAATTACTCGTGCTTTTTGATCTTCTTTGGATCAATAAGCTAAACTTACCATATGTTTGCCGCAATGTGTACCAGGTGCTGCAGGATGCAACATTGATGTGCAGGTTCCGTTTACAACACACCAAAGTTTGGAGCAAATCTAATCATCAAAAAGAATATTTTAGTTATTTTCCTACATTGATAGGTTGAATGTAATTTTTTAATAATTCTTAGTAACTATGTTCCAGGATTGAAAAAAATAACTTAAAGATTACATGTTCCTTACAAACACGTATGTTCTCTATTTCAATTTAAATAAAGTACATAAAAAAAAATGTCTGGAAACAAGAAGAATACAATGCTTTTCTTGACATTGTTAGTTGGATGCCGGATGCATTCGTCACCCCCTCAGGGACGTCACAGTTGAGATACGTTTTGCTTTGTATAAATCTAACTTTACCTCTTGCAATGGCGAGCACACTGACGCTTCTCTGACTCCGAATTGAAGTCGACACTGATGCTCTGCGTTATACATTGCTCCTGCTGGTAAGTCTGGGTAAGCATAATCGTTATCTGCAGGTTCATCCTCGAGACACTTTCCTTTACCTTTACTGAAAAATATTTACAGAATAAAACTTCCAAGGGACATAAAGTAACCTACCGCAAATGATTTCAAAAAATATTATCTTTTCAACCAACAGACATATCAACTGTAAACTCACTGAAAGAGTACCTCTAACATATTCAAAATATATCTCGGGAGAATTACATAAAATTTACATTCTGGATGAATTGATGAAATATCTTTTTTAATTTAATAAAAAGGGGTCATTATTTGTCTTATTGGATAAAATTAGTAGATGTAAAGAGATAATGGGAAAAAAGATTGGAGGGTTCGGTTAAGAAATTAACAGAATGAAGGACGTGACAAAAAAAGGAAGAGGAGGGAAATCAAACTAAGTGTAAAGAAAAGGTACTTCCTTTTATAGAAAAAAGAATGTGTAAAATCGAAGGGTGTGAACAATAGAAGAGGCAAAAAAATGTCAGTTTAGAGGTGGATAGACATCGGGGGTTTAATCACTCACTCTAGAAAGTTGGTGATATCTCTTCGGGAACATCTGGACCAAGCTACGATCATAGCGTCTGGGTCGAATGTCGGTGTCATCACGTGTAAAGTGTTGCCATTGCGTTTATTACAACCCATTTTTTCCGTATCGTGATACATACCAAAACTGAAATATAATAATAACTTTCAGTAATATTCAGATATTTATTATATTTTTATTTCCTTTTGATCACTTTCACCCTAATTATTCTACCCTAATTTGTAACTCACGTTTTGTAATATGATGATACTGTGTACCATGAAAGTGATTTTTAATTCAAAGTTTAATTCTCATGTATCAATTACGAGGGATTATGATTGTCAGTGTTTTGGTTTGTGAAGATGAAACTTTAGCTTACTTGTGGCCCAGCTCGTGGGCAATGGTATGTGCAAGAGTGATCCCGTTGTCCTCGTTGACGCTGCAGCTGCGATTGGTTTGACACATACCTGCTACATGAGCTACGCCAAGAGTACTGCATGGTGTAGTACTTCGTGTGCATATATCTTCTCGGGTAATCAATATCGCCACGTCATGGTGATTTGGGTGAGTGTCATCGCCAAGCTTCAATTTCTCTTGCCATTTGCAAAAGTTGATTAAAGTTTTTTCCGCATTAATTGAAACGTTTAGTCCTTCCTGAAATGCAGTAAGGGCACCGATCAAGTCTTTTATAGTTTTTATGGTAGAGACTTTTTTATTTGGGTTAAAACACTAATACCTCAAGTTCGTCTTCTTCTATTAAGATAATCCTGACTACAACGACATTGATAAAGTTGCCAATCGAGGGATGGAGATATAGGGCCGAGACCATATTCATGATTGTCAGGAGGTATGTTTCAACGTCACCATCTTGATGGAATGCTGTCATGCTGCTATCGGCGACAACAAGAGTTTCCACATGTCTTGCTTTGCTTATAGATCTCTTGGCTCGTTGCCATTCTCTCATTCTTCGTCCTCGACCTTGAACTCTGCTCAGGCTGGATTTATCCCTCTCTTTTAGATGTTCTTTTGCTGATCCCCGAGGTTCTGCACAATTTTAAATTAACATTAAATCCTAAAATAAAAGATTTCAGAACCAGTATTGTGCCAGTCGTGTCTCGTCGTTGGCATTTCTGCTCGCCAAGTTGTTCAGGCAGAATTTCCTCTGAAGGAAAAGAAAATCTTAGGAGTTGTCGGTTTTTTTGTTGTGTTAGAGAATAATTAATTTGCCAAAAAAATTAATTGGTACCTGACGGTTTATTGATTTGTGTTGGGAGTGCATAAAACTTACTAATGGTTCTCACCACTGGTACCGCAATTTGTTTCGGATATCTTCTTTTTTCTCCTCCTATTTGGTCGACGTTTGCTGGATGCAGAACTCATGCTTGATCTCCGATATAAAATGTGAGGTTTAGAAAGTTCCGAGAGAGGATTTGCAGATTTTATGTCAATGTTAGTCTTCTGATGGTATTTGCTGTCTATTGGTTCGAGCCAGAATTCACCTCTTTCTTCCTGAATAACACCTGCCTGCAAAATAAACCATTAATTCTTTAGCTTTACATTTATTTTGAACTCGGTTCTGTAATAACTAATGGTATACATTCATGAAGTATTTTCACTTTTGCATCTTTATTATATGCTCCTTTTTAGAAGATTGCCCAATACAAGCATCCCAAGTTAGAATCATGGTTCACTTGTCTTTTAGAGACCTCGCTTTAAATGCTACTAAATCTTCCAAAAGTTAGAGAAATTGGTGCAGAGATGACCCGTATTTCCTTCTACCTTGACCTCAGAGCCATTATGATAAATTAGAATAATTTCTACTACCTGGCAATCACTTCAGTCTCTCTGTATTAAAAAAGTAATAAACCATCTAAAGTGAAATCATCAAGTTGAAGTAAATCTTTACGAAAAACTCTTTTATAAGAGTTTTATAAAATTAATGCTGCCGTCAAAGTACTTAATTTTAAATATTTTATGCCTCAAAGGTTCGACTTAATTAAAAATGTATTAACGAACAAAAATTATTATTTAAATAACGACATTCGTTACAGCATCTAAATGCAAAAAACCAATCGAAAGTTGACTAAAAATCATTACAGTAATCGACTACTTTGGAAATATTAAATTATTATAGTAAATCAAAAGAATAATTACATTTTGTTTGTATAGTTCAGCAGACAAGTTAAATGAAAACATTATCAATTTCATTATGTCGGTTAGATGAAGACGTAAAGTACAGACTTTAATAACAGAGAGCTAGCTAATGTGAATAAGTGGCCATAATAGATATTAAGCTGTGGTTTCTACACTGAAATCTCACCGAAGATTCCTTAATAGTACACACAGAGCGGAAGTTGAATGAGCAATTCTCATAATGAAATTTTAATTTTAACATATTACCTACATAAAAGATTCCAAGTGATTTAAACCATCTTTAAATACGTTTATAAACTTTACGGCACTAAACTAGGTACAGATTTTTTTCTTAATATTAAAAAATGTTAACTGTACGACCATGTAAATTATAAATGATGTCAGAATTCTTTTTATAAATAATACGATAAAGAAAAATGGTATGTTTTGAGAAAGGTATATATAAAATGGGATAAAAACTTATCGAAAACTGAGAGTTGAAATTACTTATTGGTTGTTCCGCAACATAGAAGTGTTAGTAGTTGCCGATTAATTGAGTTTATTACCTAGTGAACGCAGAGGCCACGAATTTTACGGGCAATCGCCGATCTGGCAATTGCCCGTGAATACCTACTCTCCACTCGATCGACGCTCTATGACCCTTTGACTAAACAGTGTCGTACTGCGGTACGATATTTGCTTTGCTCCGTTAGGCATCGTTATACCCTTTGGGGTCCACATATACCTCGATAGTCTTTTCTTTCACGTAACTTAGAGAATTTTCTATTATTGTATTGTGTTTAATTATCCGCAGAGAGTTCGGGAATAGGAGATTAACACATTATAGACAATTCTTTTTAATAGTGAGGCCCAAGCGAACTATTTACTATTTTTGATTTAAGGCGTTGGGAGAAATGTAAATCCCCCTTTATGTGAAAAGTGTGCAGCGGCGTTTCTTGAAAAATGTAGCAGACGACGAAAGCACATTTTGGGATAAAGTTGGATTTTGGATGTTGATTAGAGAAGACGTGTTGTTGTTGTATGGTAGACAAGGGAGAGTTATGAGTTGTGAGATTTTTGTTGGTACTAAAAAATTATTTGTGACGAATAAGGGAATATGATTTATTCGACTTTGCATAATATTTAATTTGTTGAATGTTTAATATAAAGTAATCATTAAGAAAGAATTAAATACAAAAGGAATTAATTTTATTTTATTTATCGGAATTGATAAATTAGTTAAGTTGAACAATAGCAATCGTAACAGCAAGCAGATATTGAAAATACCCTTTTTGTGTTCAATGGTAAGTGGCTGAAATTGAATATCATATGAAATTGTTCTGAACTTGTTTTATATAAAAAAGTTGAAATTTTCAGAAGTTAACAAGCGTACTCTGAGTGTTTTTAGTTCTATTTTAAACACTTTTTTTAGAAATAAAATTTTTCAAATTGAATGCCAGTCCAGCTCAAACCATTTTTATCGAATGGCTTCCGGACAATATTTTTTTGCTCTCAATTTGTCATTGCTTTCGAGTACAAAGCAGTATCTTTGTATTTGTTTTATGGGAATGGGTTTTTTGAAAAAATTTTATCGTGGAATTTTAACTTAAACTATATTTTTTTAAATATTTAAAAAATTAAGGCGTGATGTGTGATCTGGACGATTTCTGTGTTACGTCTAAAGTATCATACTTTATTTTTCCCTGATTTAATTTAATTAATAATTAATATTGCGATGGGGTTGTTGAATGAAACAAGAATCACTTTTCGTAAAATTAATTAGTTAAAATAGTATAATGCCAAATTTGAATTATTTAAAGTGTAATAAATGAAAGCGTATTTTAATTCCAATGATTTAACGGTTAATGATGGAACTAAAATATTATAAAAAGAAGGCATACAATACATCAAAGCATACAAAACAAATTTCCACTTTGTTATAGTATAATGGTCTTGTTTACCAAAATGGAGCTTTTGTTGTGTTTACAAGCGCGCAGATTTCAAACAGGCTTGGTTATGCGGTTAAACTGTTCGGTGAATAATAAAGTAGAACTTTGCTGAAGAATAATTCATAGAAATGTATAATATTTCTTCACTAAGAAAAATAAACTGTTGCAACAAATTGTTTATTATTTCTATTTTAATATCGTTCTCTTTTTTATTGATTTTGTAACAAACTATTCTTTATGGTATAATATTAATAATTACATATAATAATTTTTGCAGGAATGATAGATTCTTCAATTGGAACATCGAAGGCCTCCATCACAATACGAGATTCAAAGAATTCAACAGAGGAAGTGTTTCCTGGTGCATATATTTGGATGTGAACACCGAATATTTAAGAGCTCTTGAAAGTCCAAAACTATTCTGTTTTGGTCCTGGAAAAACACTGGCATCGGTCATCTTGAATTAAAAACTTACAAAAATGGTTATAACTACGGATAAATTGGTGTTCTGTTTTATCGACAGTGGATAATTACCGAGCGCTGATAAAAAAATCCGTACTTTTGTAAATAGTTCGCTTGGGCCTCACTATTAAAAAAAAGTGTGTATAATGTGTTAATCTCCTATTTCCGTACTCTCTGCGGATAATTAAGAATTTTTCCAACAAAATTCTGAATTAGCTAGACTAATTCGAATTAGTTCGCTTGGGCCTCTATATTAAACAGAAGTTGTGTATAATGTGTTATTCTCCTATTCCCGTACTCTCTGCGGAAAATTAAGAATTTTCCCAACAAAATTCTGAATTAGCTAGGCTAATTCGAGCGAATTAGTTCGCTTGGGCCTCACTATTAAAAAGAAGTTGTATATAATGTGTTAATCTCCTATCTTCGTACTCTCTGCGGATAATTAAGAATTTTACCAACAAAATTCTGTATTAGCTAGGCGATCGTTCGAAATTTCATTAAATAAATCTTTCGGTTATTTTCCTATAAAATATCTTGTCGCATTTAGAGAATGTTTGTCTCATTTGTATAAATTTTTACTATAATTTAGGATCATAAGATATTTCTAGGTTTCCAGAAAATTTTTCACATAACTGATACAAATTAAATTAATCATCCTAATTAATGGCAAATCCTCCCTTCTGGGAATGAACGAGACTATAAGTAATTAGCACTTAAAAACTTTAGATAGCTTGAAATTTTTTTAAAAATGTGACTGCAATGCGTGCTAGACGGCAAAACCCTTAGCTCACAGGCGTTTGTCGAGACGAGTCACGCGATAAGACAAACGAGTACGATGCATTTTGCCAGCTTCTAGAGAGACTATCTCTGTTTCGATCGATGTTAGAATTTAATAGACTTTAGTTTCTAATGTACATGAGAAAAGAGAGTTCCTGCTTCCCAAATTAATTTCAATACTATCTTTCATCTCAATGTATCATTCTGATAAAATTTAACATGATTAATAGTTTCAGTCCATCGATTAAATAGAATGTTTTCAAATTATCAAAGTATTAATATTTGGTGAAAGAATTTCCAACTGGAATTTTACTTTCGAATAATTCTTATATTTTTAATCATTTTTAACCCTGGCAGTAATGCAGGCAATAATATCTTAAAGTGAACTTCGAAATAGGTTTGAGGGGATACGTTTCCCATAAAGAGGGACGATCGACGGTGGCGAAGGGTTCACAGAAAGCACATTACGCCTACGCACTAATGACATTATCGAACAGGCCTGAAATTGTCGAACATAACAGATATGGTCACGACCGTCGACAATTAGGTTCATTTGAGCGCTAAACGATGTAATGGGCATTCGTCGTTGTCGAAAACATTATTTGATGGTTGACGCTTTTGTAATTAAAACAAATATGAAACCGAAATAAGGAGAAAAATTTCTTTCATGAAAGTATTTGAAGTACCACGAAAATGTAATTTTAAATAATAAGGTCACTTTTAGTGGGGCGTAAATTTAATTAAAAAGTCTATAGGCGAGATAATTTCCAATATTTAAGAGGCTTTACCATCATTATTAATTCAGTCAGTCGATTTAGCATTCGGATAGAATCTTACGCTTACCACTACACTAAAGTCACAAAAGCTAAGAGTAAGATATGCGTATAACTCTGCCAAACTCAAAGCTCGTTTACGATCTTCGAAACCCTTTTGAGGATCTCTTTATTTGACTTTCAAGAGAGTAGTACTTTTAGGGAAGTAGATCCCCTGGTAAAATTAGATTGAACTCGGATCTATTCGGATTACCCTGCACCAGTATCTAACTATCTAGGTAGCTGTAAGTATCTGCAAGTATCTGCTTAAGTACGTCTTGATTTATCGTAAACGCGAAGAAAGTGATCAAATGGGTTAAGTATTAAAGTGTGGCTTGCAGTAATGTTCGAAAAAGTTAAGACAATATGCGAGATAGGAAAATTTATATTATTAACTTTAAGTAGTTATAGTGGTAAAATCTCTCTTCAGCTTATTTCCTCCGGTTCTTTAATGGTCTCCTTCTTTCTAGGTGATCCTTTAAATGTAGTATCTAAATTTTTAAATAAGCTACATTTTTCAGGACGAGAATCTGCTTTTAAAATTTGTAGATAAATGTAACTTACCAGACCATTGCAGGCAGAAAGAGCAACTCTTGAATTAGCTTGACCCCTAATGTATCCACGGTAGTGACATTTGTTGGAATTTATTGGATGTCGAACGTGAATGTCCTTTTTTCGCCTCTCAATGATTAACTTTGGACTAATGAACTCTAGGACTGGCGTTAAGTGCAGGTGATATTGAATGTTTGCTCGAGTAAAGTGCAAATGTAAATCCTTATTGCTATTATTTCCAAAAAGGTGGGTCGTATCGTACGAAATCAGTTTACCATCCTGGGTCACTTTTCTTGGAAAAATTACTTCTAAATCCACCATATGCTTTCCTGAGGTGTACATACCTGTAAAAATCGAAAAGGATTTACTATTTGCTTTCTACTTCTATTCAGACTTCTCTTCAACAAATTGAAGACTCATTAAAGTGGTGACTTAAAATTATGATCGCATCTTTTTAAGCACATCGAAAGTAGTCAAATGCAATTTTTGCAGAAATGTATTACTTCGCTGAGGCCTCATTATTAAAAAGAAGTTGTGTATAATGTGTTAATCTCCTATCTCTGTACTCTAAGCGAATAATTAAGAATTTTCCTATCAAAATTCTAAATTATCTAGGCTAATTCGATAGAATTAGTTCGCTGGGGCCTTACTATTAAAAAAAATGTGTATAATGTGTTAATCTCCTCAAAGTATTGAAAGAAACATTATTAAGAAACACCAAAAGGGTGTTCGACAAAACCCTGTTTCTCATAAAGTGGAAGATCCAGATTGACAAGGATATTTAAAAATGATTGTACTTGTTTGAAAGTTACTTAACACAACGAAACCGAAATTATATTTAGAGAAATAGAATTTCCTGTCACGTTTTGAATATAAATTGTTTGTCCCTCTGAAAGCGACCTATTTCTGGAGATTCATCCATATATAATCAGAGATGAAGTGTTAATGTTAATCACTTCTCTTGATATTGTCAATTTACTAATTGTGAAGGCATGTCTATAGCTTCTATTAAGAGCAACAAGGTATAATTCGATAGTTGTCGCATACATTGAATGTATGTCAGCACATTAACAATGCGTAATACAGCCAATCTACATTAGCACGTAAATGAGAGATCAATCTTTGACAGGTTGTTGATTAATTATATTCACGTTGGTCAAGAAGCAAAACAAATGTTGCCCACCTAATTGTTATTTATCGAAATTGGTGGACATTAGGTTTTACTATTTTTTTAAAAAGATTGAACTTGAATATTATTAATATGAATAATGAACTCGACCTTTTTCATCTATTTATCATGTAACATATTATTATCCTAATATAAATTTATATTATTCAATCGATATAACGCAACGTTGAAATTGTATTGCACGTACAATGACACTGACGCATGTAGATAGGTTAAAATGTAACCCGTCCATCCATTCATGGAATTTAACACAAAATGTTATCCGTAACTTTGGTTCTCGTCTTTTCCCTTATGATTTATCTGACAGCTCACAGAATAATTTAAACAAATGAAATTTCAGCAAACGTTGTTAAGCTCTATAACTGCATTGCAATACCTATATTCTAATCATCCAGCGTCTCTCATTAATACATTTAGAAAGAAAATTGCAAAATAAAATGGTAGGGAAGATAATTTTTGACTTTATTTTTATTTAATCGAAAGTGCGAAATCAGAGGAATGGGAAATGCATTTGTAGTGAATAAAATAATAAAGAATCAAGTTTAATTTAATGTGTAAATTTATTTTGTATATCAAACAATGAAGATGGATCAGAAAATCAAAGACTTCTTAAATGAAATATGGCTGAGGTAAAAACGGCATAACAAACAGTTCTCAAATAAAAAGTGAAATTGATAATTCAGCAGAGTCGTATTACATCATTGCCTCATTTTGGATGGATTCAGTGTTTAACTTAAGAAAAGGGAAAGGTTTCATCAGCAGCAGGGAGGAAGCCCAGCTCTTAAGAGCAATTATAATTACAAGCAGCAGAAATTAATACAACAAAATAATTCTTCTTCTTCTGTTAGCACTCCACGATCAAAAACATCAGAAATTTTCCCTCATGTCAGCAGCTCAACTTTTGAATGAACAAATTAATTATTTACTTACAGCTTCTTCTCTCCTTAACAGAACTTCCAATAGATATCAGCTACAGTTATAGTTTGTACCCAAATATTTTTTAGCAACATCTAGAAATAAAAGTGGACCAATACTTGACACCTGTGGGAACAGCGGTGTCAAATTTGGGTTTACTTTTATTTATTATTCATATGAACGATATTAACAGTGATGATTTAGTCTACTATAAAAATGTTGACTTTAACGTTTATTTTTTCTTTCACTAAAAAAAGTGAAGCAAAAAAAAAAGAAGTCTGTAATTATTTTAAATAGATCAATCGACACGAAAGGGTCAATCCACAAGAATGTATAATTGGAATTTAGTTAGACAAGCGGGGTATGGTTTTTTTTAATTGAAAATACAAGGTTTATGTCTGCCAATCTGAGTAAATTTACATAGCTTTGACCAATTTGCGAGGTGGTGTTCATCAAGAGAGGGTTAGAATCGATTGCACTCACCGTTAAGGCATGTCATGAGTAATTCATTGAATTTCTTGGTCTTGTCAAACAAAAAGACTACTTTACCATTAGCTTTCGCATCGTCTTTTGTATCTTTATATTGACTCTCACAAAATACGTTTTTTAAAATAAATCCAAACATCGATTTGGATGTGTTTTGAGACACAAAAAGATAAATTAATTTCGATCAAAGTAAAATGATAATTAAAAACAGTTTTTAATCTCTTACACTTGTAGTTTTTTTTTGTAAATCTTTGTAAATTAATTGTGGTTTTAAAGTCAGGTTGTCTCTTTTAACTTAAAAGAAATTATCCGGAAAGAGATTAATGTTCTTGAAAGTCATCAAAAGTACGACATAACTTATTTATAGGTATACTAAAGGTCTTGCTAAGCTGAGATATTCTTCTTTTAAAGTTTTTCACATGACGAGTTTTTATACGACCGTAAATTGAGATTTTCCTCAACGAATTGTCGGATTTTAAGTTAACATTTTATGAAATTATATATAAAATATTTAAATAGAGAATAGAACTTTGTTTCGATTTTCTTTTTTTAAGGTATCATTTGTTTAACATTCGTAGTTTATGGTTAATTTAAAACATTGCTAGGACCGTTAATTTTACTCAACTTTAAATAAGGGAGAATTCCGCAATTCTAATTTTATGTAGAAATGTCTTCTGTTACGTGACTTTTACTCGTTACCACTTTCGAGCTTCATGTACGTATACACATACTGCTATAATAAATGATCGATTCACTTGATTAAATTAAACGATGAAGTACATTTAAATGTATGTACATTCAAATAAAGTAACAGTTTATTATAAAATAGCTTTTTCCATTCTGCATATACCGGCAGTTTTTTTTGTGTTTTTGTAAAATATAATTCGAGGTGTTCTGCTACTAGTGCAGGATATTTATCTAGAGATGGATTATTGAGGTACTCCACATAAAATTTTTTTTCTGGTTCTTTGGTCTTCACATTTTGGATTTTTGTTTTAAATTGCAATAAGGGTCCGGGTTTAGTAGCATCCAAGAATTTTTTCTAAAAAAAACTATTCAGTATTTTAATTTAAAAATCATCAGGATCTTTTCCTTGAATATTTAAAAAATTCGACAAAAATTGACTTACAAAAAAACAAGTACAAAACATGAAATTTATATTGAATCAAGTATTTGATTTTATGTAGGAAAAAAGTAAGATGTGCGATAGATGGTTTTGTTGGTCGAGTCACGTTGGCACCTACGTCTATCCAGTCGGTGGTAATTTACGACTCTCACTCTTATCCTTTCTTGTGAACGTGACTCAGACTGTCTCATGTGAAACGACCCCGTGGCATTTGGTGAAAGATACCTTATTGTGTAGCCGGCATTATGTATTTCCAAGGTGACAATACAAGGGTGGAATTTCTCTATTCGTTTTAGCGAAAAAAAAATTGAACTGGTCAAATGTGCATTACTTCGGGGCGAACAATACTAAAAGTAAAACAAATCCAAATACTGTTTTTTTCAATTTGTAGTTATTAAAGAATAAAAATTTATAAAGCGTTCAAGAAAAGAGTAATTTTTGAAACTGTAAATACCTTTTTTGTTTCTTATCTACCGATTAAAGGAGGGAATTAAATTTTACGATGTCATTTTTTTACGACAAACAGCTGTGAAGTTTGCCGGAAAGCAACTTTTCGTATGAGTCAGCTCCAAATTCGTACCCTCTTAAGAAAGGCTATTTTATCCAATGATCGTGACTTTGTTTCTTCAGTATTAAAATAGTTCGATTTTTCAATAGCGACAAAAACACAGATAAGTTCGCTAAAATTTAAAAATCTGACTTCATATTCGTAATCAGCGACCCCGAAAACCCCCGAGTAACAAGTTTCAATAAAATCCGAATGATTTTAAATTTTTTTGTCCGCCATATTAGATCCGCCATTTTGAATTTTGAAAATCTGACTTCATTTTTGTAATCAGCGACCCCGAAAACCCCCGAGTAACAAGTTTTAATGTGTTACAAATCAAAATGTATTCTAAGGTAGTTGATTCAAAATTCAATGATAGTTTTAGAATATTCAAAATGGCGGATCCAATATGGCGGACGAGAGAATTAAAAATCAAACTACCTTAGAATACATTTTGATTTGTAACACATTGAAACTTGTTACTCGGGGGTTTTCGGGGTCGCTGATTACGAATATGAAGTCAGATTTTCAAAATTCAAAATGGCGGATCCAATATGGCGGACGAAAAGTTTAAAAATCATTCGGATTTGCTTGAAACTTGTTACTCGGGGGTTTTCGGGGTCTCTGATTACGAATATGAAGTCAGATTTTCAAAATTCAAAATGGCGGATCCAATATGGCGGACGAAAAGTTTAAAAGTCATTCGGATTTCATTGAAACTTGTTACTCGGGGGTTTTTCGGGTCGCTGATTACGAATATAAAGTCAGATTTTCAAAATTCAAAATGGCTGATTCGAATTCAGAGTAAGAAATACGTTTAATATCATTTTTGCATTTTTGGGTGCAAATTTGAACTCGAATTTACTTTCAAGTTAACAGTGTGACTGTCATTTTTAATGAAACATTCTGTTTAAATACAATCTCTTTGTGAATAGCAAAATCTAGATTTAAAATGACCGGTTAAAGATACGTTTAATGCAATCAATAGTTGAACTGTTGATAATAAATATTTACGAGGTGAATTGTTGGCAGAACAAAGAGATTGGTTTGCTGACGCTAATGAGGCAGGATTTGAGCTTATGATAGGTAAATACTGTTTTTCAGTTGCAATCGATATATTATGTGATAAAATTGAAAAGTAAATTCTAATAGCTCTCTTTAACAAGCCTCTTATCATTAGAAAGGAAATAATTGCTTTTCATATTGATATTTGAAAGAAAGACTTATTATATTATATTGATAAGATTTAAAAAATAATTCTTGTTCCCATTGCAATTTATTGAATCAAAGGGGAACAAAACTTATTGAATGAAAATGTATTCAAAAAAGGTTGTTAATTTTTTTTACAAATAATATATAAAAAAACTAAAAATATATAAAAATTGAAAAAATTGAAAATATCGTAACATTTTTATTTTTAATTCTAATTACTAGAAGAGTGATGGAAATCTTATAGAATTTTTCTTTTCAACTGGTAAACGATTCATCGATTTTAAGGAATATTTTCAATTTACCTCGTGTTTGTGTTGATCGCCTCTCAGCAACAGTTGAAAGAACAATGACGTGAAATATTATCAGGTAGCGCATTTTCTTAAATTAATACTTTCTTCATCAAACATCAGAATATTGACAATAGACTCTGTAACAATTTATTTTATTTATTTTTCATACTAACAATTAAGTTTTTTAATTCTAAATATACGAAAATTGTTTTTTCTTTTACCAAAAGAAAAAAAAAAAAACAAATTGCGAATAAGTTATTCTTTTATATTGTGTTATTGGATTTCTCAAATGGTTCGTTATTTTTTTACAATGTTAAAAAATGTTAAAAATATACACAAAAGTCTATAAATAACGAACTTGCTCATTGTTTATACATGTCGCATCACGGATCGACGATTTTAAAACGAGCCAACGAGAAAATTGTAAAATGATTTTGCATATTTGTTTTCTGGGATGCTCTCGTTATGGTTCGCTAAGTAGCGCACACGTAGTTACGGTAATAGAAGAATTCATTCAACCGTTCAACTTGATGATCGTAACTGACAAAAAGCGCTCTGAATTTTTCTCACGATCCGCCCAATCTGTCACAGAATATTACTATTGCTTTTTTCCAGGCAAGTTAGTTTTCATTTATTGCACCGCTTTTTTTTTATTCAATTAAATTGTGGACATTGCGTTGTACTAGTGACAATTAAATTATAGATTATTGTGAAACGCCCACTTCAAACTCAAAATATTGAATCGATTTTTTATTAAAATTTGAATCCAAAGTGAAAATCTGTTATTTCACTTCATTTCCACTCTACTTTCACTTTACATTCATTTCTCTTTCATTTCTTTTTCACTTAACACTCTAAGCTATTTGTAGAAAAACCATTATTTTTTCTAGCAGAAGTATGAATGCACCCTTAAGTGCTACTGTGAACTGAGCCTAATATTGATATGGATATTATTTCTAGTTATATGTAACTTCCCATCCCTGTAATAAAGTTTGTAATATACCCAACCTTCCTGACAACAAAATTTACAGATTTACTTGTGATTCGCGTGGGATTCGCGTAGACTTTGTCTTGTGTCCGAAATTATAAATTTTTACAGAGTGTAATAAAAAAAAGTTTTCAAATTTCGCTAAACTATAGACTACAATAATGTTCAAGTTTAAATAAATTTGAATCATTTTTTCCCTTTCAAAAATAGTTTCTCAAAAACGCTTGAAAATGAACCTCCTAATTTCGTCCCGCCAAAGAATAAATGATTTACAGTTAGATAGAAATATTTTATTTTTAACTGAACAGGAAAATTCTCTATAATATTCTAGACTAATTTTTCGCCAAATAAATTGATAATAAATTGGTCCATAATGTTTGCTTTGATGGCAAAGTAAACAGATTGCTCGAGAGCCACATGGCATGAAATTCAACATTCCTGAATTGATAGTAGTCGATTTTTGATGCTTGTATAAAATTTTTTAATCTTCTTATGATTGTGTAATTTAATTCAAGTGTATCAATTACTGCGGCATTCCTGATAAAATATATATTTTTTTTTAATATATATTTTTTTATGAAAGATATTTTTTACGACTTTTAATTTATTAAACAAATTAAGAAATTTTTATTCAAATTGCTATTATTTTTACTTGTTATTTCTACCGATAATTTTGAAGAAAAATTGTGGTTGGATTTTTAAAGCGTCTATATGCAACATGAACACTAGAATATTTAAAATTAAATGTCAATTTAATATTACCAAAAAATAATAGATTAAAGATCTTTTTTTAAATAATAATTTTTACTTTATATTAAAAATTATTAACCACTGGAAATAATAACAAAAGATTTATGCACAACTTTGTTTCAATTTCAGAAATTTCAATTGGTTTGATAAAACGCGTCAGTTCAATGGTGTACTGATTCGTGAGATCGCCGTCATAACACTGAGAGCAGCGTTATGACAGTCTTCTCTTGTTGTGCTAGGGATCCAGATGTTTCCACTTAATTTATCTCTCTCACTCTGGTCTATCTTCGATTAATTTGTATTTGTGAAATTTTCCGTCTACATCCAAAAGTATGTTTGACCAAAATTTAAAAAAAAATTCATAAAAAGATAAATTAAAAAATTTTAAATCATAATTTTTTGAGGACCATTTTTTTGGTCTACAGGCATTTTTTGAACAACAGATTTTTATGGAGGAACATAAAGTAGCTAAATTGAAATCGGATAAATACATGATAATTTTTGTTTAAATCAAAAATACGCAAATACTTTTTTAAATTAAAAAAAAAATTTATATTTTGACAAATAAATGTTATTACAAATTTTTTTTATCTGACAATAAATTTCAATCAATTTCTGGTTAGAATTTTTAATATTATAGAAAAAATTTTCTTTCTGTAATGATTCTTTTATTAGTGTTCCATGTAGGCGTTCTCTGATATGATATATTTTTTATTTTCATATTGACCACTTGTGTCCGATAACATCAAAAATAAAATATTTAACAATACATTTGGTGTACTTTTTTAAAACAAAAATTTTTAACTTGAAATGCTTTTACAATTATGTCAGACATTGAAATTTTGAACAATTTAATATTTTTTTATAAAAATTATTTTTATAAAATAATTTTAATTTTAATTTTTTTATTAATTGTGACACATTCTTTTACATTTTGTGCTTTAGGAAATAAAATGAAAAAAATATTGAAGTTGACTGGTTTTATTAATTTTTTTTTGTTGTCGATATTTTATCATCAACATTTCAAGCGTCTGAATGGCTCGGAAATATAATCACCACGAATTAGTTCTTCATATAGAGAAACTTTATTTGCCACGTCTGCTAGCCATTCAGATGGATTCAAGATTGCAGTTTTTAAAGTTGCATTATAAAAAATAATTTCATCACTAGCTAAATCAATACTAGAGTTAGCTTTTGATAATTTTGTCTGAGGAAATTCAAAATGTCGGATCCAATATGGCGGACGAATTTTTTTTAAAACTGATCAGATTCACTTGAATTTTGTTACTCGGGGGTTTTTTTTTAATAAATATTGCGCATAATTTTTTTTAATTCTGGAAAAATTTACGAATTTATTTTTTTTTAAATTATTTAATATTAATGACAAATATATTTAATTTTCTTATTGACTATTTGAATCAAAGAAAGAAAAGATTTTTCTTTTTTTTAGATTTGAAAAATTTTCGACATCTTTTTTCTTTTTGATTCAGAAGTTGATAATAATAATTTGTAAAATTTCTTTAAAAGATATTTTTTAGATGTTTTCAAATTTTTTAAAAGTTGAAGAGAAAAAGGATAATTGCGCATAATAAGAAAAGAATATCAAACGTTTTTTACTGCTGAATTTATTTTTATTTATAATTTCATCATTGATTAAATTTTTAACAATTAAATACTTTTTTTATGATTTTTAATAAATAAAAATTTAAAGTTTGAAAAAAAATATTTCATTCTAGAACTGTAGTAAATTATTTCACATTTTGTACACTACGAAATAAAATGAAAAAAAATATGGAAATTGAACGATTTTATTAATTTTTTTTTTTAATTTTTTGATAAAACATTTTGTCACCAACATTTCAAGCGCCTGAATGATTCGGAAACATGATCACCACTAATATTTTCTGCATATAGAGAAACTTTATTTGCAACGTCTGCTAGCAATTCAGAATGTATGAAACTTCTAAACCTTGAATTAATTTTATATATATTAATTCCATTATTAATCGAGTGTTTTCTAATTTCTAACAATGTTGTTTTTGTATGGGGAATAATTATGTACTGATTTAAATTAGCATCAATGTCTTTTAATTCAATCACAAACCTTAATGGAATTGTTAGTTCCGCGACAGAATGATGGTTGCCCTCTATAAATGGGACATTAATAGTATTGTAATTTTCTGTTCCATTAAAATATTCATTACAAATAGTAAATTCGAGAAACCATAAAGAACGTTTTGAATTAGCGAACGAATTACTTCGTAGTGTGCATATCATTTTCTTTGTAGATTTCACAGGCTTTAAATCCCATTGTCTAATAACCAAACTGTACAGTGCTTTCTTCATTCTCCAAAAAATATGATGCTCTACATTTATAGTAGGGAAATCATTAACCAAGAAATTTTTTATGGCGTAATAATCATCAAAAGTAATTTTGTCAAATAATTTATTAGTCAAGTAGTCAGCAAATAACTTTTCTGGATTATCTTTTATTAGATTCATCTCTTCTTGGTTATAAATATTATGCATACGTTCAATTGCTGCTCTTTTTGATAAACCAACTTCTAAATACAAATTAAATCTTAATTTTTCGTACAACTTAGGATCTTTTAGCCAATACTTATCATACGCTTCCGATGGATATCCATTGTCAGAAATATATTTGATGAAATAATACATTACTCCGAATCGTGGTGAACTAAAGCAGTAATGTTTTATAATATTCATTGCAGTACTTTCACTGCACTTATGAATCAGAAACTTATCAATATTCCTATACCTAATCCAAAAAAGTGATTGAAAATTTTTCTTTCGTATTTGTATGGATGTGACATTTTCTGCTACTGCTGGATTTGTAATAAGCTTCAAAAGTTTCGTGACAATCTCGGTTACAATGATTCCTTTGAAAATTGTAAACTGTAATGATTTCCTTTTCATCAAACCACTAGCAGTCTGTTGAGAAAATGAAGTTCTTGAAAATTCACTGGCAAAATCCATTCCAAGACTGAGAAATTTTGTTACGAATAAAGCAGAAATTAGAGCATCAGTAGTAACACTCAAGATCGTTAACTGCAAATCTTTCATTTTTGGCAGATTCGTAAAAAGTCCAAAAAATATTTCCTCTACATTAAGATGCAAGAAGTGATTTACATTTTCCTTTGATTTAATTTGTTGAGTAGTGTCACTAACAATAAATTCATTATTTTCATGATACTTTGAATTATCGCAGAATATTCTACCAATTTTTAATAATTGAGAGTTCTTGACATCGATGTTTGTAAGCAACAGCAAAAATAATATTCCCATGTAAATAATGATATTCATTTCAGGTAATATTAGAATTTTAAAAATTCTGCTCACAGTAAGATGCCTATGTTGACAGAGTAGAGAACAAATAGTTGTTTTGATGAGTAAGCCTAAACCAATGTTAGCCAGAGCTTTCGCAAATTCTTTCCTATAAGTTTAAAAAAAATTAGATTCTTAAATAAAATATGTCAAAATAAAGTTCAAAGTACCCTTTATAAGTAGATTAATTTTTTTAATTTAAATACTTAATAGTTTTCTCAGAAAAAATTCCTAATAAATAGTTCAAATGTCCTTTTATAACAATATTTAGAAAATATTTAAGAATTACCTTTTGTAAAAGTAGAATATAACTTAGTCGAAAGAAGGTTGTTTTATATCTGTTTTTGAAAAAAAAAATTATTTATATACCTACATAAAATTTTATATTTATTTCTGAAAAAGTTATTTATTATCTACGTACATCATAATCTATATATGTACATGAGAATAAGAAAAGCATATTTTTTATCTTTTCCTTTTGCTATTACTTTTTCTTAGAATAATAAAATATTTATTATCTCTTTTTTCTTATATCAAACCACTGCAAATGTAGCACATTTTTTTAAAAAGGGAAAAATTATCATTTTGGATTTTTAAAAACAAATATTTTATTTTTTTCAAAATAGAAATAAGGGATTTTAATTATAACTTTTTTTTTAGAATTTTTAACATGAACGATTTCTCATATTCTAGGTATAAGGGTAAATTTTACAATTTCTGATTTTTATTTTCTCGTTGATTTTGTTGTAAATCAGATATAAATAGAAAATTAATTTTTTTTATTGAACGGAAACAATTTTTTTATAGTATTGAGCATTGGTGTTTTTTTTTGTTAAAAATTGTTTTTCTTCGTATATATAATAATGGTTATTCTGATTTAGATAAAATTCTCCCCTGCTAAATATACCCAAGGGTATTCCAACAAGAAAATATTGCAGTAGTATCTTTTTGGATTTACGAGTGAAAGCTTTTTTTTAATAATAAGAGAGATAAACGAAGAGCAAAGCGGGTATTGGTTAAATTATAATCCTGCAACATCGAGTTATCGACCTTTTGCAATGCACGTCAATTGTAATGGTATATAGACGATTCTTCTAAAAATACAATTTTCAAACTGGATTTTTAATTTATTTTTCCTTTAAATTTCAATTCTTTTTTTCTTTCATTTCCTCTTTCTCTCTCTCTCTTCTTTATCTGATATTAGATTTAGAAATCGAACAATCTGCTAAATTTGTGTAAAATTAATTCTAAAAAAATTTTTGTACCCCAAACTGGATTACAATTAAAAAAAAATTTAAATTGAAAATTGTTACCAAGTTACTTTCATTTTTTTTTACAAATAGATACCGAATTCTTAATCAACAACCCTGGAAAACTTCGAGTAGAAAATGTTCCCACTTTCGTCGTCAGCCATATTGGATCCGCCATTTTGAATTTATAGCAAAAAAAGTAGAATCACAAAAAATTATGTTTTCTTTGTCACAATATCGACTGCAGCATTTCTGAATCGAGTTTTTTTTTATTTTAGATATACCCTGTGAAAATTTGTAAATTAAAAAATATTAATTCACCAACAAATATTGTGATTTGTATCTATATTCATGGAATCTTTAATTTTATTTACTATATTATTCGATTAAGAAAAAGGGGACAAAAAAATTGATTTGTTCCATGTATAAAGTGCCATGACAATGGACGTACACTAGAATCAAATGCGTGACACGCGTACCGAAATTCGCTGGGCTCCTCGTTGAATATGCCATACACGGATTATTTACTATTTGTACTGAAGCGAATGCCGAGCGTCGGATAAATAGTCTGCTAAATTCTCTCGTATGCAATTCTCTGTTCTGCATGATTGTCCCTCATGATAACGACTTTGTTTTTAAATTGTTCCCAAAAACCGTATCGTTCAATTACGGTTCGTAAAATACGAACAATAAAATTTTATATTAAAACATCAATATTTTAGTTACGTTTTTGGATTTTTGCATTATTTTTCCAAAAACAATTTTTTTGTTCACTTGTACCGAGAAGGAGAAAATTTTTTATTTTGTTTAACTATAATCATCTAAATCTTCTTCAGGTATTTTTTCATAATTATGTTATGTCTCAGAATAAAACCAAAATATCCTGAATTATATATTTAAATTGTCCGGCATCGGACAGGTTTTATGAAAAAGTAACTTGAAAGTTATTAAAGTTTTTATTTGAATTTTTTACAATTAGAATCAGAGAGAAAGAATAGATCCAGATGTCTTTAGGGACACTAAAAATTATTATTAGAGTCGTAGACCTCAACAAGCTTCAGTGTCAGGTCGAGGAAATGACTTTGTCTAGCGGAAACAGAGAATGCAGTAGATTTCCCACAAATTGTTTTCGGGTCAGTTTGATTGATCTAAATAATAAATTACTTAACCTAATTCAATTAAATTTGAATTAATTAAAAAGAAATTTTAATTTTAAAAGTAAGGAAGGAATTAGCCGCGCACGAATTTAGATTGTAAAGGGTATTTACTGGTTGCTAACAAAATAATTTCGATGTGGAGAATATGAAGTAAACTGAAGGACGCTTGAAAAAGATTCCCCTCGAGTGCTTTGTTTGACTTGTTATTGACATGTCATTAACGTGAGTTGTTGTTGATATTTGGAAAGTTGAAGTAAAGTTTGAATAACGAAAATGCTTCTGGTGACATTTTTTTTAATACTCTGTGATATTTCAACGAATAAGCTTAACGCCAGTGGGAAAATCCTGGACAAATATACCAAGAGCCCGGGGAGTATTTACCATGGTAGGTAAGTTCGATCTCATTTTGCTGGTGCCATCAATCTCGCCTTCCCTGAATTCGGTTTGTCACTCCTAACCCTGAGGCTCCGTGTCGGAATCGATATTCACATTGAATGCTCTGTTTCATTCCTTCCTCCTCTACCCATGCGTCACTTGCTTTTTCATTTTTCTCCCTTCAAACTGCTGCGATAAATATTTCCCCCTTCCAAAAAGAAAATAACCTTTTTGATTCCAAATTAGTCTGAACTAAAATAATGACCCATCACAATTTTTTTTGGTTACTTTTTTCGACTATGAAAATTGAATTTATTTATTTATTCAAGGCAGGTTCACGAGGGACATAAAGGACCCACACTTATTGGTGCCACGTCGTGTATTTCATGACGGAAATTTGGAAACATACTTTCTCCCTGGATATTACGATCGTCGTGAAGTTGACGCAAGACGAAAAAGATCAATCAACGATGACAATGAGGACAAATTGCATTTGGTTCTTCCGTTTAATGGAATTGAGCACCATGTTGAGTTAACACCATTCCACGATTTTATCTCTCCTGAAATGGTGATTGAAATCAGGGGAAAAGGGATCAGTACCGATTTGAACAAAGGTCTTCAATTTAAGAGGGTGTCTGATCATCAATGCCATTACAGGGGTACCGTCAGGGGACAAAAGTCTTCGAGAGCAGCCTTATCCCTCTGCGACGGTGTTGTTAGTATATAATTACTCAATTCCACATATATCTATTTTCTACTTTTGCCGATTTTTAAAAACAGTTCAATTTTCAATTCAGAAACTTAAATTACAAGCTTACGCCTTGTTAGGATTTGAAATTCAAATTGTTGTTACGAAAGCAACACTCTTGTTATTGGCAGAGAGCTTTTAATGTCGGAATAATTTTACAACTCAAGCAACCCAGACAGCTAGAAATTCGAGATCTGCGTTTTGTTGCTAGTTTCCAATTGCGTTTTAATCCTGAATTTATGATAGAGAAACGTCGCTGAATTGGCGACAGTGCAACATCCCGTCGATCTATGTGCAAATGAATTTATTAATTTGCATGTACTCAAGGGAAGCATAACAAGAAACTTGATAAGCTTTAGAATGAAACATTTCTGTTCTTTGATTCGAAGGAATCAGTCAAATTAATTAATTTTAATTTCTTTTCCGGAATATTATTACATCTTGAATTTTAATACTTAAAATTTTCAATCAAACAATAATCACAACTGTGATTGTAAATCCGTTGCAGGTCGGGTATGTGCATACCAATCAAGGACGTTATTTCATCGAACCTTTGCATCAGGCGAATCCTGAAACTGATGGACAACATGTGCATGTAGCTTATAAAAGAAGTGCTCCCCACGAAAATGATGAGAAATTCTGTGGAACTAATGGTTAGTTGTTTTTACATCACCAAAAAGAGGGAATTAATTGGAGAAATTTTTTAGACAATTGGGAAGCTGCTTGGGTTGAACAATTGGAGAGAAGAGAACGGGAATTATCATCGCAGACGATAGGTCATAACGAAACTAAACGAAGTGACAAGACAGCAGGAGGAATTCATAGTGTTCATCGATACATTGAAGCGGCAATCATAGCCGATAAGAAATTTTTGGATTTCCACAAGGGAACGGATTATCAACAGTATCTACTGACAATATCGAATATGGTGTCAGATTTTTATCACGACAGTTCCGTTGGAAATCAAATTGACTTTGTTGTTGTGCGGATGGTCTATTTAGAGCAAGAAAAAGAGGAAGTGAGTTTGCTCCTATTCTCTAACATTAGTTTGAATATTTCCGATATATCCGGAAATGTAAGGGGTTGACCTACAAGGAAATATTCACTTAGGTAAATTTCGATTTGATGATTTCATTAAAAACCTGCAACTTTTCAGATAGATTTAACAATTAGTACGAATGCTGATGTGACTCTGGCAAGTTTTGCCAAATGGGCGATGAAGATGAACCCTGAGTCCCATACTCATCCAAATCATCATGATCTTGCTATTCTGATTACAAGGTTTCCTAAGTGATATAAATATTAGTACTGCCTTGAATTGAATTAATTATTTCAAGAAAACACTCAAATCAAGTGCTTTTCGTGGTACCGAAATGGTTCTCTTTCCAGATATGACATTTGTGACGAGGTGGACGATTGTGGCTTGATGGGTTTAGCTTACGTTTCGGCAGTTTGTGACAGAGCAAAAGCAGCCTGTATTAATGAAGATAGTGGACTTCTGCTAGGAGTTGTAATCACCCATGAAGTTGGACACAAGTAAAGGCCGCTTTAATAGTAGAAATATTTTGCAATTCCTAATTGAATTGTAATTAAAAATTCAATTGTTATTCCTTAAATAAATTGTAATTTATAATTAAATTGTAATTAAGAATACAATTGTAATTCCTTAATTGAATTTTAATTGATAATTCAATTGTAATTCCTTAATTGAATTGTAATTGCTAATTGAAATGTAATTCCTTGATTGAATTGTAATTCCTAATTGAATTGTAATTTCGAATTGAATTGCAATTCCTAATTAAATTGTAATTCCGAATTGAATTGCAATTCCTAATTAAATTGTAGTTAAGAATTCAATTGTAATTCCTTAATTGCATTTTAATTCGTAATTAAGTTAAAATTAAAAATTTAATTGTAATTCCTTAATTGTAATTCTGAATTAAATTCTAATTAAGAATTCAATTGTAATTCTTTAATTGCATTGTAATTAAGAATTTAATTAAAATTCCTTAATTGAATTCTAATTCCGATTCCTAATTACAATTCAATTAGGAATTACAATTCAATTCTTAGTTACAATTAAATTAAGGAATTACAATTGAATTCTTAATTAAAATTTAATTAAGGAATTACAATTGAATTTTAATTAAGAATGTAATTGTTATTCCTTAATTTAATTGTAACTAAGAATTCAATTGTAATTCCTTAATTAAATAGTAATTGAGAATTTAATTGTAATTCCTTAATTAAATAGTAATTAAGAATTAAATTGTAATTCCTTAACTGAATTGTAATTCCTAATTGAATTGTAATTAAGAATTCAATTGTAACTCCTTACTTGAATAGTAATTAAGAATTGAATTGTAATTCCTTAATAGGATTGTAATTCCGATTCCTAATTGACTTGTAGTTAAAATTCAATTGTAATTCCTTAATTGAATTGTAATTAAGAATTCAATTGTAACTCCTTCCTTGAATAGTAATTAAGAATTGAATTGTAATTCCTTAATAGGATTGTAATTCCGATTTGAATTGAAATTAAGAATTCAATTGTAATTCCTTAATTAAATAGTAATTAAGAATTAAATTGAAATTCCTTAATGTACTTGTAACTAAGAATTGAATTGTAATTCCTTAACTAAATTGTAATTCCTAATTGAATTGTAATAAGGAATTCAATTGTAATTCCTTAATTGAATTATAATTCCAATTCCTAATTGATTCGTAATTAAAATTCAATTGTAATTCCTTAATTGAATTGTAATTAAGAATATAATTGTAATTCCTTAATTTAATTGTAACTAAGAATTCAATTGTATTTCCTTAATTGAATTGTAATTAAGAATTTAATTGTAATTCCTTAATTAAATAGTAATTAAGAATTAAATTGTAATTTCTTAACTGAATTGTAATTTCTTAACTGAATTGTAATTCCTAATTGAATCGTAATTAAGAATTCAATTGTAACTCCTTAATTGAATAGTAATTGCTAATTCAATTGTAATTCCTTAATTGAATAGTAATTCGCAATTAAATGGAAATTAAGAATTCAAGTGTAATTCCTTAATTGTAATTAAGAATTTAATTCCAATTCCTTAATTAAATTGTAATTCCTTAATTGCATTGTAATTAAGAATTTAATTGTAGATCCTTAATTGAATTATAATTCTTAATTGAATTGAAATTAAGAATTCAATTGTAATTCCTTAATTGAATTATAATTACGATTCATAATTGATTTGTAATTTCTTAATTAAATAGTAATTGCTAATTTAATTGTAGTTCCTTAATTGAATTGTAATTGCTAATTCAATTGCAATTTCTTACTTAAATTGTTATTGCTAATTTAATTGTAATTTCGAATTGAATTGCGATTCCTAATTGAATTGTAATTCCGAATTGAATTGCAATTCCTAATTGAATTGTATTAAAGAATTCTATTGTAATTTCTTAATTGCATTGTAATTCGTAATTAAATTGAAATTAAGAATTCAATTGTAATTTCTAAATTGCATTGTAATTAAGAATTTAATTGTAATTAAGAATTCAAATGTAATTAAGATTTCAATTGTATATCCTAATTGAATTGTAATTAAGAATTTAATTGTAATTCCTTAATTAAATTGCAATACTTAATTGAACTGTAATCAAGAATTCAATTGTAATTCCTTAATTGCATTCTAATTAAGAATTTAATTGTAATTAAAAATTCAAATGTAATTAAGATTTCAATTGTATATCCTAATTGAATTGTAATTAAGAATTTAATTGTAATTCCTTAATTAAATTGCAATACTTAATTGAACTGTAATCAAGAATTCAATTGTAATTCCTTAATTGCATTCTAATTAAGAATTTAATTGTAATTCCTTATTTGAATTATAATTCTTAATTGAATTGAAATTATGAATTCAATTGTAATTCTTTAATTAAATTGTAATTAAGAATTCAATTGTAAATCCTTAATTAAATTTATAATTCCTAATTAAATTGTAATTAAGATTTCAATTGTAATTCATTAATAGAATTGTAATTTCTAATTGAATTATAATTCCGAATTGAATTGTAATTTTGAATAGAATTGCAATCCCTAATTGAATTGTAATTAAGAATTCAATTGTAATTCCTAAATTAAATTGTAATTCCTTAATTGAAATGCAATTCCTTAATTAAAATGCAATTCCTTAATTAAATTGTAATTCTTAATTGAATTATAATGCCTTTTTTGAATTGTAATTCCGAATCCTAATTGAATTGTAATTAAGAATTCAATTGTAATTTCTTAATTGAATCGTAATTCCGATTCGTAATTGAATTATAATTAAGAATTCAATTGTAATTCCTAATTGAATTGTAATTATGAATTCAATTGTAATTCCTTAATTGCATTGTAATTCGTAATTAAATTGAAATTAAGAATTCAATTGTAATTCTGAATTGAATTGTAATTAAGAATTCAATTGTAATTCCTTAATTGCATTGTAATTAAGAATTTAATTGTAATTCCTTAATTTAATTGTAATTAAGAATTTAAATGTAATTAAGATTTCAATTGTATATCCTAATTGAATTGTAATTAAGAATTCTATTGTAATTCCTTAATTTGCATTGTAATTCGTAATTAAATTGAATTTAAGAATTCAATTGTAATTCCTTAATTGTAATTCTGAATTGAATTGTAATTAAGAATTCAATTGTAATTTCTATTTGAATTGTAATTAAGAACTCAATTGTAGTTTATAAATTGAATTGTAATTCCTAATTGAATTGTAATTAAGAATGAAATTGTAATTCTTTAATTGAATTGTAATTCCTAATTGAATCGTAATTCCTTATTCAATTATAATTAAGAATTCAATTGTAATTCTTTAATTGAATTGTAATGAAGAATTCAATTGTAATTCCTAATTTAATTGTAATTATGAATTCAATTGTAATTCCTTCAATGAATTGTAATTTCTAATTGAATTGTAATTTCGAATTAAATTGCAATTCCTAACTGAATTTTAATTCCGAATTGAATTGCAATGCCTAATTGAATTGTAATTAAGAATTCAATTGTAATTCCTTAATTGCATTGTAATTCGTAATTAAATTAAAATTAAAAATTTAATTGTAATTCCTTAATTTAATTGTAATTCCGAATTCAGTTGCAATTTATAATTGAATTGTAATTTTGAATTGAATTGTAATTCCTAATTGAATTGCAATTCCTAATTGAAAACTTTATCAAAGACAAATTTTATCTCTGCAGTTTAGGTTCTGCCCATGACACTGAAGAAATCAGCGGCTGTCCCTCTCAAGACAAGGATGAAAGTTACTTTGTCATGTCGCCTATTGTCTTCAGTTACACTTTAAGATGGTCCACATGCAGCAGAAAATTTATAACCACTTTAATGGAGTAAACTATTTTCCACTTGCATTCATTAATTCCTTTTGCCTTTTTCATCCACTTTTTCAAAAAGTAATCAATTTACTCAAATCAAAAAATAATCAATTTATAAATATTTGACAGTACCGGTTTGGGAGATTGCCTAACAGATGATCCAAAAAGTCCTCCGGATAATTTCAAGTACCCAAATATGCTGCCTGGAGCAATGTACGGACTGGACTATCAATGTAATTTACTATTGAACAATTCGAAGGCGTGTGATAAAAAAGGTGACTGTGCGTCTCTTTGGTGTCAAGAAGGAGATCAATGCCTAACAAATGATTCTCCACCAGCAGAGGGTTCTAATTGTGGTACAAATAAGGTTTGTGGAAAAAAATAGTGTCACACTTTCATATGAAATAAAACGAGAGAAAAATTTTATACAGAATTTTTTTTCTGCTTCGTGGCATGCACAATGTGTATTTAATTGAATGACTGCATATGAAATATTGTCATATTGTTATACGTTTTTAATTTCGACTTTATTCAGTGGTGCATTCATAAGCAATGTGTGGACATTGGTTCTCGTCCGTCAGCAGTGAATGGCGGTTGGGGTGAGTGGGGACCGATGAGCGAATGCTCTAGAACATGCGGTGGGGGCGTCAAAACTGTGGAAAGAGAATGTGATAAACCGGCTCCATCGAATGGTGGTAGATTTTGCATTGGGGAGAGAAAGAAATTCGAAATTTGCAATATCAAGGTTTGGTATTTTATCTTTTCGAAATACAATTTCCAAAGACTAATTTGTAATTTCGGATGTGAATTGTTTTTGTTCCTCTCATGTTGAACTGATAAATATTTATTTCAGCCTTGTGATCCCTCAGCTCCTGCTTTTCGTGCTGTTCAATGTAGTGAATTTAACAAGAAGAAAGTTAAGGATGACGGATTACATACGTGGACACCTTACACAAAAGATAAGTCAAATTTGTGTTCACTGAAATGTATAAATGAAAAGAAAGTCTATATGGAGCTTGCTCGAGTGGTGAAAGACGGAACTTCCTGTAAAGCTGGAACTAACAATATGTGTATATCCGGAGTTTGCAGAGTAATAAACTTTTATCATCGAATTAACTTTTGATGATAAATTAACTTTTTGATTGATTCAAAAATTTATTTATCTATTTAAGAATTTATTTATCTTTAACTTGTTGTATGCTTGATGCAGAACGTTGGATGTGACTGGAAAATAGATTCAGATGCAATTGAAGATACTTGTGGAATTTGCAAGGGTACCGGTGTTAGTTGCAAACACGAACAAGGAGATTTTACTGCCGAAAAACTAAAAAGTATTTAAATTCTTTTCAATTCTATATTCCCCATGTACTATATTTCCCATTGTACAAAGATATTGTTAACATATGTCCGTAGATTATCAGAAAGTAGTAACAGTGCCAAAAGGAAGTACGAACATTCACATGTTCGAGAGAAAACCAAATGAAAACATGTTGGCTGTTAAACTTGAAAATGAAAACAAATATTGTCTAAATAGTGGTTTGTACGTGTTAAAGTACTTTGGAAAATAATTATAAATTCGTTGTCATGAAGGTTAGAAAATTAACTGTTTTACTTTTGGATAAAAATAATTAGTGAGGAGCAACTTAATGGAGATTATCCCTGTGCTGGTTCCATTATTATTTACACACATCCTGAAACTGATCAAGAAGATCTGGTAATAAAGGGACCAATTAGTGAGGATATACAATTACAGGTATTCTTCAAGTTTTTACATTTATTCTAATGAAACTATTGTAATAATTTATACTAGTTTATATTCTAGTATGCCTTTTTTGGAAAAACCAATCCGGGAGTTCATTATGACTATTATGTTAAATCTGGAAAAACCGAACAGATATCTAATTATGCGTGGGAATTTTTGGAGTGGTCAGAATGTAGTGCGAAATGTGGAGGAGGTACAAAGGTACGAAAATATTTTATATCTTCGGTTCGTAATCACTAATTAATAAAATGGACAAACCTTTTGACCATTTGCAGAAATCAGAAGCAACTTGTCTGGAGGAAATAGGTGGAAAAGTGTCCAACAATTTTTGTTCCAGCGTCCCACGTCCAGAGACAAAAACTCAAATATGCAATGAGCAGCCCTGCCCTTCGAAGTAAGTCCCCTAAGTTTTGGAATGTTTTCCTCTTTCACAATCCGTTAATTGAAATAAAATTAGATGGAGAGTCAGTCAGTGGAGTGCATGCAATGCTTGTAACAAAAAAAAGGGTTTTCGTCGTCGAAAAGTGCAGTGTGTGAAACCGGGAGCCCATCCTGGAGAAGATGACGTCGTAACGGAATTAAAAGACTGCGGTGGTAAAACGCCAAAACAGAAGAAGGACTGCATAGGAACTAGGCCCTGCAAAAAAACTTGTAAGTCTAGAAGAGAAATCGAAATTTCCCCAAAAAATCACCTACTAGCTCCTGAGGAACAACACAGATTTATCGATCGGTTCGTGGATGTTAGTCTAATGCAATATCTCCAGTCACATGGGAATTCCTTCAAAGCCTTTAAGCCTGAAAAACGAAACACCGACAACGATGACTATAGGCATCTGCTTCACAACTGGATTGCCAAAGATAAAGTCGTAGGGAAACATTGTGTAAAAAAACATATTAAAAAAGAGTTTACCACTCCAAAACCAGGGTCTATAATTAAGGATCCAGTACCTCGAGATAAGAAGATTCTCATCATTGCGCCTTACAGGTAACTGTCAAATCCACTTTTATGTAGAATTAATCATTTACCAAAGTTTTTATGATTCCAAAAAGAAAACTAATGTTTAACTAATTATCCTACTGGATTATTTGCAATCAATATTACTTAACGTTTCTAGGGAGAATTCTCTAAGTTCAAATTTGTCTGATCTTGCATTCCAAGAAGCTGGTGATTCTGGTGATATTTCAATTGATACAGAGCATAAGAGAATTTTTACAGGTAAAGACGCTATTGATCTGGAGAATAGGATCAGACATCATAATATTTCTCAAAGTGATTTAAACAAATTGTGATTTGATAATTATACTAATTCTGATAAGCAGTAAATGTTTAATAATATTATTAACAAATTGTCTTAATAAAAAGTCATTGTAATATTTAACTGGATTGAGGGCCTGTGTTCTCTCAACACCACCGAATGCGAACTTCAATCCTGGATCGAAACCTTTCATAACCTTGAATTCGTCAGGATGATAGTGATGATTTGACGATTGTTGATCAGTGGGGTCACAGTTGATAATTTCCTTGGGGTTCAGCAAGTAAAAAATTATCTTCCCCATCATTTTATTTTGCAATTTTCTTTCTAAATCTATTAATTCGGTTTTTGTGTTTAAAACGTTTAAAACTGTCATTGTCGAAATTGTTGAAGAAGAGAAGTGGTTCCAAAGCGTAGAAAAAAAATTTATTTAATTCCTGATTAATGAAAGAGCTTTTGTGAAGAACACTGTGCAAAGAAGCTTTTGACTTAAATGGTTCTTCCTTAGAGCATGAGTCGGTGGCATTACTCTTACTTTCGGTCAAGTTGTAAAGTACCCACTGATAAATTTTCCTGTCTTTAGAAAAGACGCGAGCGTTGAATTTTCTAGTCATTGTGTCGTAAAGAGACGTCGCAATAATTTCACATGGCTCACCAAAAACAAGAGAGCATCACTGCATTCAATTTTGTTTCCTCACAATATTATGCAATTGGTTTCATTAAACTAAGAAAGTACTGGAAATTCTTTTTTCTATTCAACTAGCAAGACATTTTCGTTTTGAGTTGAATATGCAGGATAATTTTTAGTATATCTAAGCCCTTTTGTAGCAAAAAGATTTGCGATGTAACTTTACAATTTCCGAGATTGAGTGCAAGTACTTGATAGTGACCAAGGGCATTACCCTTCATCAGTTCCTCTTATTCAATCTGACATTAGAAGCACTTACTTTGAGAGCACGTCTACAAATTCAAGATCAAGTTACCCTTTCCATTCTGCACATAAATTGAATTAATTATATTTCAAGGGTTGTCAAAGAGCATCCTTTGAGTGCTTCGCAGATTTTTTTTATTAAAACTATCTAATTTTAAATTTATCAATTTTTGCAACATCACCTTTTTCTCTCTTTCGCTTTACAAGAGTCAATGCGTTCGGAAATTTTTTTTTTTTTCAGTATTTGATCCCTCGTCATGGTTAATTAAAGGAATTATAAGATCGAACTGATGTTCTAAACGAAACAGATAAAGTAGATGCTGTGGGTTACGGTTTAATTCCCTCTACGATAGATGGTGCCATAGAAACACTTTCAAACTTTTGTTTATTAGATAATTTTAAAGTTCAATATACTTTGAACCGTTGATTTGTATTAATTTAATTACTTTTTGTTTCGTTACTAAAAATAAATTCCCATCAATCTCAGAAAGTAACTTCCATAAATGTCGATCAAAAATTGGTTTTATGTCAAAAATTTCAAGTTTGAAAGATGTAATAAAAGAAAGAATATAAAAAATCCTGTAATTTATATCACAACAAATAAGGTGATTAAGCTATAAAATCAAAAGACGTTGTTACGTAATCTTCTTTACCTTTTTTTATCTGCACACAAAATAATACTTTCCCGGTAGTAAATTAGGACTATAAATATATTTTTATGACCAAATCTAGAAGGGTATTAAATAAGTTTCATTATTATTCCCCAATTAATAGTAATTGCTGGTATATAGTTTTAAAGTATATTTTTCATGGCACCATTATATTTTGAAACCACATTTTTCAAAATTATTATTTATCGCAGAAAAATATTTACAATGCTGCAAATTAACGATGTATATTTGAAGTATTAAACATTTCATGATTCGTGAAAATCCACTTTTATTCTTTAAAGTAAATTAAATTATAATAGTTTTTAATATAAAGTAGCAATTTCTGTAGAATTTACATTTTAACATAAGTGCCTCTCCACCTGCAAGAGTGGAAGAAGATGCTTCCAAATTAAGTAAAGTGATCTCTATATAGAGTAACTTGTAGAGCACTGGGACCACTTTTTCATAACATACACGTTTTCCCGGATACATAACTGTCGTCTTTGCGTCGCTACTTTGAAGAAATATAATACTCAGGCATCCATTTTCCGTTCTCTCATCAACCGCGACTAGACATAACGTTTTTAGTGCAAACAAAATTGTTTCTTATCATCAATTTAAATATCTACAAAATTTTTATCCTCATTTAATTTAATTTTTTGTTGTAAAAATATTTATAACTAAAAAAAATATAAATATTTATATCCGCGTGAGAATTATAAATACACTTTTAAGTATCTTTTCCTTTACTGCAGTTTATATCGTTTTGATCCTTTAAATCGAGGATTTCCATATTTTTCTTTGACATTTTTTTACCCTCGTTTCTTCTACTTGGCTCTATTTCTTCTTCACTGTTTTCTTTCTTTTTTCTCTCACTTATCTTTCTATAACCTCATTTTTCTTTTTATCCAGTGAATCCTTTTTCAGTTTTTTTTATTTTCTTTCTGAGTTATATTTCATACTATTTCTGCCTTTTTTTTCATGCCCTTTATATATTCATCTTTTCATATATATTTTTAACTTCCGACATTATAAATTCTGCAATTTTATAAATTTATATCGTGTCTTAAAATTAAGGTACCCTAAAATTCCAAAATAAGAATTTTCAAACAAACTTTTTAAGAATGAGGATGATAAAAATGATAAAGATGACAAAGATAGTAGTTTATTTTTTTCTAATTATACTTACTGTGAATTTAGATCAACGATGATGCAGTCTTTAATTTAAGAATATGTCCTTGTTGTTAATAGTTTAGGAGATTAACACATTATACACAACTTTTTTTAAAATTTTTTTTAAATACACAATTTAATTTTGTGTATTTTGGAGTGGACACGGCGTGGAATTTTTAATTTTTTAATTTTTCTAATGCATCTGCTTTACTAAGGAGATTATTTTCTTCTTCATGTTCATACAGGATACTTATTTTTAGTGAAAAAAAAATCCAATACATTATTTACAGTCTAGTAATTTGGTACTTACAATAAATTTGTAAATTAAAAAAATTAAAGCTGATCACCAACATTTGAGAAATAAATATAAAATTCCCAGAACGAATATTTCAAGAATGTTTCAATTTTCTGTACGAGAAAAAGTTATGTGTGTGAAATAAAAATAATTTTCATTATATTTCAAAAATGTGCTAGGAATTTGAAATCATAGAATTTGAGGTGCAAGAGTTCATAACGTGTACATCATTTTATAGAGAACGAAAAGCAAAGAGAAAAGTAGTTGAACTGCTAGGGGAACAATATATATATATATATATTTCTTTTTTGGATTTATTTGTGTGCAAGGTGTACTTAACAATAGAGGATTTCGTCGATCAAGTTGGCACACAAGCCAGTGTGCGATATCATTTACCAACAGTCCACAGAAATGTGGGTCATCTGAGTCTTCCATTACGTTATTGCTTTTGCTCACTTACAGCATTGGGAAGCTTTTTCAATTTAAAATAAATGATAAAGTATTCAAAACCATGCGTGCATTTTATGTATGCAATTCTTTGCTGAATAATAATAAAAAATTGAAAGAAACTAACTAGACATTTTTTTTGTTATAGGAGATTGTGGATTTATACTAAAATCGATGAACATCCCCTTTTGCTTGAACATTCCTCATTTTAACGGAACTACCGTTAGGCTTTAAACTTTGTAAGTGACGATCCTAGGGTTTTTGTTTCCTGGTCCTAGACTTTTGTTGATATTCATGGTCTATTTTTTCTTGTCCTTGCAAGAATCTTTCTCATTTCCTCCGGCGCTGACCTGAAAACCTTGCAAACTTTACTTCCTTAGACGCTGTTGAATCCCATAAAAATTTTGTTCTGCATAAGAAAAAGGAGTTAAAGGAGAACATAGCCTAACTACTGACATTCAGATATCATTATTCTTTTCCTAATTGAGCAACACATAAATCGAATTTTTATCGGGTACCCTAAATGTTTTTGTCAGATTCTTATTCAACGACCTCGAAAGACTTACGTCAGTCAGAAAAATTTAATTACTTTTTCGACTTTTGTACACGTTTTCAGCATTTGGATGATGGATAAACATTCATCATTTTTACTTAACACTATTCAGAATAATTATTTATCAAGATTAATTATAATTTTTTTCTCCCCTGTTTTCGTGTGTCTGTATGTGGCTCCAAAGATACGCCCACGCATCCACTTTATTTTATTACTCCCTTTGAATGAACTCTGTTAGTTTTTAATAGTACTTAGTTCATCTAAAAATAAATCTTCAGATGAATATTAGATTTAGTGGAAATGGATCCAGTACATGTTGATAAATACAACATTCAGGAAAGAATTCCAATCTTTTTACATTGTTCCCCTTTTTTTCAAATGATTAATAATATTATTTAATTTAGAGATAGAATTTCGGAATTGGGTTCCTGTTTGTCAGATAAGGCGGTATGATAACAAGGGCGAGCGACAAACAAAATGGTCGATATATCTAGTGACGCGTTAAATTAAAGCTGCTTCGCCTTACTAAATCATCTTCGTAGATGAGAGCGGAACGGAAAGAAAGCAAAAGAATCTTTTTATGAGAAAAAAATTACGTAACTACATAACGATGTCTCCCATTAATGTATAAATATATAGTACTAGGATTTTATGATAAAAAGAACAAGCATCTCCAGCACTATAGTTAAAAACTTGTTCGCAATGCACTTTATCCGACTATTATATTTTCATAGATTTCCTATAACCTTATACGTTCTCAAAAGCGTTTGAAATTTTTCCCCCATCATATATCTAGTAATTGAATTTTATTTTTAAAACTATTCTACCACTGTTAAAGAAGTTAAAATTCACTTCTTTTTTAAATGTCTAAATGTAAATGAATACAATTTGTATAAAGTGAACGAATTTGAAAGTAAGCTACAAGAATTTTATTTATTCAGATTGTCCCGATGCTGTTATCCTGGGTATTCGTAGATCAAGCACAAAG